ACATTAATGCCAGAGAACGTCTGCGCTTTTTTCAAAACACTTGTGGAACGTTCACTTTCGCAACATCTTATTCGGCAATATAACTGCTTTGGGAATATACATGAAATTCTGTTGCAAACGTTTCATTTCTTTGTTTAGAAGTTCTGGAGATATTAAATCAATCGCCTTTATATATCACCTTCATCTCATTTACAACAAGAGAGAAAAGAAACAAACCAAAGAAAAACGTACATTTAGGCAAAGCAACAAACTTGTGTGTTGTGTAGATTTTAACCAAGACTGTATCTATTTTGTGGGCAAACAGGTACATGTCCCTCTTCATCAGGAGCAAAAAAATTCTGCAGAATTTCTTTTCGATGGAATACTCTCAATTTCAGCATTATTTGTCCATTCTATTGCTTTTCTTTAAATAATTCTTAATTAAATAAATTAATTAAAATTCTTAATTAAATAATTAAAGTGACCCTATTCAGACCCGTTCTGCCTATCGGAACCCGTTCTGTAGAACCCATTCTGCCTATCGGATTTTGATGAAACTTGGTATATATGTTATATGGACTATGAGGATAAGATTTCTGCAGTAAAAAAATAGTTCAAATTTTGACTGCCAAATGACAATTTTCAAGAATTCTTTATGCAAATTATTCAAACCTATAAAGAGACTTGCAGTCAGAGCCAGAAAATTATTCTGCGTGCCTTTGTCATCGTTAATCATGCCTTTACAGAAGAAAAATCAAGCTGTACTGGTAAAACTGTTTTATCAGAACGGCAGCAATGGCTTAGCTGCATTGCGTGAATATCGTCGTTTAAAGGATTGCGAAAGTCGAAGAATGGTTTGAAGAAGATGATTATAAAATTTGAACTATTTTTTTATTGCAAAAATTGTTTTCCCATGGTCCATATAACATATGTGCCAAATTTCATCTAAATTCAATAAGTAGAAAAGATTCTAGAGGGGTGTGAATAGGGTCATTTTAATTATAACCACCCTGTACCTTTTCTACGACTTGATAATTATTTAAAAGTAGTTCGTTTAGAAGAATATTGAATATGAAACATTTAGGAGTTTCCGAAAATCTCGGATTGTTTGGCATTCTAAATTTCTAGCTGGTAGGTTTTCTGTGGAACTTAATTTAAGAATTTCAGAAAGTGAGTATATTTCGTATACTTTTTAAAATATTTCAAATAATATCTTTAAAACCAGATTGCTTAAATTTACAAGCCTGCGATGACTGTTTTTCTTTTTTTAATTTTAATAATTGATTCTTACGTACATTTTAGCGCTAAATCCGAAAATGACCTTCATTTTTTACCATCACGTCAGGAATTTAATTCGAAAATTTCGAAATTATTAAAAAGTAGAAAAATTTCGTCAATGTGAGACTTTAAAATAGACATTAAATTTTTTCTGTAATTAGACCAAAGCACAAGGGCTATTAGTCTCGAAACGGCATTTTGCTTCGAATCACTGAAAACATTGAATCACTTTTCAGATTGTTGCCACCAAATATTATCGCACTGTATTATATTTAAAGAAAATTAAATAATGAAGAATTTGCATGAATGTATGTATATTTCTCGCATTGTGAAAAAAAAACAATGGCATCCAGAGCCATCACATTTTGAAGAATGTAGTACTTCACCCAAACATACTCACCTGGAAGCTCGAATTTCGAATTCGTTTTATTATCTATTTCATATTTTGTAAAACTTTAACGAATTTTTGATTAACAAAACTCAACGATTTCAAAGTGAGCATTGGCAACACTGTGCAGAATAAGACATCGTTATCTCTAGCGCGCAAGACTGTCTGTCGGAAATTCTAAAGATATGCTGTTTTTAAATATTTTTTGCCCAAAGGGGCGTTATCCCAAATGCTCTCAAAACGTGATGTGCTTATCTAAATGTGGGGGGGGGACCAGATTGGGCGTAATATAAAATCTGGAAGCTTTCAGATTTATTTATTGGTTTGTACTAAGCATACTTGTAGTAAAGCAGTTAAGACGTCTGATGGGGGGGGGAGGTTCATTGATCCCTTTAGTTTTATAATGAAAATTGCTATAAATGAGCCTAATTTTCTATTGTATTGCATTTTTTATTTATTGCCATTAATAATTAATTTTTTTTTTTTTTTTTTTTTTTTTTTTAGATTAAGATTAGAGATAGTGGAAGAGTTGAATGACCATTAGGCTGAGTGCATGTGTGGAGTTGACAGCTTAGAATAAAGGGTTACTGAGATTTGACTGATTGCTACAAGTCTTAACATGGTTATTGGCAGTGCCGCGCCTCTCATATACCGCGCAAGGAGATTAGAATGCGCGGTGCCATGGACTAGCCTCCATGGCACGCGCAACTCTCAATGCTGTTTCAACCATTAGCTATTTTCGGGCGTAAATCGAGATTGTCGAAACACTTGTTTTTGCGTAGAAACTCTTAATTTTAATTGTACAAATTGTTCTTTTAACTGTTTTCAACTGCATTTGGTATTTTATGTTTTTCCGTATTTTACAACTTTTAGTGAAGATGCTTGATAAGTTCTTATGTATTTTGCTTGCCGCGAAGCGAATTCAGTTAATTGAATGAGGAATATACCTGTATTGAAATTCAAGAAAAAATAAATTTAAATGAAATGCAGTAAAAATATGTATAATTTATAGACCGTACAAGTGACGGAGGACGCAGGCACTGTCCCTTTACCGTTTCGGTTAATCGGTATAGCACCGCGTCCACACCTGTCTAGAGACAACAGCGAAAAGAGGAAATCTACCCAAGAGAGCCCCCCCCCACCCGGCGCCGAGGCCCAACATCCGATCCAAGCCCCTGCGCCATCCGTTACCACGAGAGCCACTGGGAATTTATTAAAGTTTGAATAAGATGTACAGTTCCAAACAAGGGAAAGTGATTACATAGTATACAAGTTACATAGATTAAGAATAATGATACACAGTACAACCGAATTATAACAAAAATTGGTTATTACATAAGAAAGTATTAAAATAAAATATAGGAATAGGGAAAGATAGAAGTAACAAGAAAGATAACATTGCTGTAGATAAACACAGGAAATGAACAATGTGATAACTGCGCTGAAAAGGCTTGGACTTTATAGACAGCATAACAATCAGTTCTATACTGAAAAATAACGTAAATAATATACAAGCATGTCAAGTGGGTAAGGTGTATAATACCCAGGTGTCCATTAAATGCAATGGATGAAACGTATAGAGATAAGATTCATTAATAAATAACAAGATGTAACAAGTACCAACTTACAGGAATAAGAAATAGATGGTCAAAACCATTATCCATAGTAAAATGTTCAAGAAAACTATATAGTAATCTATTAATATTCACATCACTAAAACAGATCTTATTTTTAGTAAAACAGAAAGGCACTGAGACATTAAATACAGCGTATTGGCTAAGTACCAATTTGCAGTGAAAAAGTGCCAGTACCATCACAGTAGTTATATATGAATGTAACATCATTATACAATACCAACACTATATGATAGTGCAGGTACAAGAAAAATATTTTAAACCATTATTAATACAGACGATACAAGAATTACACTGCGATGCAACACTATATGGTACACGATCGAGATTAGAATATTACAAGTTATTCCGAGTATTCAGGTTAATACAAGGCAACATAGTGAATTATTGATGCCAATACTGTGAAGTTATGTTATGTGTCAGTGCAATATAAAAATTGTGATATGCGAAATGTGTCCAAATATTGATATTAGAAAAAAGGAAACGCAATTAAATGCAATAGATTTACGAGATATACTTTTACAATAAGATACGTATCAAACAAGAGATCAAGCACCGTGTAAAATACATTACACTGAAGGGTCTATGTTAGTGCCTGATACTGAAGGGTCAAAAGGGAGTAAATATAGCTACTTCATGAATGACGTAAATCCAACTTGTAATGAAATAGTTTTTTCTTATGTTACCATTGAGAGATTATCACAAACTTAAAATTAAATGTCTGCAAGGTTTCCCTTTTCAGCCTGGCTAGATATATGATTAATATTAGACTTAGGAGTGTATATTGAATGTTACATATTTCAGAAAACTTACGTTCTTTATTGTATGTGAATGATTAATATTAGTTCTTAGTATTATGTTGTTTATATGTTATTTACTGGCCTCAGTATAAGTTCTTATTGTGCTATCCTTGGTACTTAACCCAGTGTTGTGAAAAATTATTAGTATTAATATTTATTAATTAGTTTTGACTTTTTGAGAACTTGCTGTGGTAAAAGGTACGAGGAAACTAAATATTTAAAAGACTTCTCTTTTTTTTTTCACCCAACACGGGTGTTCAGACGTTACACCTGAAAAAAATTTGCACGAAAGCACACTTGATAGTTGCGAGAAGTGTTTCTACAGTAAATTTTTATTTTTTACGAAATCTTCGTACTTTAAAAAATCTTTCTACGCTTTTATATAACAATAACTGGAGCAATCAAATAAACCTTTGCAGTATCATCGGATGGTTTTGCGAACAAAAAAAAAAAAAAACCATGCTAAATAATAATTTTATTTTAAAATGTCGGAATTAAAGTTTATCTTTAAAAATAAACATAGAGTTTTAATTAATTTCACTACATGTCATTTTCACATTTTTTTTTAAATAATTTGTTTGGATATTAAGAGGGATTGTAAATAGAGGGATCGTCCTGGAAGACTAAAGTTCTAGCTACGCCTTGTATGCAGGTGGACAATTTACGAATTAAACTGCTTTCAGATGCATTGCCAATGTTCTCTCTCTAAATTATGCATTCTCTTGCTGTTTAAATTCCATTTAATTTGCATTCCGGTTAATGGTGATCAAGGAAACAGAAGGTATACGGAAGAATTAATATTAAAATAACGTGTTACTAAAATAAACCGATAACTTTTGGTTGTTGTAGAACATACTGAGATTGTATAGTGAAGTTATCTTACATACGTGCTAGTGTTATTCCAATCAATAAACGAAGAAAGTATTTTACATATTTTTTATTTTATAATATCACATTTCAAAACTACTATTTACACATCTTCTAACACAGGACAAATAGGTAGATTTATATCTCCAAATATATTAAATTCAAACATGCACGCTAAAATTACAAATATTACATAAATTATCAAACAAGTGAAGCCTACCGCTCTGTTTAATTTCCATCCCGATAACTGAAAGATTAAGAAGAAGATTATAAGCGTAATAAACAGCGTTGCTGTGGCAAAAGTCAATGCTGAGCTGTATATTCTTAAATAACCTTCTTCTGTAAGAAGAGTTTTTGCCAACCATGGAATTCCTAGGCAAATAGATATGTCAAAAGTATTGCTTCCGACGAGATTACTGACTGCCATGTTGCCCAAACCTGTTGAAATAAAACATTAATTTAAGGAAAGTAATTTATTTGTTAGGTTGCAGTTGATCTGGAATCTGAAATTAATAAGTCCCATAACCCTACTAGACGAATTAGCAAGCTACCGCTACGTCTGAGATATTATGACAAAGATTTGCGAAAATTAAAGTAACCTTTTCATTTAGTCTGAACTTTTAACTTAAAAGGCATGACTAGTGCTACAAATAAACCACTACTTGTGGTCATGTAAATTAAGAACTAACAGATGAACAGGTAAGAGCAGGTCTAGGCACCCGGGAGGCTTGCATAGACTGATCGGGTGTTGTCCGGATCGCTCAAATTTCTAGAGCAGCACTCTCCGGTGTCTTACAAGGGTCGCATCGGGAGACTGTTGGATTTACATTCTACGAGGGTTGGAACTTTAATAGTGGCAACACAGCTGAAAAAACGCTACGCAACAAAACCAAAGAATATCGCGTGTACCACACGTGAACCTCGTACATACCTACCTTAACCTCTCAGCAAAAAGACTCGTCCTGCCTACGTCACGCGCATGCGGAGTGACGCGAAGAACGGATCCTTGTATTTTGTATTAGCTCGCGGTCTAAAGTAAGTGTTGTCAGGATGTTTTCAAAACAAGAACAACGATGTTGGATTAAAATTGAATGTGCCAGAGGTCGTACAGCACGACAGTGTCATCAAGGGCTTCAAGAGGCTTGCGGGGAATCTGCATTGCCTTACAGAACCGTAGCAAGATGGGTGAAAGCATTCAATGAAGGACGTCAAAACGTGGCAGACATGTTGCGGCCAGGTCGTCCGAGTGTCAGCGATGCAGAAGCGATGCAGACGTGCAAGCTGTTGCCGCACTAATGGACAGTGATCGCCGCCAAACGATTCGTCAGCTGACCGGACAAACAGGATTAGCGCATACGACTGTGCTGCACATTCTAAAGGAACGCCTGTCCATGAGAAAAATTGCTTCACTATGGGTTCCACATCAGCTGACGGAAATGCAGAAATGGCTACGATACGATGCTGCCCGAACCCACCTGGAGCGCTATGAGCGCGAAGGAGATGCTTTTTTACGCCGTATCATTACGCTGGATGAGACTTGGGCCTGATCGTACCAGCCAGAACTGAAACGACAATCAAACGAATGGCGTCATCACGGGTCACCACGACGTTCGAAATTTCGTCAGAACCCCAGCAATGTGAAAGTTATGGTGATTCTCGTGTACGACTGTGATGGTGTCATCCTAATGCATACCGTTCCCCCACAGCAGACCGTCACTGCGTAGTATTACTGCTCATTTTTGGAGCACGATCTCCGACCAGCTTTGAGAAAAAAAAACGGCGACACTTTCTGCAGAACGCTCCTCTCATTTTGCATGACAAATGGATGGAGCTGGGACGATGACGATGGAGCTGGGAAGGGCTTTACCATCCACCATACTTCTCAGATCTAAGCCCTTGTGACTATGACTTAATTCCTAAGATGAAGGAACCACTTCGGGGCACTCGCTCCTGAGATTCTTGCGGCAGTAGACCGGTCCATTCAAACTATCAACAAAACAGGCGCTGCTACAGGTATTCTACGACTTCCACATCGTTGGAAACGGGTTGTACACAATGCTGGCGACTATATTGAAGGACTGTAAAATATGGTACCATGAATCACTTTTGTATTCCTTGTAAATAAATAGTTGCCACTATTAAAGTTCCAACCCTCGTACATGGCCATTGACATCAGTACTTAATAAATTGAAATGGACATCTAACACACATAATAAAAACAAATTAAACGTATAATACAAATTATACGCAATAGCTGGACATTATACAAAGCACAATACAAAATACTCTAATTACTTCATAACAAAAATGACTGTAGCAGTACCTTAAACATAGACTACCAAATGCTGTATTCCATTGAGTACAATATGCTAAATTCAATATGTATACCATTCATTAAGTACATCTTGTATTGCCCATCACACATTATATTAAGGGCAGCAGTTCTTTGTATATTATACCGTATCGGACTCAACACGTATAATACATGAAGCAAATTTTATTAAGGACAATACTATAGAGCACTCAATTAGGATTACTGTTGCCCATCAAAACTAGGACATGGATTACCAGGTGCTGCACTCAGTGTGTACAGAAATCCTATCTACAGTACATATGTTATCCATCCGCTATATTTCTTCTCCATAACGGTTATTGTTTGCCTTCATTATAATGAGTACTACTGTCAGTTCTACAGTCATTGTGTATCAGTACTACATTCATTATATTTCATTGTGGTAGTGAGTACTATTTGCAGTTCCCAGTAATACTTGCACATTACAGCCAGTGTTGCTGTCATTACTGTCACATCAATATTATAGTGAATGTGTTTCATTACGGTCATTATGTGCATTATTGCTTTATATAGTGCATACAATATTCTCTATATACTTTTCTCATTACACAGGAGTAGCACACTAATCAACATGACATAAGTCTTGCCCTAGTGGCTCTAGTGTTTCCATTACACTTTTTAATTCCTTAAGGATGGTCACCTGCTTTGTTGAAGAATCGCTAAAATGGGACGTCAGTGTTGGTCAACAGCATATGCCAAGCTTCTGTGAGGGGACATGTTGTTATGTAATGGTCCGAGGATCCAGCCGCCATTAAAAATAGTAACTGATTCAATTTAAACTCGGTGTCCAGGAAAACATAGGTAATATTCTGGTCGGTAGTCCAGGAAAACATAGGTAATAAACTACAGGCTTGGCTCAATTAATTTTACCGGCACATAAGTTTAAAGCAATAGGCTAGCGAAAATTGCCAAAGCCGAAATTATCCTGGTGAGGAGTACGGAAAGAAGAAAGCATAGTAAAGATCAAAATTATAATTACTGGTTAGTTAAACGTTTGCAAGTTTGAATCCAGGAGTAACATCGAGAAAGTAGTAACCCGCTCGGTATGATAGAGCCCATTTGATGTGTTGCAGTTAATGTTATCATTCGGATATTGCTATTGATTTGTCAAAGTCCCACCCGCTTGTACACGGAAACATGGAAAATGCATCGTTTACTGTGATCAACAATTCGATTAATGCGATAAAAATATTATAGAATAAATTTTTAAACGAAAGTAAATCTTCAAATTATAAAATTGTCATTTGACAGATAAGTGTCGTCAAGAGAAGGGTCAAGTCGCCAAATAAATATGGTTTCAATCAACCATTTAAAATTAGGCAAAAAAAAGCAACCTAAGATTGACGTAGATTTTGAATAACTCTATCAATTTTGAGGGAGATCAGACAGAAGTCTTTCTTCTTGAGAAGCAAAAAATATTCTGCTGTTGAAAAGAAATAATTCCATCAAAACTTCTACGACAAAATAAGGTTGCCTTTTTTTTTTTTTTGCTTAATTTAACATTTTACAATGGGATGTTCTCATCCAATGAGGGATGCCCTCCGAGTATTAAAATTAGGGGTACAGTGGTCAAATAGTTTCCACAGACGTAATAAACTGTTCATAAAATGAATTTTTGCATTTTGAACAGTTCGTAAACAATCCTTTGCATTTTCCTAATTAAAACACCTATTTATATGTTTCTTGACATTTTTATGTTAAATTAGTTTAATTCCATTGTTAATGTGAAGTATAACTACCATGTTTTATTTCAAGGAAAATGAAGAAATTCTGCAAATTCATCCCCCTACCCTCGAAGAAGAAAGACTTGTTTTGGTCGCTCTCAAAATCTAGTGAGTGATTCAAAATCTACGTTACGCTAAGGTTGCTCTTTGCCTACTTTTAATTGGTTGACTGAAATCGAAACCAAGCTGTTTGCCGACTTAATATGGACGCTTGGTAATTTTTACAATCTATTTTGACCTCACTTGGCGAATATATTTTTTATTTGGTGACTTTTGTTCAGTTTAAAAACATTTATTCTATAATACTAAGTGCATTAAACGAATTGTTAATTCCAATAAGGGATGCATTTTCCACATTTTCCTGTGCAAACTTCAGCGAGACCTTCGGCAATTCGATAGTCCGAATAAAAGCATTAACTGCGATCACATTAAATAGCATATACTGTAATTATATTTATAAAAAATTAAGCAGCAACATGTGCTAAATAAATTGGTTTTGGAAGGAGATAAGAATAGGGTTAGTCTGGCAGACATTTTTATTCATAACAGCGGTTGCTTTCCACTTGAGAAACTGCCCTAATGCTGTGGAAGTCTGTGTAGAATGCTTTTATTCAAATAAATTTTGTTATTGGTATCAGCATTATTACCAAACGATACTTATTTCTAGACATTCTGAAAATTTTAAAGAGAATTTTGAGACTGCTAATTAACTAATTAATTTTGAGGTTACTAATTTGAGACTAAGAAAACGTTAAATGTAATATAAGACTGGTGATAAGGTTATATGCAAATTAATTTTCCTTGCAAGCAACGGCATATAGTCTACTAAGTTTTACATGAAAAATAAACTCATGCATAATGCATGTGCTGTTTATTATAATCTTTTATGTATTTTTCTCATGGTATTTCCCTATGGTTGGAATTTCGTCATCGACATTTAACCTGCTTTCTAATGAGCCATCGAATTCAAGTATTGCACATACATACACTGTTAGTTGATGACAATGCAATGCGATAAAGTGATTTTTTTCAAAATTCGTTTTAGATTTTTTTTTTAAATTATTTGTTTAAACGATTTTTCGCGCATAACTTCGTTTAACGAATAAACTAAATGCATTAGAACTTTACTGTTTTCACAGTCGACTAGAGCGAAAAAAGAACCTTAAAAAAATTGTGAAAATTGTAACTCAATTTCTGAATGAATAATTTCTCTTCAAGGCTTTTATCAGAGTCGAAACGCTGTTGTTTGCGGCTCGAATGCACGATCTAAAAACAGCTGACAAGACTTTTTTTTTTTTTTTTTTTTTTAATAAAATGGAAAATTTTGGTACCTGTATGACATTTTGGTTGGTTATATTTCGTAATTTAAATATATTTATACCTAAATAAATCTTCGCCTGACACTTTTTTTAAGTCATTCTAAAATGTTTATTTAATTACTAAATAAAAAACTTAATTACTAAATTAAAATTTATTTAATTACTAAAATAAAAATTAACAAATTATGGAAACTAAGTTTCAAAAGAAATTACCAAGCTGGAAAAAACTTGAGAATAAATAATGACAACCTAATCTCTTTCTTTTATTTATTAAACTCTTTTTTGAAATATTAATAGAAGTACCTTTATAAAGTGTATGTAAACAATTGTAAATTTATTTTTTCTTACTATATAAGATATTTCTCCCGCCTTCTTGGCATGTCTTCGTGGTGTGGTGGTCTGTACGCTGGGCTATTCCAGAGGTCCGCGGTTCGATTCCCGGCGAAGCCGTTGCTAATTTTTCATCTTGCCTGCTTCCAAAAATACCTAATGTCTCTGCAACTACAGCTTGGTACTTGATGTGTTTCTATTTCGATAAATGTTTGTAGCTTAGAAATTATCATTATCTCGGATTGTAGACGCCCATCGATCATTTTTTTTTTTTTTTTTCTCATTTTCAACTGTTCAAAAAGAAAGGGATTCAGATGTGAATTCACATTGCTCCCAAACAAAACGGTTATTCTTATTGCAAAAGTTCGTAACTGAGTGTACTTATTTTTAGACAAGCATGAATAAAATTTAATCAAATCTGTATTTTCAAATCTTTGAATAAGATTTACATTACACTGTAAATTCATGAATTCCATTTAGGGATTTTCTGCTGCGTTATTCATGTTCTTTATTTTAACGAAAAAGAAAGCAATATAAACTCGGATTTCAAATCACTACTAAAATCTTGAAATCTTTCCAACACAGGAACAAATACACAATCGATATATCTTTGCGGGCTGCACAAATTTGATTCGGTGCAGCGAGTTTGAGACCACTGTTCTGGCAAATTTTGTGGAAAGTATCTTTTAAACCTGCAAGTGACTGAAATGTCTAGGATTTATATAACGTTAGTATTACTTACCATTTTTAGCAACAATGACAGTGGAAATAATGTCTGGAATACTTGTCCCAGCAGCTAAGATAGTGAGACCAGAAACTGACTCAGGTATGGAAAAAGTGAATCCTATTCAGAAAATAAATAAAGAAATAAATTAATGTTAGAAATGATTGAAATTACTAAACACTTTAATGAAGAGTTACTTCGGAGTAAAGTGAAAAGACACGTTTAAAGCTGCAAAAAACAAACAATGGAAATTGTAAACTTAGTTCTCTAGATGTAACTATTGCATGGTTTCTCGAAAGGGTGGGTGTTGGGCCCTTGGGAGTTGACGAAGTTTTAAAGGGGGTCAATGATGATCAAACAGTCGAATCGGGGTCGATAGCCCAGCATGTACCGACAGTTGATCGGCATATTCAAGATCTCATTGATTTCATAAAGAAAATCTGATATGGACACCATGATTTCCTTGTACGACTTATTAAATTATAAACATTTTTTTGCAGCATTTCATTTAAACTTATTTCCTCGAATCTTATGCCAGATATATTTCTCATTCAATTAATTCAGTTCCCACTTCGCGACGAAGCAAAAATACATAAAACGTGAAAATATCTTTAGTAAAATTTCAAAAATATAAAAAAATATAAATCACCAAATACAGTTAAAACAATTGAAAAAAATTTACAATAAAAAAAGTTCCTACGCAAAAGCAATCAATTCGGCCAGCGTGAAAAAAGGCAGATTTTTCGATGTAAAAAACTGAAAGTTCACTTTTGATCCCACTCGGCAAAAAGACATTGAAGTTGCAGAAACTGACTTAATTCACTAGTCTACTGATTTCAAATGTAAACAAATGGCGGTTCCTTAGGCTTAATTCGTCACTTAAACTTTTAAATTCTTGATAATTCTACAGCTATTGCATGCAGATTAACTAAAGACATAAAAACTTTAACCGGAACATAAAACCATATAATTCAATTACTTTTAAAGCAAAAAATGCACAATTTACTAACATATAAGAATAAAAAAAACCAAGCTCACCGAGCCAGGTAACAGAGCGAGAATATGTATATTCTGGATTTACAAAAATGGAAAGAATTTCTACATTTTTCGCTATGCATTAACTATATTAAGCATTCAAACTTTCTTTACCTGCAAACACAAGGAATTCCAATTGGATGTTCATATTTCAATCATATTTGTAACTTATTTCTATTTTCTAAACAATTCAAATTCCTAAAGAGCCTTTCTGATAACAATTTCAGTAAATTTGAACACACTGATAGATATATTCATGATATTATTACTTTCAACAATTTTAATCTCATTGAAAACAGCAACATCTACCCAAATTGTCTAAAACTAAATAAGACCAATAAAAACTAAAATAGTTTATTTTGATCTAAGTATTCATAATCTAACAGAAATTAAACTTTAATTTATAAAAGAAAAGATTTTAATTTTTCTACTAATAAACTTATAACTTGGAATTCTAACATATATAAAAAAAGTTATTGCAAATACTATGATTAACCAAATTTGTAGAATTAAAAATGTTTACACTGAAACAGAAACACAAAAAGAAGGAATTCTAATTCTCACCAAAATTTTAAAAGATAATGGAATTCCTTTAAAATTCATTAATATTTTAATAAAGAATTCTGGAGCAGTCTACACCCTATTATATCTTTTAAAAGTGTGAATTTTTTGTCTGAAAGCTCCAAAAGAGAAGGATAAAGAAGGATGTTTTAAAGGGTATTTAGAATTTTTTTATTTATTTATTTTTTAATTATTTTTTCTCTAAATTACTATTCTGTTACTAAACAAGGGCCTTATATATTCAAAGTCGTCATTATAAGCCCGTGACGTGAAAACCTTTTACTTTTCTAAAATAGTTTCTTTACTTCCTTTTTCAACCTTTTTCTGTAATTTTAAATAACAATATTAAAAATCTAAAATTCAACTTTATGGATTTTTCTGCTCATATCTACAGAACAATTATTATTTAAAATTTAATTAAACTTTTACACGGAATGATAGTCTTTATTCCCATTTTTGTTTTAAAAGAGTCTGAATTTACTTAAATTTCATTCAATTAATAAAGTAATCTTATTCTTTGTCTAAAATAAAAAAATTGTCATTGAAATATTTAAAAATTGTTCTTTTGATTTCCAAATTCCATCTTTTGCTCCAAATTTTAGCCTTTTGAGCGATTACTTACTTTCTCGCCAAGGTTTTTTAGTTTCGCCAATGAAGCCAAAATGGCAAACCTGTACTTCACCACTTCACTGATAGTTTCGATTGGTGCCTAATGAGAGCGCTAGAAGTTTTTAATTACTTCTTGTGAATTTTAATTAGGTCTTTTCAACTGTGTTTTATAAATTCACTAACGTTTTTAATTCTTTGGATTCTATACTATATGTTTTTCACTGAAGTATTTTATTATTTGACTTTCGTTTTCAAGTCTTTAAATAAAATAGAATTCTTTTTATTTAAGGAACAAGGTTCTAATTCACTATGTTTTTTCCTTGCTTTAGAAAAGTTCACTATGTTTTTTCCTTGCTTTAGGAAAGTTCACTATGTTTTTTCCTTGCTTTAGGAAAGGGCCAGAATTTTCGGGTGAACTATTATAATTAAAATAACATTGAAATGGTTCATCGGCAAGAAGATTTTTGTAGAAGAGAGATTTCAGTTGATTTCAGTGTTCTTTCCCCCTGACGAAATGGCATTGAATTTGATTGAATTCCTCTTCTGTTATGTTAATTTTTCTTTCAAATTCATTAATTTTTTTGAAATGGTGTTTTGCTTGTTTTTAAAGTTTTGGTTTTAACATTTTTAAAATTCTTTGTTACATTTATAGGATTATTTGAAATTTATTATTTAGCAATTTCAGTTTTTGGTCTTTGGGAAAAATTAGTTCTAAATTTCTTACTTTATGTCTTTAATGATAATTTTACAGACATGTTTATATTTTGTTTTAAAAAATTGTTTTATAATTATATATATGTATATGATTAGTGCAGCCGATTGCAACGAAAAAAGGAGGTACATAATTGCGTGTTATAGCAGTCCCACATACAAATTTTAACGTTCTGAGACTACTTGTTTTTGAGTTATAGGAGATACATACATACGTACGTACGTACGTACATGTACGTACGTGATGGCGGGCGAAAAAAATCTCTTCTGAATCCATTTTAAATCCAATTTATAATCCTTTTTGGCAAAAATAGGGCTATATTCTGTTCGTACTTACAGATGTAACACAAAAACATCGTTGAAATGGTTTCGAGAGGGTTGAATTGAATATTTTCGATGAACTACGATACCCGAATTTTTTCGCGTTTACCATACTTCCTTTACTTCGCAAAAGGAAATAAAAATTATCAGTAAAATTGGTAATTAATTATTCATTGATAAAAAAGCTGTGTCGTGTAGTAATAACGAAACACCAAAAAATAATAATAAAAATAAAAATAAATAAATAAATAAACATAAAAGAAAAGTACGCTAAATTTATTTAACATATTTTTTAAATCAATGATATTATTTTTTAAATGTATAAACTATTTATGTTATGAGTTCAATATAAAGAAGTTAAACACAAGAACACAAGAAAAGACTATCAAAGACACACGAAAAACGCAGAACTAGATAGAATGGAAAACAACAGATAAAATGAATTTTTTTTTAACTAAATGATTTCAAAATTGAATTAAACAATTCTGTGACAAGTATTTTTAAAAGTGTATTCATGCATCAAACGTTCATTAAAATCGAACTTTTCACCTTCATTAAAATCACATTATTATCACATTCATTAAAATCGAACTTTTGTGCTATTAGAATGTGTGATATTCTTTTATATTTGTGAAATTAAAGATAATAATGAAACAAAAAATTATAAAACATGAAACTAAAATACCATTTTTCAAAACCTTCCATATCCTTAATCTAAGTGTAGTCTTTAAATACGTAAGGTATTTTCTGTCTCCTTTCCGTTGGCCTTCGTCGTATAACTGGGAGCATGCTCGACGCGTATTCGCGAGGTCCGGAGTTTGAATCCCGGCGACGGCATTGCACATTTTTCACGTTCCTGCATCGATACAACCTAATGAATAATAAGTTATTTATGTGCAATTTTTTGGGTACTATTCGGTTTTGAGGGCCGTAAAAAAATTGCAGCGAAAATGTATGCGCAAAAGCGCCAAATCTAGCAAACGCGCCCATTTAACAGCGCGCCAAATCTAGTGTACGCGTTGATTTCAGACTGCGTAAGTTTATATAGCTCTATATTTCTTAAGACGCCATTGACATCAGAGGCGTAGCTAAGGTTTTAAGCGCCCGGGGACACCTAAAGATTTTGCGCCCCTTTCTGTGTTCCAAGAATGGAAAACATTTCATTCTGAAAGGTGTATTATCAATTTGGCGCCCCTTGGATGCTGCGCCCGGGGACGGATGTCACCCTTGCCCCACCCTAGCTACGCCACTGATTGACATACTAGTTTAATTTTTAAATCCTTTTTTGATATCCTATGGATTTAACAATTTGGGAATTACCCATGACGAAAAGTCGGCAATAGAATTTTGGGTAAAGTGCAGAATCACCCACTGCTTGAGGCGTTTTTAAGAAGTGCACATACTCGGTATCCATGTGCACATCGACCTATTTTCACTTAAAAAAAAAATCCGAGAATTGCACAAAAATGGCACTGTGCACACCCTTGATTTTATCTATGTACACATTCAATTAAAAATATTTTCAATTAAAAAGTAAAAGAAAATTGACAAAAATTCAATTGTTTTTACCCTTGTAAAAAGCAGCAAACAAATAAGTGAGCGATTCTGCACTTTACCGAGAATATTTTCAAAGAAAAGGTATCATTCATTATAGAAAATTACGTTTCAATAACCAACGAGATGAAATTATGCTTTAGCGATAAGACGGTAGCGAAATAGCGATGCAGGCATCCATTCAGTTATGTTTAGCAATTTTTATATAAATTACATAATGATCTGAAATAGTTATTTACTCTTATGCTTCCATTCAGTCATGTTTAGCCTTTTTCATATAAATTATAATAATAAAAAAGTATTATATGAAATTAACCTTTCATCTAAATTAAAACATCAATCTTAGATAGTTAGTATTTACTATTATACTTCCTTTCTTGCCGCAATTATTAGGGTTGCCGCAATTATTTTTGGCAGCATTGACATCAACAATAGTTTGGCGATTTTTTACTGCCCTCGAAACCGAATAGTACCACTTTTTTATTATGATTATGTCATATATTTTTTATTATACAGTAAAATGTAAAGGGATCGATGAAGAAAACTATTCTTTTGAAAGAGATCATGCGTGAAACAGTTTGGGAATCCCTGGAGTAGATAGATATATGGAAAATTTTTGTGTTTTTTTTTTCCATTTGTTACGTGACCATCAACTACTTTTCTTTTAAATGTCCTCCGCAAAGGCATCTTTTCCTTTACCCAGATAAATGTGGAGGTATTTTACCGGAATCAATAAACTGTCCAACCGAGAAATAGTTTTGGACACCCCTTCCCCCCTCCAAAAAAAAGCAGCCGCAGTTTTTTTTTTTCAAAAAAAAATTTATGCAGTTAATGATAACTTATATTTGAACTTACCTATGATTGTTACCATCCACACAGCCAGATATGATAACCCTCCGATCCATGTGATAGCAGTGATAAAAGTGAGTGGAAATATTTTTCGGAAAGTTGTTTCGCTGCCTTTTGGAATCGTTAGGAAGAAAAGGAATGTAGCAGGATACAGCAGAATCCACCAAACGTAGCTCCAAGGTCCTCCGGAAGGCGGAGAGCAAATTGTTCCTCCGTGATTCTCTTCTTCACTTGATAGAGACTCATCTGCGAATAAAGTTAAGAACAATATAACGTAAAATTTTCTTAAATTTGGTTAGATCTACAGCAGAAGCCGCTTAATGTATCAAGTTCGTCCACGCTTATTCTGATAATATGATAATATTTAACCGAATTAGCGATGAAAAAAAAATCATTAAAGCTATTAATGGAATTTAATTAATTTAATCTAATTGTTACCTGCAAAGTATGAAACGCCGGCTTTCTATAGAATGCCTAGGAATTGTATATAATGTCAGACGATTTTAGGAAAAGTATGAAATATGAGAATTATTATATACTTTCCCTAGGCATTGTATTTAATACCTAGGCATTCTACAGAATAATAAATGCTTTTTAAGCAAAGTATAAGAATTGAATTAAAAATTTTTATTCAAAGTACATAAAGAAAATGAAAGTTGTCTGAAACAAGAATTGTGTAAAATGTAAAAGTTAGCAAAAAAAAAAAAAAAAAAAAAAAAAAACAACTCTTGTTTGTCGCAGATGTTTTCTTGAGAACTTTTTTCGAGTTTCGTTTTTGGAGAAGAATGTGTGATCGCCCTCAAAATCGATAGTTATTCAAAATCTTCATGAAACTAAGATTACTTTTTTGCAGTTTTAAATGGTTGAAAATAGTTTAAATGTTTGACAAAGATGGACCTATACCTGTTCGCTCTAAAAATCGATAGAATTTCCGTTAAATTTACAACAAACACGAGGTTGTCTTAATTTTAAGTTTTACTTTGGCGTGGTTTTTTCCTTTCTTGACCACTGTGATGGCTCTGATGGTTTACTTATTGGACTTTATTTGTTCGTTATCGTTTTTAGAGTCTGAATCAAATTAAAGTACTTTAAATCCACTTTACATAATACTTGCTTCAATGGAACCGCGTGAAATCACATGGAATGTCAACGAAAGGAGACCCCTTTTATGCCTTTTCTCTTACTTACAGCGGAGATATACAATCGCCTTGGTGTTGTCACTTGGAATGTCGCCAGTTCGTCGTTCCATCTATCGTTAAGCTGATTCTACTAAGCCTGTTATCGTATTAAGCGCAGCAATAAATTGACCAAACTAAAACATTTCAACTGTATATAAAATTATATATATTATCAGCAATATATGAAATGCCAGCATTCTATAGGCATTTTATAGAATGCTTGGCTTTTTTAGGCAAAGTATGAAATATGAGAATAATTTTATATTTATCCTCGACATTGTATAGGCATTCCGTAGAATGGCAAATGCTATTTAGGCAAAGCAGAGATAAAGGTCATGATAAGCAATTATCAAAAGATGTGCATTCTTCAAAAATACAAATTTATTTTAAAAAAGTAACGAAAAAAATGCCATTGAAATACATTTATTCAAAATGCATACAAAATGAAAGTTATACAAAATAAATTTATGCCTTTTCTTATTGAAGAAAACAAGATTTTCGCACAACATTTAATAAATTAAAATTAACTTATTTGGTGCAAAATGTTAAACTTAAATGACATTATGAATGACAATTCATTCCTTTTTTCAAGTAAAGACATTTCGCATTTTGGCACACTTTGTTTATACTTTGTTGTTACTTTACGAATCTTCTACTGGACTGAGCAAGTATAACTGATCAGAGAGAAATTTCGAGGTCATGAATATCTTCAATTCTAAGCAAGTTTTTAGAACAAAAACTGAATTGTTATCCCTCATATAACTGCTTTAAAATTCCATCAGAAGTTTTAAGTCGGTAGAAACCATCCTACCCACTTGGCAATGCCTTTCAAAAACGAATCGGTGATGTACTTACTACTTCATTTCACACATGTAAAATGTTGTCATTATATAAAACGAATTTCCTAAACCGTGTGTTTCATGCTTTGCTAGTTTGTCATTTCGTATTCTGTAGAACGTCTAGAAAATGTTTGACATGTTAAACGTTTCATAAATTACTGGTCAGTTTTCTGGTATTCTATGCCGAATTTCAAACTATGCCGGTAACATAAAATACAAAATAAAACAAAGCAAATAGATTCTCAACAGTATATGAACACAGAACAAATACAGTAAAATATCTTTTAACAGGCAGCAAGCGACCGCGTCAATTCCGAATAATAGCTTTTTTTCGGATAAGTATATATTTCTAGAACTTATTTGTTCACGTAATCTTCTTCGCTCTCCTCTTTCTCATCATCTTTCTCCTTTCCCAGATTATTTTGCCGTCACCTAGAGAGAGTACGATAGCAATAGAGTTTTGTACAGCTTTCCGAGTCTGCATCTCCTCTTCACTAACACTAACGTTCTCCGAATATCTGATTAAATCTAAGATGTGAGCGAAGGATGTATTTTAAAATCAAGAGAATGTTTGCCAATCGATTCGTCATCTACGAACGGGATCATAGGCCACAATTTTACAGCGAGGTAATGTTTTTTACATCTTTCCAGAAATGAAACAAAGTAAATATGGCGTCCTTCAGTGTAAATTGTCTATGAAAATCGTGCACGTTCGTTCACACTTGCTTGCATTAAAAGAGATCCGAAGTTCATCTTTATATTCCGGAAAACTCCTTGGTTCACTAATTGGACAAGGCTTGATACGTTGAGCGACAGAAACATAACACAACTGTTTTCAATATTTGTGTTTTCAGACTGTTAGCCTGTTACATACTTTTTGTAATCTCATAAACCTATATTTCGGATTTAAATTTAGACTTTCAAATGTGCTATTATTTCGATATTGTCGATTAGAAGGGATTTTACTGTATCGGATTAATTTATAATGTGCATGTAAATATAATTTATAAGAATTCGAAATAAGTACAATGTAATAAGTAGTAATAGTATGTATAATAATTAATTAATATAAGCATAGTATTAATGTGCATTCCATTCGCATGAGTTCGTAACAGATTGCATACACACAGGTCTGATGACAGGTTAATAAAATTTAATTAATCAGAAGAAACACTTCAAAGTTCTGCAATTTTCTACAGAAATACTCGAAGGTGTGTTCACAATATCACTCAGTGCAATCAGTAGTTACACTTCAAACTACTAAGAACGTTAAACACAACGCAATGCAACGCGCATCTAAAGAGAAAGCTAACCCAGAGATATCTCAGTACTTCGATCTCGCGCTGAAGTAACAACTCGCAACAATAGCAACAACAACCGAGAGCAGATGCCCTTTCCACCTTATGGTTTTCACCTGGCTGCCGAGATATTTCTGGTACTTTCTGCCTCTCGAAATTACTGGAAAGCAATATGAGGATCGAATTACGGTTCCAGCTAATATAGTGATCAATTGCCTTTATTCAATTACAATACCTACTATTACGGTGATACAGAAGCCGGACTAAAATGCCGCCAATTTTGGCGACTTTTAACGGTTTTTGTCAAATTTGGCGACAAAATAAATCGCCAAAACTGTTGTTAGTTCGGCGATATTTGCCAAATTACTGAGATACCCATTTACTTTGTTAAATGAACTTACCTCGTATTCTTACTTTTACGGCATAGCTTGTCTCTTTAAATATTTTTCGCGTTACATTACACAGAAAAATACAACAAATTCACATGTAATTGCATTAAAATCATCTATCTATGTGCGAATTCGTAACAAAGGATTAACTGTAAGTATAGTAATTCGAAGTAAGTTTAATTTACAACAGTTTCCAAAAAACCTTTACAGAAATGAAAAAATTAATAAAAAATCACATAAATTTATGATTTGTGTTATTCTATGTACCTTAAATGCTTTATTTACCATGTCTATGGAATGAACTGCTATTTTGAAGCTCCCTTTCCTTACTGCGTTCTGCAACTTCAACAGTGTAAGATTCGCTTTTAGACTTGTCCTTTTGAGATTCGAGAATTTTTGGTACAAATACTTTGTTGCTCATAATAGGTATTTTCTCTTCATTCTGATCACAGCAACAACAGTAGCAACATGATGTAGATTTCATGCGCTTCACCTTAGGAAAGAAGATAAACTATTCATTTTTTTCTTTTCATTATATGAAAGTTAATTGAAGGGAAAAAGAAAAGAAAAAAAAAAAAATCTCTATGGGTTTAGATTTTAAAATCGCCTAAAAAGACTCTTTTAAAGTTTAATATGATTTGTCAACAAAGATTATTAATAGAGATGACGTAAGTGGAATAGATAAACATTTCATTGTATACTAGTACATGAATAGACATTTACACAAAAATTATGCATCTTCTGTGCCATTTAAGAAGTGAAAAAATAAATAATATATATATATATATATCGCAAATTATACGCTTTTTTACTTGAATATATCCGATTCAAAAGTAAAATAAATGCAATTAAAAAGAGTATTTATACAATGAGCTTTTATTTAAAATTGATATGATAATTAATATACTATGAGGAGAAGAATAATTTATCACACAGTTTAATGAGAATAATAGATTTAATAATTCTATTAAACAGAGTTCATATATACAGAGAGATAGATGACAGAAAGGCACAAATACAGATACATCTGTTCGTATGTATATGTGCACTTCACATTAAAATAACGGCACCTAGAACCACCGAACTTTTAATACACGTAGTCCTTTATATGGGCACCTCAAAGCCCGAATTTTGAATTTTCGAAGTTATTTTCTATCTATTACAAATTTAACACATTCTTGTTTAACGAAGTCAGCGATCTGAAAATGAGCAGTAGCAACGCTGTTCGAAATAAAACATATTTAAATAAATGAGTCAGCTCCTCTACCCACTATACCGTCTGGGCGGCCAGCGGACATATAATATAATCTACGGCGAGCCAGAGTGTTGCCGTTCAACAAAAATGAAGATATTTATCTTCAATTTTAATCCAGAAATTCCAGTAATTGAAAGCAATGTGTTCTCGTTGGCCTCAAATAGAATACCACCAGCGTTTTGCAGCTCAGCGACGCATAAGATATTTAGCTTTCAAATTTAATCTTTCTATTAGTGAGTAGCAAATCAAGTCATAGGGAAACAATAAACACAATTCTTAAAAAAATATTTGTTCAACTTCTATTTTTACTAATTTTTTTCCTACTGATATAAATAACAATATATTAAAATCACGATATGTCTAACTGGAAATAAATATTTTTATGAAATGACAGTAGCTAGACGCATTAAAATTATTAGTCCAAAGGGGCTTTGTCCCTGAAGGACTATTGTTTTCGTTTTGCGATTTTGCGTAAATCACTACAACGGCAAATCACTTTTCAAACTGTTGCCACCAAATATTAGAGTCCTGCATTATATTTGAAGAAATTAAATAGTGAAAAATCTGCACAAATGTAGGTATATTTCTCGCATTGTGATAAAACAACGGTACATAGAGCCATCGAATTTTGAATGACGCAATGCTCCTATATGAGCATGTGGAAGACTAAATTTGAAATTTGGAATTTGTTTTATTATCGAATTCATATTTTGTAAAACTTTAGCGAAATTTTGAGTAACAAACTGAACGATTTAAAAGCGAGCAATGGCAACACTCTACGGGGGAAAAAAAACCCCTTTTTTATCTCCAGCGTACGAAACAGTGTATCAGAAATTTTAAAGATATGCTCATTTTAAAATTATTTTGCAACATTGCTATTGAACTGAATTTCATGTTTTAATTGTAAAAATGTGATATTTAATAAAAAAAAAGGCAACACACAAAACGCTAAAGAAATTCTCCTTTGGATGTAATTTAAAATCTGAAACCTTTCAGAATTTTTTATGCATATTTTTCTTTTTTATGGTAACATCATGCTCCGATTGGTTAAAACAGGAAACGTAGGGTTACAGAATTTTGTGCTTGGGGACTTTTGCTTCATCACCTTTGTTATTTGTATATGTTAGCGTGGTGTACCAAAAAGCGTAATTAAAGTCGTAACCGCAGGTCAGCGGAAGAAGTTTTCTGACTCCTAGATCGCGGGTTCTGTCCCCGCTTGTGACTTTCGCAAACTGACCTACACGGTCTTATTTTAATTTTTATCCTCATCCATGCGTTTTATTTTATTTAAAAATTTAACACCTTTATTTCCTCTATTTTTGTTAATGCTAATTTTGCTTATTTTTCTTTATTTGTTTGTACTGTTTGTAGTAGGTACCAGTAGCAAGATTACGATCCAAGATCCCGAAAAGCGTTACAATAGAAATAGCGCATAATGGAGTAAAATATAATTATAGTTATACTTACTCATGATTTAAGTAAAAAGAATGGGTATCCGACACCCTTAAATGTCTATTGAATGTTTTCATTTGGTTTATTTTTTTAATATTCCTTTATTTGCATAACTTAATGCGCTATGGAAATTTACACCACAGACCCTTTCTAGCAGAAATGAAGAAAAAAATTCATATGCCATTTCATGTAAACACTTTTCTTGCAAAACAATTACCGTATTTTTAACAGTTTAAGTTCATTCTTTAACCAAACTATTAATAAGATCAGTAGGTTATTTAAAATATATTCCACACAATTCCCCTTAGCTTTCATTCATAAAATAAAAAATTATCGAATGAAATAAACGCTGCTTCTCCCGCTTACTGAAAGCCCCCAAGGCATGGTTGGCGTTAATTACAAAGCCTACAAGGGCGCGGTAACTCGTCATTCCAGATATGACCGCCAAGCAGATGTTTCATCCAATGAGAGTAGACTGTAGAAGAAAAGGTCTATAGGATTTGTGAACATGTCCGTTACCTTCTATGAGATAGACAACTTACATCCATGCCTTCTTCGGGATTCGAACCCGGACCCTTCGGTATCGCTCTCAGCTCCTCTACCCACTATACCGTCTGGGCTGTTAGCGAATATATAAATAATATAGCGGAAGTAAAAATATGTATGGCCACCCCTCTAAAATTCTAAAAATGTACGTTTTTTAAATATTTTATGATTTTGCTCTTGAATTTTATGTGCGTAAGTGCATTGAAAGAAATGTTTAAGAATAAAGCTAAAGAGAGAAAAAACATGTATTAGCAGGTGTCAGTTCCAAGAGCAGACTTGTAATGCGCGATGCTTTGCGAGAGCATAAAAAACATAAACAAATATTTTGGCGCGATATTAAAATCTGTATCTTTCAAATTTTCTTTCTTTCTTTTTCTTTTTTTTTTTTCTTATTTTTAAATCTTTCGTACCCCATTGCACACCATTAATTTATCGAAATGAATAAATATAAAATCTTCCTTCAGTCTTACCATTATTTTTGAACAATTTTCTACTTCGCTATTGAAATACATAAGAAGCAGGTAGAGGAAAAAGACTACAAGCAGACTCGCAGATTCCCACCTTGATAAAGAAAAGAAATTTGAATAAATTTAACATTTCAAAAATAAACCAAGATGCGAAAAATAAATATTCTTTTTTACAGGTTAATTCAAAAAGATGACCAAGATGCGAAAAATAAATATACTTTTTTACAGGTTAATTCAAAAAGGATTATCCGATTTCAAACTTTTATGTAATTTTAAAAATTAGCAACGCGCAAATGTAAGTAATAACGAATGTAACCCTGGTACCTCGGTCTTTGCCCTGGGTAATGCCCAGGGCTTATGCACAGTTGCTGAGACCTTATTTGGGGAGTGGAGGCAGTTTTTTCGAAATCTTAAGTAGCTATTCATTTTCTGCGGTTTTGATTCAAGATGAATTACGCAGAATTTTACTCAACTCGAATAAAACTATAGAACAGTATTAAGACTAACATGGCACCACGTAACGGTTTTACGAAGAAATGATACTTGCTTTGTTATCAGTTATGCCTTTTTTTCAGAAATGAGCTTTCGGAAAGTCACCATCCACTTTGGCCGATTCCTTCACCGCTTGCGAAATATTCGCAATAAACTGATAGAAACTGCATTTAAATTTTGTTTTAAAGTTTTGCACTGCTCTAGAAAGTTGTACGCTGTTCTAAAAAGAAAACGAGCACGGAACCATCTAACAGTTTTAGTAAGAACTTATAGCGGATAAGTAAAAACGGCAATGTGAACCTAAGATGGGTCATGTGATTTAAAATTTAAAACTGTGCAAGAATATTGATATCTATTTTTTGTAAAAAATAATTATAAATTCCTTGCTTAGCATTTATGACTTCCACTGATAGCGGGAATGCAACAGCGGCGACGTGAACCTAAGGTGGGTGACGTCAATGCAACATTTTAATATAGGTGATCTCAGTGTGGACCCCGTGGGGTGGCTTTTCAGCACCTTTTCAGCTTACGTAAAGCAGTGATCTTCCTCTTATTCTGAATGTCAAATCTGCAAAATTTTATCAAGATCCTAATACAACTTGATCTCTATGAATTCTAAACACACACACACACAAAAAGGCCGCTTCTCTTTATATATATATATTGTTTCAAAAAAATAAATGTAAAGTTAAATTAAATTTAAATAATTCTCTTGCGCCATTGCTGCAAGGAATGAAATTTGAATTTAACAAACATTCTCAATTTGTAAAAGCAAATTTAAAGTTAATTAAATTTTAAATAATTCAATTTAATTGCAAACAAATAAATGATTAATTATTGCTGCGAACTAATCTACAATATCATTTAAATTTTGAGAGCACATGTAAATCAATTGCAAGTATCAAAATCTATGGATAAATATATAATTCCAAAAAAATTTTTAATTCTAAAAAATAAATAAAAATGGATAAGTGAATAATTGTTGAGCAGGTTGGAGACAGACTTATCAAGGGGAAGTTGCCCCCAAACCTAACTCTTCAATAATTCAATTCGTGTTTCGTCATCCATGTAGACAAGGGTAAAAGTCGAAACCAAAAGTAAACCAAATGTTGTGAATTACTAAATAGAAATTTAACCAAGTGGCATTTTGAGAAATTAGCAAGTAAATGACTAGAATTAAAATTAAAAAAAGGTCAATTAAGAGTAGAAAACTAAAGTAATGTAGAAACTCTTGCCTACAGAAAACTTCCCTTAAAATTCAATTAACTTTAAATTTGCTTTTACGAATTGAGAATGTTTGTTAAATTCAAATATATATATATATATATTCTTAACAAATACGTATATAAGTAAAAAATTAAAAAAGCAAATTTAAATTTTAAAAAAGGGAAAAAGCCAAAATAATTTAAAATATTAAAAAATATGCAAACATGTAAAAGATTTAATTCTCGAACTAATCTACAATATCATTTAAATTCAGAAGCATAAGCAAATCAAGTGCAAAATCTATCCATGAAAATAAATCTACTAATTTAATAAATTAAAATTAAATTAAACAATTTTTTTAAAAAATGCATATGTGAATGATCGTAGAGTAGGCAGGAGACAGACTTATCAAGGGGAAGTTGCCTCCAAACCTAACTCTCCAATCATTCAATTCGTGTTTCGTCATTCATCAGAGGCGTAGCTAGGGTTTTCAGCGCCCGGGGACAACTGAAGATTTTACGCCCCTTTCTCTGTGCCAAGAACGGAAAGCATTTCATTCTAAAATTTCGTAACATCAATTTGGCGCCCCCTGAATGCTGCGCCCGGGGACATCTGTCCCCCCTTGCCCCACCCTAGCTACGCCACTATCATTCATGCAGGCAAGGGTAAAAGTCTGTCTTGATAAGTTTGTCTTAAAGTCTGTCTTAAAAGTTTGTCTTGATTGTCCCCTTGATAAGTCTGTCTCCTGCCTACTCTACGATCATTCACATATGCATTTTTTAAAAAAACTGTTTAATTTAATTTTAATTTATTAAATTAGTAGATTTATTTTCATGGATATAGATTTTGCACTTGATTTGCTTATGCTTCTGAATTTAAATGATATTGTAAATTAGTTCGAGAATTAAATCTTTTACATATTTGCATATTTTTAATATTTTAAATTATTTTGGCTTTTTTCCTTTTTTAAAATTTAAATTTGCTTTTTTAATTTTTACTTTTATACATATTTGTTAAGAAGAATTTAAATTTGTTTAAATTTAAATTTCATTCCTTGCAGCAATGGCGCAAAGAATATTTAATTAAATATGTATTTAAATTTAATTTTTTTAATTAAACTCAATTTATTCTTATATATATATATATATATATATATATACCTCTCTCTCTCTCTCTATATATATATATATATATAAATTGTAGTAAGCTCGCCTAAAAGTTACCAAGAGCTGCTGCTCCAAAAGGTTTAACACGTTTTCAAAAAATTAATACACATGAAAATCAAATCATTAGACATGTAAAACATTAATAAAATTAAAAACAGAAAAGGTTAAAAAGTAAGCGGAAAATGGTAAATTAGCCCAATTCGACTTCCAAACAGGCTTTTCAAGGGAAATTTCATTTATTTGAACGTCGAATCAAGCTAACCCCATTACGCGTTTCGCCGAAACAGACAATTGAAACTTTTTCGCTAAAATTTTTTTTAAAATTTAGACAAAGTGTCTTGGAAATTTTAATAGTCTCAATTCTCTGTTACAATTTCCCGACGCGTCCGCTCAGAATGACACATTAAGGTGTTAAAATATGTTAATCAAAAACTAAACTTCCTAAATCTAGACTAAAATTAAAATTAAAATCAAAAACGAAAATAAATAGCGATGAGCTATTATGATGCTATTGGCTATTGGTTGCTATTGGCTATTGGCTATGATGCTATTGGCTATTGCGATGAGCTATTGGAGCAGCAGCTCTTGGTAACTTTTAGGCGAGCTTACTACAATTTTTATATTTTACTTATTTTGCAGCATATTGCGCAAGATGTTTTCTAGACCAAAATTGGTTTTTTTAAAAATTGTTATTACTGCTTTGCTTGATAAATTATATATATATATATATATATATATATATATATACACATATACATAGTTAGTTAGTTAGATAGACAGAAGATTTTAATGAATCCAGTTCCAGTTAGTGTCATTTCACGGGTCCAATTAGTAATTAACAGTAATGGAAATGAATGTGCTCTTATTGCTTTTACATTTCTTGATTTCTTAATTAATAACAGAACAAATTTAAAAGACGTTGCTAAGCGACAGCACACTGCCACATGGAATATAAAAATATTTTAATGCGGGCTAATGGCAATACTTTTCTTTTGAATCGCTGAGTTTGTAAATTCGAGACAAGTATATTACGAATGGCAATACATATCTTTTACATCGTATATTGTTTGAAATTGTATATCTTATGAAAAAATGAAATATGAAGGCCTAAAGAAAGAGCAAAAATTTCATTTACCATGTAACAATGTTATCAGAAATGATGAGTATGAGGCAGAGAACAGTCACTCCGTAGGCTATGCAGTCTCTTATCAATGGATAACGTTCTATGGGAAGAACCTGAAATAGATAATGCTATAGTAAAAGGATAAAAAGATGAATTTATACGAAAGTAGAAAATTTTTAAGATTCATTAGAAATCATTTCATTGTAAGAACTGGATGCCATGAGAGGCTTGCTACCCACAGAAAAATATGTTCTCTTCTAGGGTTTCCTCTAGTTCATTTAACCTATTATTCAAATTTTTATTATCTTTCCTGAACTCCACAACTTCCTTTCGCATTTCCTTGCCAGGATGTAAATTTAAAGTTAAGTGACATGAGTATTTAAACGAGTAAATCTTGGAGTTTATTCAGAGCGTGTTTTCGCTAAGCCAGTGCACGCTTCGTTTCTGACCTTGCTGTAACGCTGCTATGATCTTTAGTTATTTGAATAATTATCACGCCTGGTAGGTGGTCGAGTTCACCTAGTTAGACGTAACTTAAGGTAGCTAGTCCAGCACTATTCTTTTTTAGACTGAGTTGATTTGTGTAAAAACGCTTATGCTCCACCGCAAGCTGTCGGTGTTATTGTAAAGCACGAAGTACGTGCCTTTTCTATTCGGAGATGAAAATAATAAAGGGCTATTTTCACCCTTCTTCTGTGCTGGCATTATTTCACGCCTGTGCGAAAAGTCGTCAGGTTCGCTAGCAGGAAGTTTATATGGCCAAAGAGAATTAGAGCTCACAGTCTTTAGTAAATAAGTAAGGTTTTTGTGTTTATTAATCCATTATCTTATAATTTTTATCTTTACTGTTATTTTTATTAGCTTCAACCAGGATGAAAATAGATAATGTGTACAAGAAAACATAGTTCTGGAATTAAGACACAATAACACGCCGAATAAATACTAATTCAGAAGTCAAACAACAAAAATCAGCGTTATATTTACAAAATTTTCACAGGACTAGTTTCGATGGTTTTACCGAACCACCATCTTCAGCTGCAAAACCTGCATTTTGCGGTTTTGCAGCTGAAGATGGTGGTTCGGTAAAACCATCGAAACTAGTCCTGTGAAAATTTTGTAAATATAACGCTGATTTTTGTTGTTTGACTTCTGAAATAGTTCTGGAAGTTTAGAGAGAGCGTTGGGCACTAACAATTATTTTATTCAACATTTGGCATTATAAAAAATTAAACACAATAGATTTCATTTCCGTATGACCAAAAATTTACCCAGATATTTAACTTCAAAATTTGGAATACCTGACACTATTTCCCACTTACCTTGAGGGACCGGTTAATAAATAAATTACAACAATTTTAAGTTGACATGTCCCTTTTAAATGTCATTCAATGATATTCTTTTGTGATTTACTAGTTTGTAACAGTTTTTAATTTACAGTCTTATTATAAATGGGAAGCCAAAAGAATTTTCATATTAATGTTACCGGCAATGTATGAAACGCCGGCATTCTACAGAATACCTGGCCATTGCATAAAATCTCTAGCAATTTTAGGCAAATTAGGAAATATGAGAATTATTATATATTTTTCTTATTCATTAATGTCCCGCCCAGACGGTAGAGTGCTGCTAAGAGCCCGTGTTCGAATTCCAGAGAAGGCATGGATGTTTGTATACGTATAGATTTTCTGTGGTATGGGAGCACTCTAAATATAAGGCGAGCCGAAAGTCCTCTCGTGTATTTTGGTGGTAGGGTAGAGGGATGGGAGACCCTTTGTACCCCCTTCGGGGCGCTCTTCCTCGAAACTGGGGTGGAAAGTAGAAGGTCCAACCGCCTTAAGGCTCTGGCAACCATTTTTCCATGAAATACATGAAAAAGACAACAGCAACATGGAAAAACATGGAGAAGTATTATATACTTTCCTTATGCATTATATATAATACCTAGGCATTCCACAAAATGGCAAATGCTATTTAGGCAAAGTATTAAGAAAGTTCACAAAACGGCTTTTATTCGAAAGACGTACATTCCTCAAAAATACAAATGTTATTTTAGAAAAATGATAAAAGAGAGCCATTAAAAAACTTTTATTCAAAATACGTAAAGTAAAATGATAATTGCACAAAATAAAATTTATACCTTTCTTATTATCGAAAATGATGCGTGGTATGATGGAATGAATGTATTAAATGTATGGATATTCGAAACGAATCGGAGATGTATTTCACATTTTTCCGGTTTTGTCTTTTGGCATTATTATTTCATACATTATCTGCCCGTTTTCGTCATTTTTTAAAATGCCTAGGTATTCTATGGAATGCCGGCTTTCATACATGACGGGTAACATGCAAATCATATAAGTAATATATAAATTTTGAAATTTTAAAAATACGTTTATGTTCTCATGAAGCTTTATTGTTTTAGAATCATTATCTATTAATCGTGAAAACGTACATCAAACAAGAAATATTTTTTTATTTTTAGTTCGCGCAAATAATGATCCGAGTTGACTAACGGTTGCGAAAATAAAGGCCGGTTAAGGTCAGACACAGTGTGTAGTCTGGATTGCGTGCAATTAAATTACATCCTGTTGCAAATAGAAACACAACCGAAATACTATTTAATCATCTGCTATCCCCGCCCTTTCTATTTTTAATACAGTTATAATTCACGCTGTTGATTTGGAATGTAGTTGGAGCCTTTAAATGGAATCACATTTGTCCATGGATATTAGCCGAATTGCCATTGAGCGAAATATCCTTTAACACAGTCATGGCATTTAACTAATTTAATATAAATATAACCAAAAATATACTATAAATAGTTACTTTAACAGCATTTAAAGTAGGAAAAAGTCATCAGTTGATTTCTGGAGTACTTATGCAAAATTTTATGTTTTAAACTGTTCATAATGCTTCTGGAAATTATTTGACTGATGCTATGCTCCTAATATTAACATCCACAGCCCTCCTCACCCCTCATTTCAGCATTTGCACGAAACGCATGGATTTCGTTACCATCTTCTTCAGAAAGTCCCGCGTATAATGTTCTTAGATTTGTTTGAGAAAACGGCAAGTATATATCATCAGGCACTGAATCTGCAGCTTGAGGAATTTTTAATCAATCCATCCAAGCGTTCAGTTCCTCCCAATTCATGTTTGTTGCATCCATTTGTAATTCTTCATATTCTTTTATTTTATGTTTTATTAAAAGTTTGTAATGCTTAAAACAGTTCTTTACTGTCTTTTCTGAGACACGGTTTCAAAATTTTAATGTTGCCTTAAATCAAAATCAAGATGCTTGGTGACTTGATCTCTTACTTGGAGATCTCGGTACTCTATTTCGACCATATTTGGGGATTTTAAATTTCATTTAATGACATTACTTCAGTTTAAAAAATTCATTCTACAATATTTTGATAATATTAACCGACTTGCTGATTGCAATAAAAAAGCGATGTATTTTTCATGTTCTCATATACAATATACTTAGCCAATTCGATAACAATATTCGAATGATAACATTAACCGCTATTACATCAAGCGATGTCTACTACCATCGTTTAGTAACTAACAAAATTTACTCTTTTCTAAAATCCGCAAACCGGTTAATACGCCCTTCGGTTAATCAGGAGTTGACTGTAGTCACAGCAAGTTTTCCTCAAAGCTGACTTTTCTCTGAGACAAAATTTTCTGGCCTTTTTTCTATTTAATTATTTGCACTTATCCATGGACAAAAGTGATTCCATTTAAAAGCTCCAACTACATTCCAAATCAACAGCATGAATTATAACTGTATTAAAAATAGAAAGGGCAGTGATAGCAGATGATTAAATAGTATTTGGGTTGTGTTTCTCTTTACAACAGGATGTAATTTAATTGCACGCAATCCAGATTACACACTGTGTCTGACCTTAACCGGCCTTTATTTTCGCAACCGTTAGTCGTAGATATACATTTCAAGTTTGAAAGGTCTTCTATGAAGACACCTTTCCTCTTAAACAAAGAGTCCTCGTGTGCTTTGCCATTTTCAAATAATCTAACTCAGTGGTATTCAAACTATGGGTCGCGAAAATTTAAAGTGGAGTCTTAAGGTAGATAAAACTCTATTCAAGGTATGTAACTAAGGGCTGACTGGGGTAGTTAAATTGTGTTTTGAGGTTACCTGTATTTTAATGGGGTAGCATGGACATACAGTTTGAATACCACTGCCACAGCCCAGGGCCATGACAGTTATTGAATCATAAATCAAATTACAGAATCACTATGTCATGCCTTATTTTATGTAAAGCGAATTAATGGTGAAATATTTATAATTTAAATTTCAGTTGGAAAAAAAAAAAAAAAAAAAAAAAAAAAAAAAAACTGAAATGTTTCAGATTTTAAATTACGTCCAAAGGGGCGTTTTTTTTTAACATTTTGTGTGTTACCTTTCTTTATTAAATATCATGTTCCTCGCACTTAAACCATAAGATCCAGTGCAACAGCAATATCGCAAAATAATTTTAAAAACGAGCATATCTTTAGAATTTCCGATACAGAGACTCACGCGCTGGAGATAAAAATGTTTTTTCTGCACAACGTTGCCATTGCTCGCTTTGAAATCCTTGAGTTTGTTAATCAAAAATTCGTCAAAGTTTTAAAAAATAGGAAATCGATCATAAAACAAATTTCAAATTTCAAATTTGGTCTTCCACATGCTCATATTCGTTGGAGGATTACGTTATTCAAAAATTCGATGACTCTATGTACCGTTGTTTTATCACAATACGAGAAATATACATACATTTATGCAGATTTTTCATTATTTAATTTCTTCAAATATAATGCAGGACTCTAACATTTTGTGGCAACAGTTTGAAAAGTGAACCGACATTTATGAGTCCGACGCAAAATGCCAAAACGAAACTAATAGTCCTTCGGGATTCAAATCCCTTTGGACTAATAATTTTAAGCATTGCCTGTCTGTTATTATGTCTGTAAACATTTGTAAACATTCTGTCTGTAAACATGTCTATTGCCTGTCTGTAAACATTTGTAAACATTCTGTCTGTAAACATTGTTTGTTCATTTAATCCAGTTTAGTATTTAAAAATAAATCTCTCATTATCAGTTACTTAAGCAAGGGATATATGACTAAGATAATGACTAATAAATACAATGAAACCTCGGTTCCCGAATTTAATTAGCTCCTGAATGGCGTTCGTAAATAAATTAGGTAAATGAGAAGAATTCTTTTCATATGTTATAAAACAATAATATAATATCTAAGGCTGGATAATTACTGCTCTACCCTTAGAAGTTACTTAGAAGTACCTTTACTTCCCCTTTACTAAACTCTTGTGGACGCAGGATACAGTATCAATGTAAGTTAATTTTAAAGCTTATTTTTCTCACCGTTGCTGAATTAAAATAATACAGTACAAAGTTAAATTCTTGGTACAGTAGCTTGCTGAAATTTACTCCTTACACTTCCAGTAAATCAACGCAAAACTACAACTTAATTAGCTCGGAGAGATTAAGCAAGCGCAACTAATTGGCAGCACTTTCCAGCCATGCCAATGTTCAGAGTTCATGTCTGTTCTAGTTCTGTCAATGGCTTTCTTTCTGTAAGTAGGCGGAAACAGCAAAAACTACATGTCATGCAGGTTGCCCATAGTTAGTGACTATAAACCACTGATTTGCTTCAGGCGCTGGTTTATAAAATAGCCATGCTGAATTGGAAACCAACTCGGCTGAAGTTTTCCCTATCAACCAGCCACAGCCCAGGGCCATGGCAGTTATTGAATCATAAATCAAATTACAGAATCACTATGTCATGCCTTAAATACATCGAAATGATTGTACGTAGTACATAAATTGCAAAACATTTCATTATAAAATGTTACACATGCCTAGTCAACAAATAAAAATATTATCACCAGGCTACATGGTAAAAATTTGCTTTGAAACTGACAATGTGTGGTAATTTTTGTCATAAAGATAACGTGCGATAGGTTTAAAATTGTGCCCTATTACTCTCAATCAAAAGCCTACAGAAACTATGCAAAAATACTTTTAATAGCACAGCATATCTTGTTACAAAGCGTGACCCTAACATTATGAAAAATCATGTTATAGAATGTTAAATTACTGATTTTTAGAATCGTATGCCGTACAGTTGCCGTATTAAAATATAAACAGGACCTACTCGGGGCTTTTGGATATACTTAACAAGAGGATGGTGACTCTGGCTGCAGCACTGATGGGCACAGGTTCAAATCCCGGAGAAGGCATGGAGGTCTGTAAGCGCATAGCGTTTGTGCGGCAAAGGGCATTTTAAATACACTGGAACGAGCCGAACGTTCTTTCCAGAGGTTGGTGGTAGAGGAAGAGGTGAGAGATTCTCGCCCCCAACATCTGGGCAGAAGCTTAGCATCAGCTAGTTTCATCAATATTTCAACTCCTGTGGTACTACAGAGATTCTGGCTTAGCTTCTAACTGCATGTAGCTGTACCTATTATGCCGGTTTTTACGTTTTTTGTTCCCACTTTATCTACGTCCCTTGTCAAAAGCTCTGCATAAACCTTTGTACTGAGCGACTATGTGACTAAACGAGGCATAAAAGAAAACTCAACGTAAATCTGAACATTTAGTCAACTTAAATTATATATCACAAACTTACAAACCACAGATATTTTAACTGTTTATACAGATATTTTCTTTAAAGAATTTAGCTTTAATTACATAAGCTTTCATTGTAAAATCAATATTCGTACTGTGCTCATACCAAACACGTGTCATACATGAAGTTTAAGTTTTGTTAGATATGAATACGTATTATTTGTGTTTATGTTATATATGAATGCGTGTTATGTACATGGAATTTACATTATTGTTGCGAAAAATCTAGCTGCAGTGAGATAGCTTCCCCGCGTGCCAGATTTGCCGCGAAATCGCCCATTTGGCGATATTTTGGCGATATGCCATAGACGGAGCGAGAGCATTTTAAAACGCTTTCTTATAGCGGTTCAGAGAGCTTGAGAGCGATTGACAGATGAGAGCTGTATTTTAATGCTTTGCCGTGAAGCTGTCTTCACCGTTATAACCTGAAGGCTGTGCTGCTGATTGTTTCAGCTTGTCTGTCGTAAATTTTCGACGAGTGTAAACGTGTCTTTGGAACTGTCCTGTGTAATAAATAGTACTTACTGACGACTAAATTGTGTTTTTATTCTTCGTCAGGTGTTATCATCAATTACTCCAAATCCACGAACCCGTAGAATGCAACATTATGTTATATATGAATACGTGTTATATATGAAGTTATGATATTTAAACTAAAACAGAATGTACAAAATGAATATGTGCACCATAAGTATTTAAAAAGAAATGCTAAATGTTCAAAAATGTCAACTGCAGCAAAATCTAGTATCATACAAATTGTTATATTTCGCAGAAATCTAAGCGAAAAAAAAATACAAATTAATATGAAAGACTTTATTAAATGATACATACCTGTTTCCACAGTATAACACCAACTACACCTGTTATACCCAGTATGTTGAACACAGCCGACCCAATTACCGTTCCAATTCCAATATCGCCTTCGGTGACAAAAGAACCTGTGATAACATACAGCAATTTGAAATGTTTAATGTTGTCATTCCTTATCTAAAACTTGGAAAGAAATAATACTGGCTACTGTGTTGATGAAAGTGATAACTTTACACAAAATTAATACATTTCATGACCTTGCAGTATATATTGTAAGCGCCTCTTAATTGTGATCACATTTGCCCATGCCTATTTTGATAACATGAACCGAATGAGAAGAAAATATCCTTCAAATCAGCAAGAGAATTTAATTAAATTAATAAAAAGTACAACAAGAAACATGTAAATAAGTATTTTCATAGAATGTTTATTAGGAAAATGCAAAAATTTGCTTATGAATTGTTGAAAGTTAATATACAGGCAATTCACAACAACTTTAGTTTGGCGTACTAGGGCAATTTTTTTTCAAAGAGAAAAAATTCCGCAGATTTTTTTTTTTTTTTTTCTAAAGAAGAAGAGGGGCCCAGTGTATGATCATTCTAAAATCTTCAGAATTATTCAAAATCTAAGGTTGCACTATTACCTAATTTTAATGGTTGACTAAATTGAAAAACAACTTGTTTGGGAACAAAATTCTCTATTTGGCGACTTTCAGAATCCATTTTAAATTTATTTGGCGATTTTTTTCCTCATTTACGACGACTAGTCAAAAATTATTCTATGATACTATTTAATTAAACTAACTTTAAAATCCTTTACTCTTAACATAAATCTAATAAACTCTTTTTTTTCAAAACATTTTTTCATTATACTTAGTTTAATTGCTATTTTTTTATTTCTTTATATGTAATTATTTGTGTTATGATTATGTCGTCTGCTGTGTGTTATAGATAAAAATGTAAGGGTTTTGATGAAGAAAACCATCTTTTAAAAGTGGGCGATGCAAGAAAAGGCTGAAAATCTCTGGGTTAAAAAAAAATGGAACTAACAAATTCATACGGCAAAAATATGTATAAGAAGAGATTAAAATCAGCTTTTTCTTAACATCCTTATATAATGCTTCAGTGATAAAAATGAAATAAAATGTTTTTTAATGTGCTTTTATTTAATTCACTCGTGCTGTTTCGCTGTGGGTGAAATTTTATTATTAATTTTTAAACTACTTTCGGACAAGTTATCAAGTTCAAGTTTTGTACACACACTATTTCTTGATGACTATGCAATGTGGTTTTTTCAAAATTCAGCTTAGATTTTTTTTATTTTATGTTTAAACGATTCTTCGCACGTACCTTCGTTTAACGAGCAAACTATGCATAATAGAATTTAAGTGTTTGCATCATCGAATACAGTGGGAAAACAATCTTTTCAATGAAACTTTCATGAAAATTGCATCTTAATGTCTTAATGTTTAGGCTAGTTTTTAAAAATCACTTTATTTTATAGACTATTTGACGTTTATAATTTTAAAATTTCAACATATAAAAATGTATCGGATGTAAAGTTTTTTACGTTCCCATAGATTATAAATCAAAATTTTCGCTTTCTTTTAAGATTATTTTCAAGTATGATAAAAAAATATTAATTGAGAGATTTTCTAATTTTTTTTAAATGTATTGCAATCTGAAACAAACGGAATTAAAAAGCATTTTAAGTTTGCCATTTTGAAGCACTTAAAGACGGAGTTTTCCATCTTGACGAACTGGTGATATTCGTTTTCTCATTTTAGCTTTTAGTAAACTTTATTACTTGTTACAATATTATTATTACATAAAATTTTCGAAACTAAATATTCAAAGCAATTTACAAAAACTTTGTTTAAATGTACTTTATTTTTATCTTTAAATAAACAAAATTTATTCGATATAGAATAAAAATAACAATGTTTACTAACCGATAATAGCTGAGAATAGTTCTGGGGATGACGCGCCAATGGCCATAAAAGTAGCACCAGCAACGTCGGCTGGGAGTTTGAGCTCTGAAATAAAAAGCATAGGGTATCATTTGATTTTTAAATTTTTAAGTGTTTTTTATATGGCTCAATAGCTTTAATTACTCACCGTAAATTACATTATTTTATTCTTTATGAATTACAAGTATACTTTAGGTATACTGAATAGAGAACTGAGATGATGCTTTAAATGATGAAATAAATAATGATATGTTTACTACGATACATAATTTCTATTTGAAAGTTTGAAAATCCGAACTGTCTCAAAATGAAAGCTTCAGGCCTTTGTCCGAAGAGAAGTTTATCTGTCTGTATGATACTTTTTACAACAACGACTGATGGTAGCAATTTCTTTTCTTTTTTATATACGATAACGCTTTATATGTAATAGAGTACATACGTGATATCTACATACATAGTGCGAAAATTGCGTGCAGTAACCCATGCCGATCGCGGGAGTTACGGTTCCCGAATATCATTGTTGTGCTTTCCTTCATCAAGTCTTTCATTTGCAATGATGTAAATATCCTGACACAATAGACCAGCGGTTCTCAACCTTTTGACTAAACAAAAATTGAAAACCTTTAACCCGGCAGAAGTCGCACCAAGAAAAGTTACTAGAGTGGGCTCGTGGGGTATCACATACCTCAATATTTAAAATACGATAAAAATAGTTTTATTTAGTTTTAAAGCTGGTTTTCTTGTTCTCGTGTATTATAAATACGTGAATAATAATTGGGTTTCCAAAAATTAATTTCCAAAATCTTTAGAGTTAAATTAAGATAAATGAAAAATAAAAATAAAAAAATAAACATCATGCCTCAAAGTTGTATCTCTAATACACCATGCTTATTTTATTTCTTCACACTTTGAACGAAATACATTCATGTGTTCTTGGCACAGAATGTTTTCACATTTTAAACATTGCATTCACGTTCTTCTGTCCTTGGCGCGAGGGCAAAAAATTTATCACATCTTTCATACTTAGTTGTTTCGAATTTCATGTATTCGTTTTAATTCTTCGTCGAAACTTCTGCTTTTGTTTTGCATGCAGTACGTCAGTTTCTTGGTAAAGTATTAATCTCTGATCTTTGTTCAATACTTTTTTTCATTAATTGTAATGCTAAGTCCTTCAAAAACAGACTTCTGTTTCTGGTTGGTGGATTAGCAGTTGAATGTAATATAATTCAAGCATTTATTACAGCAACATTCAGTGCAGGAAAGAAAATTACCATTGGCCACCTCCTTGTTATTCTGGCAATTGAATAATTGGCTGACATTTCATCCCCATATCCACTGCTCCTTTAGTCATATTATAAAAACATATAATTCCTGACGTTTTATTTTCTCCAATAGTATCATCTATAGTATGATCGTTATATAATGTTGAAAGCATAAGAACAGTTTTTCCTTTTTCAGGAAAATCAGGAATTAATGTTTTATCTTTTTCGAAACCAAAACAGTGTAGAAAATATTCCTAGTTTCATCTTCAGTTTCCGAAATGCAATCTTCATCGCTTTCAAATATTTCTAATAAATCTCACAGGCGTTGCATCTCCAATTCATAGGAAGTCATTCTTTTTACCATAATGCAGTTAGAAATTTTTTAAGAATTTAATGTCAAGTACTTTAAATTCACTTGCGAGTAGAAATATTTACTGTTACACTCTAGAAATAAATTTCTGAACTAAATATTCAGTCAGAAAAACACTTACGCGGACAGGCGCATGGGGTGTGTCATATCCCAGTTCCAACAAAATACCGATAAATCTTTTTCTGAAACACGCAGGCAAAGAAAAAGAAAAAGAAAAAGCGATTCTGAACTTCAACCACAACTAGAAACTCAGCTACTGAAAGCAGCACAGAATTTCAGTTTCACAAGTTAGGAATATTCCACTTTTATGTAGGGTTGGGGTATGATACACCCCACGCGCTTTCCCGCGAGTTAATACCACCACTACAAAGTACTACTACCACCACCACTCTTGAACAAAGCTCAGATCCCATAAATTTACAAGTGTTAGAGAAAAAACTCAATCAGGATGTTGGGATTTTAATTTTTGAATTGAATAGTTAAAAATATTTTGCTTCTTTGCATACCACCTATTTTTCTCTTTCGTAACACCGGTTGAGAATCCCTGCAATAGACTTTGAATATTCTTATGATTTCTTGATCCACTGGCTGGATTAAGGAAGTGATGCTCTGTGGAAGGAATAAAACCTCCACATTTGGAAGCAATGTTGTGAAAAATTTTAACACCGTGTTCTGGAGCACTATCGAGAATTAGGAAAATTTTAAAGCTTAGGTTTTTCTGTTTTAAGCCATGTTTGAGTTCCTTAATGAATGGATTTTCAAACCAGTCATTAAAAAAGATGCTGATGCTCTGCAGCGTATCTCGTATAATTGAAATTCTCGCGCTGGACAAATTAAATGGAGACAACTAGAATGATGTGCACACCGAGTCCCGCAAGTACGCAAGGGGTTACTGTATGTAACGTAAAATGTGTTTGATATACAAGGTGCGTCAGAGAAATGTATACACATTTTGAATGATCATAGAAAATTTACTTTCCTACCTGCAAGGTTAAATTTCTAAGAAAATGAAATGGTATGTTTCCCCAACATGTGGCAGCAGAGTCGCCGACGTAGCTGAGCAACCCAGTTAGTACCAAAAGACTAATATCCACATAGTGGATGTACGTTTGAGCTTTCGAGAAGAAGCAGGCTATTGAGTGGTACTGGAAGTTTGAGAAAGTTGCTGCGGTTCAGACACAGTGGAGATGTGAGTATGGGACTGATCCACCTTCAAGGTTCACAGTTACACGTCTACAAGAAAAATTCGATATTCACAGAACAGTTTATGATGTGCAAAAAGACCGATCAGGGCGACCTCGCACGGCTACAAGTGAGTTCTCATTTTCTTTATTGGGACAGTAAAATATGAGGTAATGAGTTTTACGTCAAGGTTAGGTTGGGTCAATGGCAAGGTTACCTGGTTTGCATGCCGTAACCTACGTAACCTTGACACACTTTAGGATGAAATTCAATCCGCAGACTTCTCGTTGGACACATTAGTGCGAAGTACGGAATCAATCGTGACTCGTACTCAGAAATGTATCGATGCTGATAGTCGCCATTTTGAACATCTACTTTAAATACCATTTGGAACATTTAGTTTGATGAGAAATTATACAGTTTTGTTTTGTCAAATTGGACTACAGCCTTACTTTTTCTAGAAATTTAACCTTGTAGGTTTGGAAAATAAGTTTTCTATGACAGTTCAAAGTGTGCAAACATTTTTTGAAGCCCCTTGTACATGATGCAGAAATTACACGTCCCTAAATATGACTTATAAAATGTTTTCAACTGATATTAAAACTTACTGTCACAGATGATTTCTAAAGCAGGTACAAAGTAATTGTCACAGACCACGGCAATCATGGAGCAAATGTAAAAGATGAGAATCAAATGTATCACAATGCCTCCGTGCTGCCTTTCTTCTTGAGTGAAAAAGTCGCCGGGAAACGAAGTAATCCCGGACGGTATGCATTTGATGCCGGACACAATGGAAGCTTCCAGGAGGGAACGTCCTGAAAAGACATGCAGAATGATGTCACAGCTTTGTTTTATAGTATTTCATATTCCACATTAGTTATTTTCAAAATATTTTAATGAAGTATTGATTAAATGTAACAAATAAAATACAAGCGAAAGAAAGTTTTTTGATACAGACGCTTTTATCTAAAATGGATATGATAATTAATGTATTAAAAGAAGAAAATAAGTTTATCGTATAGTTCAATGAAAATAATTAAATTAAATAATTCTGTTTACGGAATTTATCTGAAATTTTACATCGGGAATAATAAAAGCGTGGGACATCCATGATAAATTAAAAAAGATAATGGCTTACACATTTGACAGTGCGATTAAATTAATAAAATTCGTTAATCAAGTGTTAATTTACATTTCTTTTATAGGACATCATCAAGAAATATGGCCTAAACTTTCCAACTAGGGTACAACTTTCATAAAAGTCTCGGAGAAAATAGCTATTCCATCATTCCAATTTATAAGCATGGTTCCAGCTCCCCAAATAATGCCATGCGGCCAATGACCATGTTAAGTAATAATATGTGAAACGCTCGCAACTGACATTATGTTTCTGTATTCTGAATTTACTATTTTGTGTATTACTGCATCCTAATATGTCCTTCTATATCAACATTGCCTGAAATTATTCCGATTACTCTAAGTACTTGTATATGATGTGGTAATACCACTTTGATTCTGTAGTTGCTGCATGTGAACTCTAGAACTCAGACTGTGATATCTCACCGAAATCTCATCCATACCTCTCGCCACTTGTTCCTCTTTATTACATCTTACAGGCATTTCGATTAACTGAGAAAATAAATAATGAAACTGATATAATTTGAAAATGTTTTCACTCGATATATTTAGCTATTTATTTTTTTCCTGTAATTAATCTATATTTTGTTGAAATCTTAAGATCTGACGTTATGTCTTTAAACTCTCTTTTTGCTTGATATCCATTGAGACCTGAAAACAATCTTGCTTCAAAAATGCTCCTCTGGGAAATTTCCCTTTTAAAGGCAACTAAAATAACTTCACTATCGTCTATGTTTTTTTGTTTGCTTTTTGTAATTAACTACTTGACTGCAAATGGCCAGTATTCTCGCATTAGCTTATCTTCGCTTTTGACCTTTCTTAACGACCAGTATTTTTTAGTAGCCGATTTTTTCTCTTTTCTTTTGTTAGCTTGTCGCTCTATAGTGTTTTGTTTTAGCTAGAACGCCTCAACCCGCCTGATCACAAAGTGATCTTATGGTCCAAAAAGGGGCGTCCCATTCACACCAGAAGCGAAGGCAGCCAGCGACCCGGAGAGTCCCCCAACAAAAGTTAAAACGCCAGTTAAACGCTCTATAGTGTACTGGTTACTGAGTTTTTTAAAAGATATTAGAAAAATGGTATGTACTAAAACTCAGAACGGCTAAAATTGCCTAGTTTATGATGACAGGTTTTTAAATTGCAACATATATATGTATAAGCCGCCACAAAACTGGAACGCTCAGTTCTTTCAAAGATAAATTGGTCATAACATAACTCTACCTCTAATCGAATAACCTTGCGATGGATTCTTTAACCGACCGCAAACTGTCTATCCAAGCTTTATTTGAATTACAGTCAGACCATTATTTAGTGGCTTGATTCGAACCATTAAGCGTTGGCGATAAACGTCGCTGCCAGTTAAAATTTTCTATAACTTGTTACACCTTTTCTGAATTTTCTGTTTATCTTCTAAGGTAATACCTTCAAATCCTGACCTGGCCAACTGCAATCTTTCTTCATCCGCGACCTCTCTCTTCATAAAGTTTATTGACAGCATCAAAATTGACTTCATGAAACTCGTATCACTGTCAAGATCGTCCTTTTCTCCAATATTGTACCTTTGTCCTGCTCTTAAAATATCATCAGATAAGCAGGATTCTATCATGGCGAACAGTCATGCTGCATTGCTTTCTACATCAAGCCTCATGGATGCTAGAGAGTTTAAACGTACCTTAGTAAACAAGTTTCATAATGATAATCTGTCTTACAGTAAAAACAGAAAAATGTATGCCAACGCTTAACGCTGCATCGGGAATTATAAATGTGTACTGCTATGCTTTTAAAATTTCTTTAATTTTGTGGTTGATTTGTATATGGCGTAAATACGAAGAAAATTTTGTTTAATAATAATATTAAAAGAAAAAAAGTTAGTAGGTGTAAGCGTAACAGCAGGCTAGTAGACTGCGAGCTCAGCGAGAGCGTAAAAAACCTTAACAAATACTTTTGAATGACCGTAAAATCTGAAAACTTTCAGATTTTTTTATTACTTTATTTATTGCCTAATTTTTTTCACTGGCAAATTTTTCTTCAATGAGGGATGCACTTCGAGTATAAAGATTAGGTGTACAGCATCGGTAAATAATTTCCAGAAACGTTATGAAACGTTCGTAAACTAACTTTTTAGATTTTCCTAACTATGCTGTGAATGTGTCTGTTGTACGTTTCTAATTGTATTTGCATTAAATTAGTTAAAATGTAATGCTATTTTAAAGCATATTTTTTCTCCGTGGTAATGATAAACGTAGCCGCGGATAGAAGTGATCGCATTAAGTGGCGTCTAGCGCTCTAGCGTAATGATTCGTTTTTGCGAAGGAGGTTTTGGTTGACATCATTTAGAAAGTACGCCTAACATTACATTCTGAAGGGCTCATTACTTTTCAGAATGTAATATTTTATTTCGTAAACTTTTTCACTAGTTCTGTAATTGTGTTCTGTTTTTAATATAACCGTCATGTTACTGCTTGCAGCAAAATAATCCAAAAGGCCAATGACTCATACTGCTACAGGAGGAAGGCGGACAAAAAAAAAAAAAAAAAAAAAAAAAAAAGGCGCGGTCATGCAATGCTGTTAAACAAAATTAAAAGCATTCAGCTTTAAGAAGTACGATTATTTATGTTAATTCTCCCTTTCTGATAAATTTCTCTTCCTGTTTCGGGGTAAACGTGTTTCGCTTTCAAGGCACGTCGTTTTTCCTAATCATTTCGTGAACACCCGCTTTATATGTATAAATAGCTCTGTGATTTACCGTGAGTTGATAGAAAAATATGGAAATGTTCCGTACTTCATTCTTTTGTAATTCTAAGAGAGTAGAAAACATATTCATCATGCAATATAAAACATCTCCGGGAAGGTTATGTTTCAGAAGCAAATTATAAATGTGTAAAATTTTATGATAATTAACCAGTTATCAAGAGTTGAACCTGTACTATAACTTTATTATAACTTATATAATCTATTACTTTATTACTTTTCTTCCCGTAGTTTTCACCAGAAGCTAAATTAGTGGTTTGTGTATTCAAGGTGAGGATTTGAATGTTTAGAGTTACAGCTTCTGACAACCTTGTCTTGGGGTTACTATCGCAAAGTTTTACTTAAATTTATTTTGGCTTAGCATCTTGCTAGCCTACGTAATTATCTTCAGCACCTTTAAGTAGTCTATTTTATGTGTTGTCTCCGACTACGTTAACTACATTTGAATTTAATTGTTATTTTAATTTAAATACGTACAAATAGCAGAAGCTCGTTTGCCCACAAGATTACGTATATAAAAGAATTTTATTCACACTTTGAATTAAGATTTCTTTCTATTATGATTGTAGTGCCCAAATTCGGAATAAATTTAGTATTTGGTTATTTAATCACATTTCTCTGTTAACGAGTTAAATTTTTTAAGTTTTTTTGATGTTGTAGAGACATTAGGTATTTTTTGGAAGTAGGATTCATGAAAAATAAGCAAAGCCTTCGCCGGGAATCAAACCACGGACCTTTGGAATAAGCGACCAGCGTGCAAACCACTACACCACGAAGGTACGCTAAGGTGATAGAAATAGCTTATAATGTAATTTAGGACGCAAATAAATTCTTTAATAAGTACTGCCCACTTTAAAAGCTCATTTTTGTTTAAAACTTTAGTGTGTTCAGGTTTATGCAACTAATCATCTAGCACTTTCTTTATGTCGGGAACAAATAGAATAGTATAAATTAGTTCCAATAATGACACCACTTTCGTTTGAGTTACCATGCATCTGTGTTTAATATAGCCAATCTTGCAGTCAAATTCTGATTAGCTTGATTAAGCTGCATTTATAAAAATACAAAATTAAGTTTAAAATAAATCTGAAAGCTTTCAGCTTTTATATATATTTATACTTTATATTACGCTCAAAGGGTGTTTTTTAGCATTTGTGTGTTACCCGTATTTATTAAATATCATGTTCTTCGCACTTAAACCATCTGGAAGCCCAAATTTGGAATTTAGAATTTGTTTTATTATCGATTTCATATTTTGTAAAACTTAAACGAATTTTTGATTAACAAACTGAACGATTTCAAAGCAAGAAATGGCAACACTGTAAAGAGAAAAAAAATTATCTCCAACGCGCGATGACTGCGTATCGGAAATTCTAAAGATATGCTCATTTTTAAATTATTTTGGAATATTGCTCTTAAACTGAATTTGATGGTTTAAGTGTAAAGAACATGATATTTAATAAATAAAAGTAATGCACAAAACGTTAAAAACGCCCCTTTGAGCGTAATGTAAAATCTGAAAACTTTCAGATTTTTTATATTTTTCTTCCGTATTTCTAAATATGCTCTCCTAGTGAAAATGTTGCCGAGTCCTGATAGACAGAAATATTTCTATTACAGTAAACGCCGCTTAATTGTGATCATATTTGTCCACGGCTATTTTGATAATATGAACTGAATGATAACATTAAGTGATGGAAAAAATATCCTTCAGCAGAGCAAAGGAATTTAACTCATTTAATATAAATACAAGAGACTTATAAATGGGTACTTTCACAGCATTTTAATTAATAAAATATTTAAGTTTGTTTATGTACCGTTCATAATTTTTCTGGAAACTATTTGACCGATAGTGTACCTCTTAAATAAACTTAATAATCGGAATGTATCTCTCATTCGAAAAGAATTTGGCAACAAAAAAAAAAAAAAAAAAAAAAAAAAAAAAAATTAAATTAAGCAAAAAAGCAACTTAGGTCTTTGTAGATGTTTTCAAATTGTTTTTTCAAGGGGTGGGAATGCAAGGGCTTTCCTATCTGAAGAAAAAATACTTGAAGCTGATCTCCTTAAAAATCGATAGAGTTATTCAACATAAACGTTAAACGAAGGTTGCGTATTTGCCTAATCTTAAGTGATTGACTGAATTCGAAACCCCGCTGCTTGGACACTTAATTTCTTACTTGGCGACAATTGTCTGTCACTCGATAATTTTTATAATCTATTTTGACTTAACTGACTTTATTGTATAAATGATAATAGTTAACGAATTGCTGTTTACAATAATGGAAATATTTTCCACATTTTCGTATAGAAACGGGCGGCCCTTGGGCAATTCGATAACAATATCCGAATGATTACATTAACCGCGATCATGTGAAGCGCATGAATCATTGTATAACATGATCATGTGATCATGTTATACAATGCTTTTCGCGATTGTTATGTTTTTTATGAAGAACTAACACTTTAGGGGAAATTAAGCAATAGTAATAATAATAACAATAATAAAATATTTGAATATTCTTTACTTTGATGCTGTCCATGAGAAATTGTTTTAGGATGAATGAAACTGCCTTGTAGAATACTCAGGGTGGAAGAAATGAAGATGAAGCATGGCAATATATATTTCAATCTCAATCTCAGTCTCGTACGCCTTGAGTTTTGCTTTGGCAAAGCAGTAAGAGACAACTGACTGCTTGTAGTTGTCATAATAGCAGCATGTCAGAATATCTTCGGCGTAACTGAAAGAAAAATGGAGTCAATTTGTGCAAACTTATTAAGCAAACAAACGAAGTATAGCGAAAGCGCTTTCCGCTGCTTGCCGCTATTGATTGCCGCTATTGTTTTTAAAATAATGTGAAGTGGATGTTATCGTCCCGATTCTGCACTTTGCACGAACTTGCTATTTAGTCTTAGATTATTGTTTTTATCTTAAAGAAATATTGCCTTAGTTGTTACTCTCTCGGTAATGATAAAAATTATCGAATATGATAATAATGCACCTTCGTATAAAGACAAAGTTTACTAACTTAACATAACTGGATCCTTCTTTTTATCGCACGTAAAAATAGAACGAGAACTCTGGCCTCAGTGATAAATTTTCTCTATGCAGTTATACGAAGGCATTATGTTAATAACCTAAGCACTCTACGCTACTGAATTAGTATTAGTGTGATAAAGCACCGTTAATGTGGCTATCTACTGACTACTCGCAGAGGCGGGCCCCACGGGGCATCTGATCGGGAGAGAGGCCTACGAAGAATATTAAATGTTTAAATATAGGTACTTATCTGTAAGCACTTAAAGTGCAGAGTCATTAGGTTAATTGGAAGCAGAAAAGCTGAAAAATATGCAACCGCCTTCGCCGGGAATCGAACCACGGACCTCTGGAATACCGGCCCAGCGTGCTACCGTTAGGACCATATCACACGGCGTTTGTTTCACACGAACAACTTTTTCGGACAATTTTTCAGCCTGGTTTACTATTGAAAGAAAAACGTGCGGCTTTTTCCTTCCTTTCGAAAAAAGTTGCAAGTTGTTCGTTTTCAACCAATCAGCTATCAGCGCCGAATGCTGTTAGCTTGTTTGTAATGGAGAACCATTCACTTAAAGTTATTTTACGTAGCGAAGAGACGTAATCTTCTTAATTACAGTATTTATTTTTTACTCAAGAGAAAGTTAGAACGCAACATATATTCTTACAGAGAAAAAAAAAAAATTCTGAAATGTTTCAGATTTTAAATTACGTCCAAAGAAAGGGGCGTTTTTTAACATTTTGTGAGTTACCTTTCTTTATTAAATATCATGTTCCTCGCACTTAAACCATAAGATCCAGTGCAACAGCAATATCGCAAAATAGTTTTAAAACGAGCATATCTTTAGAATTTCCGATACAGAGACTCACGCGCTGGAGATAAAAATGTTTTTTCTGCACAACGTTGCCATTGCTCGCTTTGAAATCCTTGAGTTTGTTAATCAAAAATTCGTCAAAGTTTTAAAAAATAGGAAATCGATCATAAAACAAATTTCAAATTTCAAATTTGGTCTTCCACATGCTCATATTCGTTGGAGGATTACGTTATTCAAGATTCGATGACTCTATGTACCGTTGTTTTATCACAATACGAGAAATATACATACATTTATGCAGATTTTTCATTATTTAATTTCTTCAAATATAATGCAGGACTCTAACATTTTGTGGCAACAGTTTGAAAAGTGAACCGACATTTATGAGTCCGACGCAAAATGCCAAAACGAAACTAATAGTCCTTCGGGATTCAAATCCCTTTGGACTAAAAAAAAAAAAAAAAACTGTTATTGGAGCCTGTTATTTTCAGCAACGTCAACACGTAAACAGTAAACTCCAACCTTGTGGAGTCTTCTTGTGTGCTTTGGGAGCACATACTATAGACCTTACTGAAAAGATGAAGTATAGAATTCTCGCTAGATCTTGGAAGAACAGATGACTGCAAACGAAGGTTTTAACCTTTTTATTTTTAACTTAACGGAACAGAAAATGCGTTAGCTCTGTGCTCACAGTTTAACTACCGCTTGTGGCTAAGTAACTTAAGCAGAAAATAGCATATACAATCACAATAAATTAAAGTTAGGTACACGACTGGCTCTTACTTTATCTAAACGGCTTACTCGGCTGCACACAACAAAGCCGAGTCTAGAATATCAATATAATCTAAAGTAAGCGTCTAGCACTAACTATTCAGCTACAGAGTTATTTTCAGACACGCGGTATAAATTCAGAACTAACTCTTCTATGCCTCGAACTCTAAAAATCTGCTACTTAAATACTATTTCCGAACTCACTTAGATTTGCATATATGTCATTAAATTTGCATTCTGGCAAGAAATTGAAATCAGAAGGGAAAGAAACGTTTCTTAAAATAACAATAATTAGAACAAAATAGGTCTTTACAGCCTCACTGTTACATCTTTAAGATTCTATCACAATGCTGTCAAGAAATTCAAGGAATATAATTTGGTGTAAATAGAAAGTTACTATTTAATCCTATATTTATGCTACAATTTTAATTAAGAAACTTCAGTTTTCCATGATATCATTAAAGCAGCTTTAGGCAAAAGATCATTGCCTATATTTGGCAAAATACAGTAAAACCCATCTTAACGCTGTATCCGTATTATTCGGTAGTACTGAAATTTCTTTGAATCGCACGTGGTATCAGTATTCTTTAGTTGGTTTAGGATTTAAAGCTCTATAAAAAAATCATTTAACACTGCAGGTGGGTGGTAAGGGTAAAGGATACTTAAAATTAAAACCACCTGCTTGTTTATAGTTTCAAAACTCGAAGAGCATCGAGGGTATTTCAAAATTACCTTTACCAGTAATTTGGGAGTCCAATAAAAGTTTTGAATCACTGTAAAACCTTTTGAGAACTGAACAGTTTTGCCTGTTTGTTAAACGCTACTACGAGTTTCAAACGCTAGAACTGAAAGCTTTACTTTTGATTGATTTTGCTTTAAGCCATCTAACGTATTTGTCCGGTTCTGCAGCAAGAAATGGTTTTCTTGCCTCAATTTTTACAAGTTTCAATTGGTGAAAGTCTTTCCAACGACGATCTTAAAAAATCGCACAAAGATGACGAGATGAGTGTTTCTGAAGACGAAGAGCAACATAAACTTTGCTCTTCGTTTTCAGAAACACTCATCTCTTCATCTTAGGATTTTTCTTAAAATAAGTAAATAAAAAAATAAAAGTTTAGCCACAAAACGGAAATTACGGATCAGTTAAATTTTGATAGAAGTGTCACTGCTGTGATGTCTTTCGACGACTAAGCAACAAAAAATTTAAAATGAGGAAAAATTGTCCTCATCAGAAGCATAAGTTCTTTTTTCTAACTTTTTTAAAATTTTCATGACTGTTTTATGAATAAAAATCGATATTGTCAATAAATAAGTCTATAATTAATGCAATAAAAATATTTAACAATAAATGCTACAAAATAAAACTGAAAATTTTTCTTATTCTCGCTTCTGTTTCAATTATCCCTATTACTTACTTAATGAGATGACCTTGTTCAACGCTGTTTCGTTTAGCGCTGGACGTTACTGAAATGTATTAAGCTGTATCTAATTTGCTATGTTTTAAAATCATTTACTTCACCTGCTACAGATCAAAAGGAAACCCGTAGATAATATTATTTATCTTGAGGCTGTAATTGTTTCTTGAAAATTGTGTCATAATATGAGATAATGATTTAAACTGGTTTTTACACGTTTGGTCTTTGATCTTGATAAAATATGCTTAACGATAACTTTGTTTGGTTAATAACTGTATTTTGACCACATGAAAACGGCGTGGCGTGATATAAAACTATTAAGATTATGTTTTGTTTAACTATCTCCTTAAGTCTGAAGTGGCTTGATTAGAAATGCTGTAATATTACCCCTCCTCTTCTTATGTCATCATAGGTAGTCTTCATAAATTTTATGCAATATATTTATTCATTGATAAGGCTAATTAATTATTGAAAGAGTTAATAAAATACGCAATCAAAAGCAATTACTATTATTGAGTATATTTAAATATTTTAATAAATGTTGTTCAGTCATTTCTGAAATTTTGGGTTTCATCAGAAGAGGTATGGTTTAACTCGCAAAATCGAAATCTTATAAGAAAAATCAGAATTTTAAAACATTCCTAGAAATGATCATCTTTGGAAATATTACTTTGAAAGTTTTTATGTTTATTAACGCATTATCTTATTATTTTTACGTTTACTGTTACTTCTGTTTTCGTCGGCTCCCACCAGGATGAAGATTAGTTAATGGATAGAAGTGCAAAGTTCTTGAAGTTAAGAGAGAGCTTTTGACAGCGATTACTGACATCTGTGTTATTTTCGCTCGGCTCTTAGAGCAGAGTTTCTTAAACTGTGGACTTGACTGGGATCGCGAAGCGAAAGTTGGGCTCGCGAAAGTTTAACCCAGATACAAGAATTTAAAGAAACATTATTTTGAATCCCTTTATTATGTTTGGTTTATTGTATTACATTTTCTGTGCAGCATAATTCCAAAATCGTAACGTTTCTCTGTGCGGCAAGGAGACACTCAAAATAATCGGCGAGTCAAAAGTCTTCTTGAGAAGTTGGTGGTAGGGGAAAAGGGAGGAGACCATCGGACCGTCTTGGGGCGTTCTCCCTCAAAACTGGGGCGAGACTTCACCTGTACGACCAATGGCGATATTCTGGTGTCCCTGCCCATTTCTACCTGTACACAACTTATGGTGCATCTTTAGCAACGTCCTCGGTGATCGACGAATGAGTTAAGTTAGTTACAAGTGTCCGGTCCTTTGAAACAACATTCTTAGCTTTCTGGAAAGAATTTAGAGTTTCTATTTTAAGTGTTCTTTTGTGTTAGAAATGTTGTTTATGGCCTTGAAATAAAACTCCATCTTCTATTTCTTTGGTTTAAAAATACCTGCTTCATGAAATCTTAATGACTGAGACCAAGTTCGGTAAGCGCGTGTTAATACTCTAGTTGCACTCGAACATTTGTTCCGAATTTGCCGCAAATTGCGGGTTAGTGTTTTTCTATATTTTTATACTTTGTGTAACCTGGACTTGGTGAGGCAATAAAAATGTTTATTAAAAATCAGAGCGTCTGAATTTGTGCGTTCTACAAATACCTTTAGAAGGGGTCTGTTGTCTTTACGGTTCTAGGATTTGGTAGTTAAAGCAGTGTAAAATCGTACATTCCGAGAAAATGATCTTCAAGATTTAAATTTGAATTAAATAATTACATTTATTACATTTCATGTAAGCCTTTTTAATAAAAATGTAGTATTTTTAAAACTGTATTCGTAAATTTGTTTCTTATTCCAAGCATGTGTTATGTTTGGAACCTTGCTTTGGTTAAAACTTTTAATGTTATCAGCCTAAAAGGGCTACTATTCTCGAAACACGATTTTGCGTTGATTAGCTTTATATAAATACTTGTTTCACTTTTCATTCGAGTCTGTTGCCATTCAGAAAAGTGTAAGATATATTTGTCTTTCAGACTGAATCTGTCTGTTGTGGATAACTATATGTTATATCCAGTTTATAGTTAATCTCTTATGGATAATAATATTTAAGCTATTTAAAAGTGAAAGATGACATCTTAAGAATATTATTTTTTGACTTTTCAGTCGGATTGATTTAAATAAAAATGGATTTAAGATGCATCTAATTTAAATCATTCAATAATTTTACAGAATGATGTCATATATTTTCTCACTTTTCAAAATATACAGAATATATATAACTTTCCCATCTTTGCTAAATCAAGGATTCCCAACCTTTCTCTTGCACCGACCCTCTTTTAAAGGAATGATTTCCTTCATCGAACCCCTTACATTTTTCTCCAGCATGCAACGTAATCATAATACAGATACTTGCACATAAATAACTGTAACGTAATAATTAGATTAAGAATAAGAATAAATGATTAAAAAGTGGTTATTACACTCACGTTTCATTGTATTTTGTATTATTATTAACCCAGAAGGGTAATTTGCCCAGAAAGGCTATTAATTTCGTTTGGGCATTTTGCGTCGTCCACTATAAAACGGCGTTTAAATTTTCAAATTGTTGCCATCAAATATTAGACCCTTCATCATATTTAAAAAATTAAATAATGAAGAATCTGCATTAATGTATCTATGTTTCTCGCATTATGAAAAACAACAGTACCAAGAGACACCCAATTCTGAATAACGTAGTCCTCCAATCGAATATGAGCATCTGGAAACCAAAATTTGGAATTTAGAAATGGTTTTATTTTATCTATTTCTTATTTTTTAAAACTTTAATGAATTTTTGATTAAGAAACTTAACGATTTCAAAGCGAGCCACGGTAAAACTGTACGGGGAGGGGAAGGAAGTATTTTTATTTCCAGCGCACGAGATTGTGTATCGAAAATTCTAAAGCTTTTTAAAATATTTTGTGATTTTGCTGTTGAATTGCATTTTATGGTTTAAGTGTGAAGAGCATGATATGAAATAAATAAAGGTTACACACAAAACGTTAAAAAAAGGGGGGTAATATAAAATCTGAAAACTTTCAGACTTTCGTATTTTTTTTTTTTTTTTTTTTAATTTTGATTTTACGAATATAAACAACTTTCCAGGAACACAATCGCATTTTGCAATTGCACAAAAGTTTGACTTTAGTGAATCTGATGGCTGCGCCTGACGTATTAACGTAATTTTTTTTTTATTTGGCATAAAATTCTTTAATTTTTAATTCTTTAATTTTAAAAGTTATCTCGTTAAAAATTTTCAATATCTTGTTTTCCATTCTAGTTTTCTGTTCTTCCTATTTTCTTGTATTTTTCCTTTTCACTATTTTATATTGCTCTTAGTGCCCAAAAATGTAATATATTTTAAAACAAATTATTGATTTTTAAAATATACAAATTAATTTTAATGTGGTTTTCCTCTTATTTGATGCCCAAAAATGTAATATATTTTAAAACAAATTATTGATTTTTAAAATATACAAATTAATTTTAATGTGGTTTTCCTCTTATTTGATGTGGTTTCTTTATTACTACATCATACAGCTTTATATCAACAAACAATTAATTATCAGTTTTATTAATAATTTTTTGCAATCAATTGATCTTGATGATGTTGATCATTGCCGGTGAATATTTGATTATCGACTCTCACTCAACCCCTTGATCATCATTGACCTCTTTTAAAATTTCATTGATTCCCAGGGGTTAATACAGACTCCGTTCGGAACGTCTGGTCTAAATGGATATTCATCTAGTATCTAGTTCGTTTTTTCACCTGGTCCATCCCTATCGATAATCTCTACTGATAAATCATATTAAGCTTTAGAGGAGCCTTTTTGGGGAGAATGATGAAATCTGAAACCTTTCAGATGTTGTCTTTTTTTTTCCTCTTTATATATATATACATATAGTATATACAATCTTGCTGTTATTTTTTATATCAAGGATTCGAAAAATTCTTAAGATTCGGATTTGCGAAAATTTAGGATTCGGTCTGCTCACGAAATTAAACCAAAAAATTTATTTTTGTCTTTTAAGAAAGGTTTTATTTTCAGTGACATAGCTAGTAGAGGCGGTGCGCCCTGGATGACACATTTTTGGGGGCGGCATTTTTCACTGAAAATATTACTTTGTAGGGAATAATCATGTGGATCATGAAGGCAAAGAATAAGGAGACTCTGAATTGCATACCGGATTAAATTGAAGGAAAAAAGTAGTTTTTACTCTAGGTAAAGTATTCAAAGAAATTCCGACGAGATTTCGAAGCTACACAACCTTGTTATACCTTTTCATTTCATCCAACCTTTTAAGTGAAAATTACGAATATCAACTAAGTTATTTTACCCCGATCATAACTTAGTTGATATTCGTAACATTAATAATCAATAATTCTTCGTTAAGAGAGGAGTATTTCAGGAGTTTTGTTTCCGTTATTGCTAGGAAAAGCGAAACTGAAACGTGGAAGAGCAGTCCTTTACGTTTCCGCAGATTTTTCTGAAATACAAACTCCAGAACGAAGTCTAAATATTGTAACATTATTGCTAATTTTCCTTATTAATGTTGTAAGCGCTGCTGATTGTGAGAGAGTTTTATAAATAAAAATCACTAAATGTTAAAAATGTTTAATTTGCATTTACGAACTATAAACGTTTATTTTGCATTTAATAACTAGAAATGTTTATTTCGCATTTAAGAAATCTTCATATACTTTCTATATTACAACAGTTGGAGCAATCAAGTAAATCTTTGCAATGTTATGAAACGTTTTGAGAACATACACACACACACACACACACACACCAAAAAAAAGGCAAAATAATAATAGTATAATTTTAAAATGTTAGAATTAAAATTTTTATTCAAAAATAAACATGCAATTTAAATTTAGTCCATATATATTCTTTTGAGATTTTTTTAGTTATTTGTTTATATAGTAAGAGAGGAGGCAAATTCAGGAACCGCCCCAGGCGGCAAAATGGGATTCGCTATGGGTAGCATAAGCTCTAGCTATGTCACTGCCATGGTTACCTAAGTTCATATTTTTCTATGTAAATGGTATATTCTTATGAGGATTATGTATAATTTAAACAGAGATAAGGGAATATCCACACCCTTATTCTCTCTTTTTATACTATAGTTTTATGTTAGAGGTAGTTGTTTCTGTTTTTTTTTTGTTAGGATCTAAAAGAGAAAACCAAAGCACGCGATTTGGCCGTATTATCTTTTAAGCATCGTAATAATCATCAGTGTACTCTTCTTGCATACTAAAAACACAAAATTGTCACATACGCCGGAATGTCAGCAGTTAAGTGAAAGTTCAGTGAACTGCGTTACTATGGAAACTTCTATGATTCAACTCCCAAAATGTTTCATTTTCTTTGAAGTGGGTTCATTTTCTTCTGCGGAAGAGCACTGATAGTTTTTTAAATCTTCATTCTCAATGTAATTCATTCATACATGATAACTTTAGAAAAAACGCTTCCATATTCACGCACTAGCGTAAGATCTGAGTTGATGGATGTACACCAAGGACAGTCTGAGGAAGTGTTTCCAGTACGCTAGATCTTTAACTGAAACTCCAGTTAAAAAACGTTAAAGAATTTTTAATAAGATTCAAACTGACTTGAGTATAAAGAAAGTTTACAACTAAATAAACATACAGCTAAAAAGCTTTGCTATAGAATACTAATTATTAGATGCCAGTGAAATGTTTAACATCAACCTTTTCAAAATAGGCTTTTAAAAGACATTCATATATCCTCTGTTAAAAATTTTTCGGAAGGAAGAACGTTGGAAAAATTGTGGTTAGTTCCTTGTGCTTTCAACCAGAAAGGTATTCATGCTAAAGTAATGATGTAATTTATGTCTCGATTTTGTGATAAAGAGTGATATTTGTGGTAGAATCTTTAGTGATATCAAGAACTGTCCTTGAGATGATTGGGTATATGATTTGTATGCTCCTGACACAGTTCAGCACTGGAACTGCAGAGCTGAGGTTAATTCAAGTAGTAAGTATAGTTTTATTTCCATTTTTATAAGCTTTTAGTTCACTCATGATGTTTCATTGTGTGTGGAATTTTGTTATCGGATTTTAACCTGCTTCATATTAAGCTACCGAGTTCAAATTTTATAAACACACTGTTTCTTGATGGCAGTGCAATGTAGTGAAGCGATGCTTTTCAATTTAACTTCAGTTTAATTTACTTTTTCAATTCAACCGATTTAGAGTTTTTTATTTATTTAATGTTTAAGTGATTTTTTTTCCCATATCTTCATTTAGCGGTCAAACTAAGCATTTAAGAATTTTACTCTTTGCACCATCGAAGACAGCAGAAAAAAAAATAGTTTCATTCAAACTTATACCAAAAATTGTACCTTAATTTCTGAAATTTTGGCGAATTTTTTAATATTGCTCAATTTTTAAGACTATCTGATGTTTATGATTTTAAAATTTCAGCATATAAAAATGTTTCAGATATAAAAATTTTGAAATTTTCACAGATTATAAAACAAACTTTTGGACCTCTTTTAAAACCAGAATGCTAAACAAAAAATTAACGGAACGATTTTCTACATTAAAAAAAAAAAAAAAAAAAAAAGAAGAAGAACTGCAGCCTGAAGCAGACGGCAGAAAAAAGCTTAAAATTGTTTTTGAGGTTGCCATCTTCTTGGCATCTTAATAATGAATTAGTGATAATCTTTTTTTTTTTTTTTTTTTTTTTTCCATTTTGGCTTCAAGTAAAATTCTCATTATAACCTTGTTATTACATTCAATTTCTGAAACTGAACATTCAAAGCGGTTTCTTAATTCTCTGAATGACGTGCAGTTACCTTTCTTTATTTCATAATTTTCTTATAATTTATTGATTGTATTTTTATAACGGCTAAAAATTTCAGTGTTGGTAACATGTAATTGAGTTGAAAATCATAAAATAAAATGCAATGAAAAAAGTTTTTTCATAGAATAAGCTTTTAATTGAAAATGGATGCGATATTTAATGCAGTAAAAAGAAAAATATTCATCATATATTCGGAATAACAGATAAAATAATTCTATTTACAGAAATACCTACAATTTTATAATGCAAATAAAAGCATGGAATAAATAACGAAATCTCTTAAATGAATTAAATAACGAAACCTATTAATAATAAAACAAGAAATAACAAAAATACGCTAAATAACGAAAATTATTAATTGAATTGCATTTTGAAATGTATAAGCCATTATTTAAAAAATTTTTCTATTAATTGCATTGCCAAATGTATAAAACATTGTCTTATTTTAATCTATCATGGATTGCCCACGCTTTTGTTACTTGGGATATAAAATTTTAGATGAATTCTATGACTAAGTAATTTAGTCTATTATTCCCACTAAACAATATGATAAATTATTTTTCTCCCTTTAGTGCTCTAATTATAATATTCATTTTAAAAAAAAGCTTATTGTACAAAATCTTCTTCTATTGTATTTTATCCGCATCTATCAATTAACAGTTTGCTCTGTGTTTAGGAAATCTGCCACTATTCATTAATAAATGATGCTGCAATAGATGATGAAGGAGCAGATCTTTCGTTGTCTTTATTATGAGAGATCGTTATTTTGATTTCTTTATTTTCTAAATTTAGCCTGTGAAATAATATTTAACCAAATTTTTTAATTGTCTAATTGTGTTTAAAGTATACTTTCCATTTGATTTGATGCTGAAAATAAAAGTTCCTATTTGTACCTTCCCATCAAGGCATCAAATAATTCTCTAGCGACTGTTATTACCCGATTCAAGTCTTTAATTCCCTTTTGCTTGGTTATGACTACGTAAGATGAGAAAGGTCCCAAAGAAGCAACTTCATAATCGTCTCATCTGTTTTTTCCCGCCATAGGCAAGGTACTCGAAAGGGTGGTACTCCAAAGACTTATGTTCTTTACAAACTGAAGAAGTTTGCTGAACTCAACGAGTTTGGCTTCATAGCTGGTCTGTCAGTGGACCATGCCTTAGAGACACTTCACTCAGTTATTATAAATAACAGACGTGACAATATTCCCACATTTATAATTGTAATAGACATACAAAGCGTGTTTGATTCGTTGTGGGGGCTTTAAGTAGACTAAAAAGCATGGCTTGTTCAAAAACTCTATATAAATTATTCAAGAGCTGCTTAAACAACAGAACATATTCAAGCCACAACAGACGAAGTTGTCTATGTGACCTCCATCAATAGGTGCTACTCCCAGGGTTCTTGCCTTGGTCCATTATTATGACTTTGCCTTCGTCCTATTTCAAATTTAAGAAAATATAAACATTCAAGCATACGCAGACCATGTTCTGCTAGCTGTAAAAGGTCGCTCAAGAAGAGAGTATGAAACTAGAGCCCAACATGCAGTAAACGTATTCACAAGCTGGCCAAAATATCAAACGTTCATTATATCTGCACCTAAAAATTCAAGGCGTTCTCATTAGTTCAGGTCGAAGACATACTCGTGCCTTTTGTGTAAAAATTAATGGAAATAATATTAAATTTGTGAAACACATGAAATACTTGGGTGTTTACATTGATGAATAACTTATGTGGCATCAACATTTCGCGTAAATTAAACAACGATTTCAGAAGTTGTCTAACTCATTGAACAGAACCACAGCAGCCAAATGAGGAGTATCCTCTCAGACGCTAAGAGTATGGTATCAGAGAGTAGCTGAAAATGTAGCCCTGTATGGGGCCCTTATGTGAGGTTCTCGTATCACAAAACGTATGAGCCTGCAGCTCAGATCAGCGCAGTGTCCTTGTAAAGCCTATGTCTCTTTCGGAACATAAACGTTCAAAAGGACTCTTGAAGAATTATCTTCTAGCCTTGCGAAACAAAACAGAAATCAGAAGGGTGTATAAGACCCTTTTATTCAAATATAAAATTAACAATGACCCTACTTGGGTTACAAGAAGCCACTCACTTCTGACTTAATAGAATAACGTAACAAATACTAATTCAAGATGTGATAAGTTAGCCTAAAAGCTCACAGAATATTTTAGCTCGCAGGAAGAGCTCTGGTTTGTAGTAAACCGGCGAGACAAGCCTAATGGCTGGAACACTATTCCAGGCCATTTTGTGCTGTGATTATTAGCGACGTGCCGCTAAAGCACGAATTTAAGTACACGAAAAAGAGGCCCTTAACGACCTCGTTAAGAGCTTAAATTCTAACTATCTTAACTACTTAACCTTATCAAAGCCCACCTCTTACAATAAGATTAGATCATTGAGTAATTAAATGTAAAATTCAAAATTTGCGTTACAAGATTTTGACTCTCATCTTGGCATGTACAAAATTTCAGCTGCTCACATCCTTCTAGAAAATCTGGAAGGAAAACGATTTTAGCAAACGTTGTACAAACATGATATAAAATTTTCACAACTTTTCATTAAATTTTCTTTGTACTTTATTGCCACACATTTATTCCACAATTAAATCTCTTCTCCCATGCTCTCCAGAGAAATTGGAGCTGGAGGGTAGAAGGGAAAATAGTGTCTTTTGTAAATGTGTTTATAGACACTTCCAACTGACCAACAATCTATTTACTATTAGAATTTGACATACGAGACTTCAAAGACTCCCTATTTACCAAACTGCACCTAATGTGTTAAAACGATCGTGATTTAACTTTAAGTGTTAAATGGAGAGCCTAACTTACTTCCATGCACACAACTAAATTTCCTTTTAAGTTTCTCAATTTGAACGATTGCAATCACATTTCATTCATGCAATATAATTAAATGCTTATAACTAGGCAAGTCTTTTTCAAAACAAACATATATTTGCGAATACTTTTCACAACAAAATAAAATAAAATAAATAATTATTTACAATAGAATTCAGCTTGCACTTTACATCGAGATTCACGAGTGGCTTTGAATTTCTTAACTTTTAGCACTTGCGTTTCTTGATGGCAATCTCTTAAACTAAAATTGCATTCCTATTTAATTATTACATTAGCATAAACACAGAAAATTACTATTTAGCTTCCGAGCCGTTTCCCTCGTTAAATGAACTAGAATAACTTCACATGAGGTAAAACTTAAATGAATTTAGCAACAAGTCCTTTTGTAGAGTCATTAGGTTAGTTGGAAGCAGAAAAGATGAAAAATATGTAACCGCCTTCGCCGTGAATCGAACCACAGACCTCTGGAATACCGGCCCAGCGTGCTACCGTTACACTACGAAGGCACGCTAGGGAAGTAGGAGAAATACCTTATACTTTTAGATCTAAAATAAAATTGCACTAAGGTGAAAATGAATTGAACTTATGTTCTCGATCATCATCCGTATGCTCATCCATCCGTTTTTTTGTTGAATTGAACCCAGCTGGGATATTTCTTCATTTTCCGAATCCGAAACCGCTGTCGGTGTTGGTCCTCCGGGCCATCATTAAGCTTCCTCTTCTACTTGCAGTATCAGTTTTCGGCTGTATCCTTAACTATGGGTAACGCTTTAATTAATGCGTTCTTAAAGTTTTCAAAGTTGTAGCTTTCGCTTTCAGGCTTGCCCAAGACAAATTTGCCAATGCATTTATACCACGTAGCAGCCTCCCCTCTAAAAACGGAAGTGACAATAGCAACTTTTTGTGCTTCTTGTACAGGATGCAGCAAAAAATGCGAATTTGACTGCTCAAGAAAATTTAAAACAGACGTTTTTACATCAAAAATTGCTTCTGGTTTCATAGCAGCTCTCTAAGGGTGTCAAAAATAAACACGAATCCCTCCATGGGATTCACAGTAGTCGACGCGGCTTGCGACGTTGAGAAGAAAATGCTAAATGGTAAAGTTTCCTGTGATATCGTTGGACACCAATGTAAAGCCTGTATCTCTTTGGGAACATAATCTTTTAAAAGGACTCTTGAAGAATTATCTTGTGAGACAAAACAGAAATCAGAAGAAGGATCTATAAGATCCTTTTATTCAAACATAAAATTAACAATAACTCAACATGGGTTACAAAAAGGCCATTCACCATTTCTGGCTTAATAGAATAACGTAACAAATACTAATTTCAAGGTGTAGTAGATTAGCCTAACGGCTCATAGAATACTTTAACGCGCAGGAAGAGCTCTGGTTTGTAGAAACCGGCCAGACAAGCTTAATGGCTAGAACACACAACGCCACTAACGCAAGTCGCTAATAATCACAGCACAGCGTGGCCTGGAATAGGCAGACATGCTCCAAAACTAACTCCCGAAACTCTTGCTTAAATATCACTTCATTCTACCTTAATCTGAATAAACTCTCGCTATCTCATTTACATTCTGGCATGAAAAGCGTGGATGAAAAGACAGCAATAGGTTTTTCAACGTAAAATTAACTATTAGTTAAATTAAATAGATAAACCTCACAACCTATTCTCATGAACGTCTGTCGGGGATACAGAATATCTCCTACCAATGCGCTAAACGTCCTATTTGGTCTCCTCTCCTCCATCTCGTTATACAGAGGGAAAATGCCCTATCCCGCACACTTAGATTGCATATTAATACATCTGTGTGGGACAGATAATTCATCAGCACTGACTATGAAAGCCCAACAGTGCTCCGCCATCCAGCAGAATTTCATCTTGATATGAAAATGCAAGCTCCGTCAACTTTTGATTCATATGCGGCATATACTGATGGAAGAAAGGTGGATCAAGGTGCATTTGTGACTTCTAATGTGATACTCTTAGGCACCAGTTAGTGTATTTACCTAGGCACGAAAACTAAATTCTGCCATTGCAGTGTTCTAAGCTGAGCTTGCAAGCACTTAGAGCAGCAGTTCACTATAGCATTCTAGTTGGTCACGAACTAACGACATATTTTGACTCAGCGTCAAATCTCCAGTCTGTACCGGGTTGAAAAATTCGGAATACCATAGTCAAGGAGATTCAAAGAATGCTACTCTCTCTGTTGACAAATATCAGACCAAAGCTCCAATGGGTCCGCGCACGCGCTGGAGTACACGCCAATGAAAAAGCAGACGAAACTGCCAAATTGGCAGCCACGGACGAATGTACACGGTTAATGTACATACTGTGGCTGAAGTCGCAGATGAAAACAACCATTAGGGTTCTTTTAATAGAGGAGTGGCAAAGTTCCTGGGATGACGACGACCTGGCAGGAGAGTATAAAATTACTTTCCTAAAATCAGAGATAAATTATGCAACGGTCCTTCTGAGCGGACACAATTGCTGACGGGACATGGCCTATACATGAGCTATATATTTCGCTTCGGCTTTCGGGACAGTGCGCGGTGAATATGTGAAAGGGTTGGAGAACCTGACCATTATATTTTTGACTGTGCAGAAACAAACGCTTAGACGTATCCAGAGATGCACTGAAGTAGCTCTTGGAATCTCTAAGATGGCATCCTGCTATAGCTATTGCAATAAAAAGAAATGTCATAAACTTATACGTATACTTATACGCGTACTTATACGCATAATACGTATGTTTTTTTTTAAGAACAACAGTGAACAAAATAGAATCACTGGCAGTATTTAAACAGGTTGATAAGCACCATCTCCAGGTGCTCTATCAGTGGAGTAAAGTAAAGTTATGATTTGAACCTTTACTTCATCTTTCCGTAGTCCTTACCGGAATGCAAATTATTTGTGAATTAGTTGTGTATTTAAGCCGATGTTTTGAATATCTTTTAGGCTGAGAGCATCTGGCAGCTTCGACCTTTCAGTTATGTAGTATCACCAGCCCTCTTTAAGTTATTCCAGCTTTAGCAAGACTGGCACCAACCATTTCGCTAGCCGATGTAAAATACGCGCCGTTAATTACTTAAGCCAGCTTTAGAATATTTTTATATAGACTAGATTACCAGCACAAGGGTGCTTTCTATAGATTGAATGATTTTTTTTTTAAATGTTATTTTTAACTTTTCTAAAACATTGCCATCTGATTTAAGACTGGAGCCATAACTCGCTTGTCAGTCTAGTAGGTAAATAAATAGTCATAGGTAAATAATAGTCAGTAAATAAACAACATGTATTACTTATAATACGTGAATGCTACCGGCAGTGCATGAAACGCAGGTATTCTATAAATTACCTAAGGAATTTTAGGCAAAGTGTAAAATTTGAGAATTATTATATACTTGCCCTAGACATTCTGTAGAATGACAAATCTTATTTAGGCAAAGCATGAAAAATGCTCACGATAAGGCTATTATTTAAAAGATCTGCATTCCTGAAAAATTCAAGTTATTTTCAAATGCCATTAATTTAATCAAAATACGTAAATAAAAATGAAAGCTGCGCAAAACAAAATTTGTGCCTTTCTTATTAAAGAAAACAGTGTATGAAAATTTATGGAATTTTGGAATGAATGTGTTAATGAATGCATTTACGATAAAAAAAATACTTATTTTTTTCCCTAGGTATTTAGAAAAAGCCAATGGTTTCCGGAAGTCAGTCGTCCGGATAACCAGTACGGATTTCTTTGGGAAAACAGAGCAGAAAAAATTGCACAAGTAAGAATGGATACAGTTCCTTTTAAAATTTTTCTTCATATCCTAGTAAGCCACCGATTCCCTAACGAATCGAATAAACGAACGCGTGAAACTCGCAAATTAATTGCGTGAGAATGAGAATGGGAAGATTAAAAAGGTAGAGAATAAATCCAACTTTAGTACACTAGCATACACATTTTGAATCTTAGTGGTAAGATTAAATCAAATTTAATAGTAAATAAATATTAAAGGAAGATTAAACTAAGGTGGAAAGTTTACTTTATTGCTTTATTTTACAACGTAACTCAAACTTTGTGCAACAATGAGCAGTCTAGTTTACAAAATAAATTAGCTTATGAAATTTGTCAAAAATTTCACTGTTGACTTTCGGGTGTCAAAAACTTTGCTGTATACACAATTATTAAAGTACGTATGATACACATGTACTGTAAACTAAATGTAAACTTCGGAGAATAAAATTCGCCTTTACTGTAACTATAACGTAATACTAAGTTGCGACACAATCAGTGCTAAACAATGAACACTCATTTTCTCCCGCAGATGGAGAAAAATTCGTCCATGCTTTCATGTTGCAGGAGGAAAGGGAATAGAGAATCCCTTTGGTCTTGACCAGCTGCCTGCATCCTCGGAAGACACATTCGCCTTTTCTTACATAAAGATGATTACTGAAGTTCAATGTCAGGTGCTTAAAAAAAGGTGAACCAAACTTTAAGAGATCGTAGAACGCATAGAAACAATTCCCTTCCCCATCAACTTCTGTTGATGGGGAAGGGAATTGGTTACATGGTCGGAAGATGAAACATAAAGGTATTAGAGGAGGTGTTTCCAACGAGGTAGCTATTGATCCTCTGGGAGTCGATGAAATTTTAAAGAAGGTAGTGATGATTAGCGGGGTCGATAGCCCATTATGCACCGGCAATAAATCGGCGTAATTAAGACCCCATTGATTACAAAAATTTTTTAATGAATTGGTAAATATTTTTTTATTTATATAAAGCTATATCATGTAGTAAGGAAGAAGTCATATAAATTAAATATAAAGGAAAAAACACAGTAAAATTATTTTATATATTTTAAAGATCAATGATACTTTTTAAAAAAGCATAATGTTTTTAGGCAATAAGTAACATAAAAAAGTAAAACGCTAGAACACGAGAAAATGCAATAAAAAATAGAAAGAACGTAAAATTGGAATGGAAACTAAGACACAGGTTGAATATTTTTGACCGAGGTAATTTAAATATTAAATTAAGGAATTGTATGCCAAATAATAAAAAAAAATATTAGTACTTTAGTCGCTACAATCCCATTAATTAAAATCGAACTTTTGTGTAATTAGAATATGCGATTTTGTTTCTGGAAACTTGTTAATATTCGTAAAATTAAAAATAATAATAATACAAAACATAATAAGACATTAATCTAATAAACCATTTGTTCATGTTCTTAGTCTAATTGTTAAGTTACTCATACGCAATTATTTGTGTCATGATTATGTTGCATACTGCATAGTATGGAGAAAAATGTAAGGGGGTCGATGGAAAAAAAACTATTTCTTCAAAAGAAATTCCATGCGACGCAAATGTGAGAATGATGATGAATCACAAAAGAAGAAACCATCACAAATCAGAGAATGTGAAACCATCACAAAAGATGGTTTGGTTTAGTTTATTTGATAACAACAAAGCACTAGAGGGCTATCTGCCTGAGAGGAGGGGTGTAATTAGGAGGACGTCTTAAGGTGCACTGGCTCATGTACACTTTACACATGGGGAAAACAGTGAAAACGTGCATGCAGCCAGTCCTTTTGCTGGGATTCGTTCCCGGATCGAACTACCAGTGTTAACGACTTTACCGCTCGGCCCTGGTGGGGCGAAGCAATGATATTATACTAACTAAAATAATCCTTCGAAAGAGCAATCCGGAAACGGATTGGTAATAGCAATATAAGGATTGGGGGATTTTCTCCAACACTGCACACTGCAGCAGCACCGACCGAAATTCTATTGACGAATTCTTCATCTGTTTTAAGAGAATTCTTATAGATGAGATTCTTAAGATATCCCTGATTCCTTACAATAAGAAACTGAGACATGGCTGGTAGGACGATCTTGGAGCACCTTAACGAATCCACCGACCAGAAAGGGGACAATGGGTAGTCCCTTACGTCTTATCGAAAATTGGCTGGTGCTACAGTGCACTAAAATATATATCCATCGCTAGTAAGGTAGAAATGGCATTAACACCTGGATTCCCGCTAGTAAGGTAGAAATGGCATTAACACCCGGGCTCGACGCCCTACCGAGAACTAGAGACATAAATCGAGCACTATAAAGGGCCGTTCCTACTGGGGCTTATCTTCCCAGTGGGAACGGCCCTTAAGACAATGAATAACCTATATAGTATGCAGGCAATGAATTTAGAATGTGAAGTTATGTCATACATGAATTTCATAACAATGTTTTCAATAGAAGCTGGTGGGGCTGGGGAGTAGTGAGTAGCAAATGGTGAAAAGCACGATTATAAAATGTTGCAGAGAATATCGGTACAGTGCAATCAAATGGTATCCGCAGATAATTTAAAATATATCAGATTGCAAACACAAAATAATAATAAAAATATAAAACATGAACAGGTGCGTTAAACATGTGTTGGGGATAAAAATTAGACAGACAGAAACCCCCGAATCTGTTGTTAAAATTGTAATTTATTTTAATTCTAGCGAAATAGTCTCTGACGAATTTTTATGCCTGTAATCCAAGTATTAATTGTTGTTAATAATAAACAACTAAATTGTTCAAGAAATTTAAAATTGTTTCATGTGACATTTCTAATGAAGAATTTATATATGTATTCATTTTGAGTTTTTATCATTTTAACTGACTTCAGTCTATGTTTCACTTGCTTGGTCAAGATCATGTGTGTGTATTTTAATTAAGTAAATGCTACTATTTATTTTATATATATATTTTTTTTCTAAGTTCTGTTATTTGTCTTAGACTGGAATGTTTCAGCATTATCGAATGGGGCAAAGTCTTCGGAAAAGATACAGCAACTTTCTGAGCTCACAATCGAAAGTATGTTAGAAACTGATTCGTTAAACCTTTCATTTGCAAGTAATGTTTTTATTGAAATTATGCAATTTAATCAAAATATGTTTTGCTATTTTGTTACAAATATCGGTATGCCTTATATAAGTAAAACGCATTTTTTTTTTCTAGCAGCATTAATTTGCAAACAGATTCATGCCGCTAGAAACAAAAATACGCTAAAGAAGATTTATTTCCACAATAACCCAAGCAGTTAAACAGCACAGTTTAAGCATATATTAGCATTTAACATAATTTATATCTCAAATAATACAGGTGGCGCATATTATCTCGACCTCATTATTATTAAATAATGAAGGGTCTATCTGGGCGGACCTTGTGGAAAAACGAAGGCACCTGGATTCAAGAAGTTTTGAAGATATAGTTCTTTACCCGAATATGTGCAACTCAAAGCCTTAATTTGGAATTTATTTTTTATTTATTTTATATTTTGTGATAACTTGATTTTGTTTAAGAAACTGCGATACAGGTAGAGGTGGGAAAGAAACCAAAACCCTGCCATCGCCGTTCAGATATAGTTCCGAGCAGTAACCATGCAGTTCCGTCCCAATTTTGAGGGAAAACATCTCGAGGGTCTCCCATCCCTCTTCCCCTGCCACAACCTCTCGAAAGAACATTCGACTCATTGTATATTTTGAGAGCCTCTTTGCCATACATACATTATACGTTTATAAAAATTCATGCCTTATCTGGGATTCGAAATTGGATCCATTGGAACGGTTTTGGTTTATATGATCACTTTATTTATTTCTCAAGGGATCGGTGCCTAATGGGAGGGATGCCTTTAATGGAGGACTTTCTAAGGGAAACTGGCTCATATATACGTTAACATTGGCAAAACCACGGAAACGCCCATGTAGCCAGCCCGTTCGCGGGATTCGAACCTCGGACCGAACTGTCAGTGTTCTGCTGGTGGTCCCCATTCCCATAGCAGTCCGCGTCTCTAACTTTTCTACAGGCTGGGCAGCTCTTTTATAATATAGCAGTTTCGCTGCTGAAGTATGTAAGTTTAATTCTTATGAAGGTTGCATTCTTCATTTGAGAGAGACTCTAAAGCAGCGGTTCTGAAACTTTTGACTAACGCATACTATCTAAACAAAAATCGAAAACCTTTAGTACCACCACTACAAAGTACTACTGCCACCACCACTCTTGAACAAAGCTCAGATCGCATACATTTACGAGTGTTAGAGAAAAAACTCAATCAGGATGTTGGGGTTTTAATTTTTGAATTGAATAGTTAAAAAAAATTGCTTCTTTGCGTACCACCTATTTTCTCTTGCGTACCACTGGTTGAGAACCCCTCCTCTAAAGATTTGCGGCAAATGAGAATCAAGAAATCATTGCGATAGGCCGAAAAATTCTGGAACAAAAACGATGACCGCAGATGCACAGTTAGTTAATAAAAGAGAAAGATTCCTTATTTTGTGATTTCAACTTTACCAAGAGCGTTTTCTGCTCGCTCTATCAAGGCATCCTCCTACACCTCTTAACAGGAGATTCCATAACCGGTAGTCGTATCCGCTACAGATCTAGAGTAACTTGCTGAGAACAACGAGCTGCGGGTCAGGAGAAGGGAAAAAAAAAAAAAAAAAAAGGATTGTTTGCCGTACTTCAAGATATTCACCCCGCATTAGAAAAATATCCTCGGAAAACATTAGCATTCAATTAACAGACAGGAACTTTTGCAAAGTCTGAATCTTTTATTTTTATCAGTGTGAACCAACAAACGCCTTTACCTTGCAGAATATTTGCATATACCCTAGGATTTCAAATAAATTAAATACTCTACGCCCTTTGTTTTTCGTCAGCTCGTTACAGGATCTATTAATTTGAAATAAAAGGAGAAATGGTGAGTTTTTGTATGTAGTTGTATAGTGCATAGTCACTGAATGCAGTCTGTAGATATAGACAAAACAAACATATTAGTGAACCTTGAGAAGAATGTTCTACTCGAATACATTGTTCGAAGCGATGTGGGTAATTGCACAAAGTGGGAAATCAAACTATTTGGCAATATCTATTAAAGAGCCATACTTTTGCTTGCCATCGAGCAGTCCTCTCGGATTGCAACTGCACACAATTCATTGTATCCCATTAGTGTCCGAAACAACCTGTTTGATTTGGATTTTGGAATTTATTAGATTATGGCAAAGCACACAGGAGCTATCTGCTTAAGGGGAGGGATGCTTTTGTGGAGGATTTCTTAAGGGAAACTGGCTCGTATCCATATTACACATGGTGAAACCCCGAATTGCAGCCAGCCCGTTCGCCGGGATTCGAAGGCGGGTCGAACTACTAGAGTTCAGCGACTTTATCACTTGGCCGCTGGTAGGTCGAGAACCTTTGAATGAAGGCTTGCGACTCGCAATCCACAACTGCTTTGCCCCAACGGTCCCATAATATACTAATTCCATATGTACGTTTGCTTAACATGCCCACGTGCATTCTAGCCAGTGCCGGCTTTACATATAAGCTATACAAGCTATAATTTAAGGCTCCCAACAAAACATTTTCTCAGAGCCTGTATAAAAAGAATTGTCCATATCCCTTACGAAGGTCACTATATTTCAAATGCTTGGGGCCTCATCAAGTTTAAATTTGGCCCTGATTCTAGTAGAGCTGGTAATTCGAATCAATAGATACAATATGCGCCACCTTGTAATACAACAGGCACCGCTTAATGTGGTCATGTTTGTCCAGGATTATTGTGATAACATTAAGCGATGAACAAAATAATCCTTCAACACAGCAATGCAATTTAACTAATTTGATATAAATACAAGAAGAAACATATAAATAGACACTTTCACAGCCTTTTAATTAGGAAGAGTTTGTTTGTGAACTGTTCAAAATGTCTTTTATGCAAAAGTTCATATATGAACTTCTCATAACTTTTCTGGAAATTATTTGGCCTTGTACCTTTAACCTTAAAACTCGAAGAACATCCGCTCATTGGGAGAGAACTTGTCATTATAAAATTTTAAATTAGGCTTTAGTTTTGCATAGGTATTTTCAGATAAATTTTTTCTCTCCTTCAAAATCGATAGATTTAGTAAAAAACTGCGTCAAACTAAGGATTTTTTCCCTCTAGTTTTAAATGCTTGACTAAAATTTAAACAAAGCTGTTTGGTGGTTTAATCTTTTACATTGGCTGCATTTCTCTATTACTTGGCTATTTTTATAAGCAATTTTAAGCTTATTTGGCGACTTTGCATCAGTTTAAATGATTCATTCTATAACCTTTTGATCATATTAACCGAATTGTTGATTCCAGTAAACGATGCATTTGCCATACTTCGTATACAAACGTGTTGGAGTTCGGCAATTCAACAACAGTATCCAAATGACAAGATTAACTGAGATCGCATTGTGGATGTGACGTCTATTGTAATCATATTCTGTTGGTATCGATATGTGATATATTTTATTTTTGTTTATAAATGCAGTAACCTTTTCGTCTTAAAGTGACTGAAATCTTTGTTTGTTTATTTATTTTCTAGAATGGATTACGGGAAGCCAAGGAATGCACATCATCTTCTGAATGCTTTCTTATAGGACTTAATGATTTACCGTTTTTTGATTATTCGTTCAGCTCAAATAGGCCATACGCTGACGATCAGGTTAGTTCATAAGAGTGAATAATTTATATAAATTCATTTTAATTACTTTTGCATTCAGGGAATTTATCTTTTTGTGCTAATACTTTCTCTTTAATTCTATAAACAGACATAATTTCTTGTTCAGTTCCACTGTTCAAGCCCTGTAATTTCTATGTCGAGAATGCCGACTAACTTGTCAATCGAAATTTTTTCGTTTTCAATAACCTCTCTGTCACTTTCTTCATTATCGGAAGCGGTACATCGAAACATGCTTTCGCTTTGTAGATTCTTTGGCAGCTCCAGAATCGGAAACTCTTTTTGACATAATCGAAAGTTCAAGCTTACTTTTTATAAAATTGCTCTAGCAGTCTGCAAAAAATAATAAGCCGGATCCAATTAGAAGATTAAGGAACAACGCAGTCTGCAACATTAACTGAAATAGATAATTATATAATTTTAGCTTTGCTTATACCGTCCGTTATACATTAAATATGCGCATTTCCGGATTATGGACCTCCGGATTAAAGACTTTGTACTGTACTACGTTTTGAAATTTTGTTTTTATTCTTTCTATTACTCATTACATTTACCAAACGCACTCAAACTCGTTTTTATGCAGGGGATAGGGGCTACATAAAAGGAAACGCTTAAAAATTATTTTGGAACTTCATAAGCAGCTGTAAAATGCATTCTTTGTAACACATTAAAAAAGTATGCTGTAAATAGAGATCGCATGAAAAAGTCCAATATAGTCGAACCTTACTGTGTAGCTGGAAATTGGTTTACCAAACAAAATAAAAATATTAATTCATACACAGGATGATTTTTAAATTGTTTCTATATTAAATATCATATATATGAAACTTCCAAGATGTACATAAGTGTTTTCAGACAAAGTATAAAATTTGAGAATTACTATACACTTTCCCTAGGCACTGAATATAATACCTGGACATCTGTATGCTATTTAGGCAGAGAATGAAAAAATGTCCCGATAAGTCACGCTATTGTTTAAAAGCTGTTATTTTGAAATGTTACTAATACAAATGTTATGTAAAGTAGAAATGCTATTTCGAAAAAATAATGAAAGAGGACCATTAAAAACTTTTATTCCAAATACTAAAAGAAAAATGAAGTTGTATAAAACAAAATTTATTTAATTTTGTATAAAACAAAATTATACCAAATTCGAGCTCTCTCATGATAAAAGCTTTGCAAAAGATCTTTATACATAATACAATGCGATCTCGATTATCCGGGCTTATGCCGGAGAAGCTGGTCACGGATAATTGAAAAACACGGATAATCAAAACAATCAAACAGAAAACAATGTATGAACATGCATGGAATTATGGAACTAATGTATTAAATGTATGGATTATGTATGAATGTATTAAATATATGGATATTTGAAACGAATCCGAGATGGATTTCATACATTACCGGTCTGTCATTTGGAATTCTATAGAATGCCTAGGAAACGTATGAAATATTAATCTTTAATACACTGCTGGCCAGTTTTTAGCATTCTATAAAATGCTTAATTATTCTACAGAATACTGGCTTTCATGCACTGCCGGTAACATATATAAATACAAAATAAATAAATAGCGCATAAAAGCAGCTTTGAGTGTAGAGTATATTTAAACTTTATTTAAATTCGCATTTGAATTTTCTAACCTTTTCCCCAGTTTGCGTTTCTGCCATCTATTCATTTGTTGCCTTAAATTCGAGGAAAATTTGAACATTTCAAGATAATTCATCCAAAACTGGAACTATTCAAACTAAACTCATTCAACTAGGATCGAATCCGCTACAACGAACTTGAATGGGCCGGAAATTTGGTTCGCTCTATTTCATTTTATAATAAAAACATGAAACATCTCACAAAATAGTATAAAAAGTGATTAATTAGCATTGCCATTTCTACCAAAAGAATTGAATAATAGGCCTAATTTAAAAATAAATACAATTAAGAAAAAGTTTTTTTTTAATTAAATAGGCTTTTTATTTAAAATGGATATGATATGAATGCACTGAAAGAAGAAGAAAGAAGAAAAATATTTATCGTATACTCGTATATTAGTGGGAATAGTAGATTCAACAATTCTATTGACAGAATTCATCTACAATTTTATATTTTGTTTACATCTACAATTTTATTTTTATTATTTATATTTGAATTTTCTAGTACTTGAATTGCATTGCCAAATGACCGACGCTTTTATCATTCGTGATATAAACTGTAATTGAATTCTGTAAATAGAATAATTTAAACTATATGATAAATTATTTCTCTCCTTTTGGTGCATTAATTATCATATTCATTTTAAATAAAACCTTATTTTTAAAAAAACGTTTCTTAATCGTATATTATTCCAGTTTTATTTTATAATATTTTTTGTAATATACTGTTAAAATTCATGCACATTAAAGAAGGTTATTTATAAATATTTACTCATGAAGAATACATCGAGTATATCCCAAATTCTGTTAAATGCTTCCATAAATAAGAACAAGTTACCTGATAAATTATTCTTTACTAGTAAGAAATAACGTCCATATACTATAATTCTAAGCGCATCAGTTCTTCATTCGAGTGGAAGACATTAAGAACTGCGTAAACTTCCGCTTTTCTTTGCAAGGAAGCACTGGTAAAAAAAAATATATATATATATAACAGCAACACATAGGTTGCTGATCAACAACTTTATCTGATCCCATCTCTCGTTTGTGTATACAAAATAACTGGCTAGACTACTGACCGATAAACGATAGAAGAGTCCTCAGAATATACCATATTTAAACTTTATTGCATGTTTTCTATATATCTCTACTAAAAATTAACTTTTAGTTAACTTCTGTGTTTTTGTTATATTTGTTATATGCTGATTTATATACTAATTTTATCATTCTTGATGAAGTATATGTTAAAAAAATAAAATTGTCTTTTCTTATTTAATTGAATTTCCAATTTTTGCGTATTTAGATGGATATTGTGTGCCCGCAGCTTCTGATGGAGACATCAAGAATGTACGATTCTGATGAAGGATATAAAATAATAAGTGAAAACAAGGTAAAAATTACATAGTATTGGATCAAAACTGCATCTCTTAGCAAATACAGCGGTAACAATACTAGTTATAACGCAAAAAAATGCTACAGCACTAACAGTACTCATTATAACGCAAAAGAATGTTATCTTCGTATAAATAATTACAATCTGTACCATGTTGCCCAATACTGTCGCCACGAGCGACATCTGGCGAATGGACATTTGAAATATGACTTGCACCAATAGCAATATTTTAGCTCTCAGATGACGGGGATTTATTTTCTTAACCAAAAAACAAAAGCCGTCATTTTGACGATATTTAATTAATATCAAGAATATAATATATTTAAATATTTTACTTAGGCCTTTTACATAGCCTTTTTGTCAAACCGGGACAGTAGTTAGGTACGCCGACTGCCGTACCAAAGGCCCGGCTTCGAATCCCGGAGAAGGCATGGATGTTTATAAATGTATAGTATCTGTGAGGCATGGGGGCACTCTAAATATACGGCTGGAGTGCTCTCCATCAGAATTAGGGACGGAACTGAGCGAAGTCGTACTGTCACTTGGTATGGTGCTCAAGCCATCGCCAACAACAAGCGCAATCTTGTACGATGAATTTCGTGGCCTTGTTCTAATGTTACTGTGAGACAGGTGAGTTAAGTAACAACAACAACACATAGCCTTTTTATTTCGGGCTCTTGTGAGCTCCGGGTAGAATTAATTTAAGTTTCACATTCATGTTATGATAATGCAGACAGATGTAGTGCAGTGAAGCAAATGGATCATATATTGTTTGACATCTCCGAAAGCCCAAAGGACTTGCATCTACAACATTTCAGTTCTTTAGTGTTTACCATAACCGAGCTTCAGTAGATTTCGCGGCACTTTTTGGGCGACCTTTGTGCATTATGTAACGTACGAAAAATCACAGAACTTCATCAGCTTGAGAATACAAATAAAGACTTAGTAGTCAAAAGTAATTATGAAAACCGTCAAAATAGCAATAAACGTCTTTTTAATGTCAAGTATTTTGTGGATAGAACCACAGACAGCATTTTAAATTCGAATTTAAATTAGTTAAAAAATGTAAATGTTATGACTTCTGTGGTGGTCTTGGTGATAGAAAACGGTGCTAGTGCAATCTGAGCTTCAGAAAGTGCTACAATCGGGAAAACGTAACTGACTACGGAAACCTTAAATCGGCAATTCATTCATCATCTATCCGACACTAGGTTATTTGATACACATATAGAGAGAAAGTGAGAGAAGGAATTTAATATAACTTAATTTATTAAATTCCTTCTCTCGCTTTCTCTCTAATTTAGTATTTAATATAATTTTTTCTGTAATTTATTTAAAAACATAATTTTGCAGAACTTCTTTAATATATATATTAATTATTGTATTTATATTACAATTATGTAAGCAATCTATTTAAAATAACAACGTACATAAACATGCCGGAAAATTCTGCTTATTATTCAAAATACCAGAAAATTCTATTTATTATTTAATTTGGTTAGCAATTAATATTAAAATACCAGAAAATACATTTCTGATAGACTGTTTCTGGTAGCAACAGCTCAATTGTTGCTAATAATGCCTCAAACATAAACTCTAGCTTGTATATCCATTGATACAAGATTGAAAATAGTATTTAATAATAGTAAGTATTTTGTAATGAAAAACCACTGTATTGCTAGAAAGAGCCTATTAGCTTATTAACCGTTTGTTTCTCGCACATGTGCAGATCGGTAACTGTTTGTTTCTCGCACACGCGCAGATCGGCAGCCGTTTGTATCTCACCAGTGCAGAAACTCGCCAATTAAACTTATACGCCAAGGTCGCTACAAAAGACAAGTACCTGGTTTTCTTTATGTATTTTGAATTTTTTTTTTTTTTTTTTTTTCAAATTATGGCTGTTTTTCACAGAATTCTTTGCCCTCGGTTCTGAGATCTTTAAGATGTTTGGGGTTTCTCTTGTTTTCTGCTGTTCATCTTTCGAAGGATCACGTTCTATTTGCAACAAAATGACTTATTTGCATGTGGAATTGTTTCTAAAGCGATGTATTTGACAATCAATTTTAAATTTGGAGGCAAAAATAGGAAGAACCAACTAAAATTGAATTGTTTGAATTGCATAAGAGATTCATTCTCCAGAAACTTGAAAACTGACAGTTCACGTTGATATACGAAAACATGAAAAATAGGTCGCTTATTGGATCAACAAGTCGGCTAGTGTTATCAAAATATTATAGCGTAAATATTTTAATCTGAAGTAAAGTAGCCAAATAAGGAATAAAAGATGAGGTCACCAGATGAGGTCGAAACAGAGCACAGAAATTACGAAATGACAGAGACATATCTCCAAACAAGGGATGAAGTTGCTAAGCAGCTTGATTTTGATTTAAGGCCACCATGTACTAAACAGCCAAGACCAAATGGACTGAAATGTTTAAGGAAATGGAATTCTCGATGGCCTCGCTTTTTAGCGCCAAAAAATTTCTTGGCTTTTTAGATTGGTTCACTTTCACGAATATATTGTTCTCATTATTTTATTCTATTTAGTGATTTTTGTTATAGAATGTACCAAAAGGCGTAGTGATCCAAGAGAAAAGTCGACTTTTTAACTGTTATGACCAACCCTTTTACAGATACCCAACTATTAAGGACTTTTTTTCCCCATTTAAAAATGTTCTGAAAGTACGTTTCTATTATATTTATATTAGTTAAATCCATTGATGCTGATAATTAAATTCCAATGCATACTGATATTTTGAAGGATAATTTATTTCCATTACTAAATGTTATCATCTGGTTAATGTTACCATAATAGTCATGGACAAAGTGATCACATTACGAGGTGCTTATTGTAATAAAAATATCACGTTTATTTTTTCCTCCCCCCCCAAACGTTTAATTCTAATTGCTGTGGATTTTAAGATAACTGTGCTTTGATTATAAAAATAGCTTGTTTACAGCTGAAATTCATCATAATCTTATAATCGCTATTATATTTACAAAATATTAACATATTGAATTGTTCTTCGGTTACTGAATTTTGCTTGCCTATAAATTTTGTGGTTCTCTTTCCCTATTTTTCATGATAATGTCTCAACTTAGATATTTATAAAAATTTAGTTTTTATGTTAAGTTTTATATCTTATTTAATTACAAAATGCAAAACAGAAAATAAGATGAATTCTATTAATTAAAAAAATCACGATCAGAACCTTACTGTTTTTAAAAAAAACCTGTTAATTTAATTTGTAAATATCAGAAGGCAATAAAGTGAATATTTGTATAAGAATTCATTATTCTTTTCAGAGAATGTACGAATACTGGTCTGATAACTCCGGAATGAAAATCAGGAATCCCGCGGATGCAATAGCTCTTTTCCAAAGTCTCAGTTTACAAGTGAGTAGACCTCTTTTGTGCTCGAGTTTTATGGCGAAAATTTGACAAATAGCTGTGCTTTAAATCAGTAGTCTCCAAAGTGGGTATTCTTACTCTAGAGGGTACACAAACTACGCTAGGGGTTACTCTAAAAAAGTAGTAAAGTGTTCTCTGTAACATTATATAGTTTTCGTTATTTGTTTAGTTTAAATTACAGTAAATTATTTAATGATTAATTAAAAGTGCAAGAATTATTTGAAACAAGTATCAATCAGAAAATGTTATATTTAACTGCAAATATAATTGAATTACAAACTGTAGCCAGCAAAAACATCCTACAAGTAAGAAACTTTAGATTTTAGATATAAAATAAATGAATTTAATTACTTAATTTTGCTATTATTATTATTGTTTATGGAAGTTTTGGTATATATTGAGTAAGAGAAATTTTAAATTATTTTGAATATTATTTATTTTGTTAATATAACTTTTCGTTTTTTTTTTAAAAAAAAAAAAAAAAAAAAAAAAAAAAAAAAATTCTGGCTCGTCAATGAGTCCGCATGCAATATGAGTGTGAGACCTAACCACCGAGACCATTTTTCTTCAGATAATATGTTCGGGAACCAATTTTTTCGTGATCTTAAGATATTTTTATTTATTTAAGAAAATTTGCTTACTGTAAATATCGTAGTTATTTACATCATCTATACTACTCAATCACTTCTTTAAATAACTATGCTTATGGCTGGAATAATTGGGATTTACCTTTTATCATTATTCACTTTTCTCTTAAACTGCCAGTCAGCGATCTGAAAATTGTTGGCAAATGTAGTCTGTTCTCCCCTTGCAACAATACCGTATTTCTTCGCGTAATTTTGCCTTTCCTCAACTCGTTCAGAGACCGAGCTTCCCTAAATTTTAAAATTAATTTGTTCACATAATGATTAATTTCGTCTTACTGACAAACGCAAACGCTCGCAATCTACATAAGAAGGTCATGCCGAACCTTTTCCTCCTGACTATTGAGCTTTGGTCCGGGGTTCGAATTCCTGCGAATAGGCTAGCTGCATGGCGTTTTTGCGTTTTTCCTCATGTGCATCGTGTGTATGATCCAGTTCCCCTTAGAAAGTCCTTCACGAAGGCATCTTTCCTCTTAGGCAGATAGCCCTTGAGCGCTTTGCTACAATTAAATAAACCAAACCAACAAACTATTGAACTTTATGCCAGCCTAATATAAGAACCGACCCGTCACAGCGAAGCAAATACGAAGTGACATTCACCTTTTCTAATTATTCATGGATAATTTGAGGCATATGGAGTAGTAGAGACAACATTAAAAACGAGTGAGATTCATTTTATAGCAAAATATAAATGAAGATTGATCAGATGTTGTACAAAGTCAATATCACTATGTATTGTTATTGGAATGTAAATTAACCAAACATTTAATCGTTTAATTAATCATTATGTTACTGTAACCGAGTTCTTCGGAAATTTTATTATTCGCAACAATTTTCTATTTTCGGACGGTAAAATTAGTAAAGAAAAAAAAAAAAAAAAAAAAAAAAAATCTGAAATGTTTCAGATTTTAAATTACGTCCAAAGGGGCGTTTTTTAACATTTTGTGTGTTACCTTTCTTTATTAAATATCATATTCCTCGCACTTAAACCATAAGATCCAGTGCAACAGCAATATCGCAAAATAGTTTTAAAACGAGCATATCTTTAGAATTTCCGATACAGAGACTCACGCGCTGGAGATAAAAATGTTTTTTCTGCACAACGTTGCCATTGCTCGCTTTGAAATCCTTGAGTTTGTTAATCAAAAATTCGTCAAAGTTTTAAAAAATAGGAAATCGATCATAAAACAAATTTCAAATTTCAAATTTGGTCTTCCACATGCTCATATTCGTTGGAGGATTACGTTATTCAAAATTCGATGACTCTATGTACCGTTGTTTTATCACAATACGAGAAATATACATACATTTATGCAGATTTTTCATTATTTAATTTCTTCAAATATAATGCAGGACTCTAACATTTTGTGGCAACAGTTTGAAAAGTGAACCGACATTTATGAGTCCGACGCAAAATGCCAAAACGAAACTAATAGTCCTTCGGGATTCAAATCCCTTTGGACTAATAAAGAGGAATATAAGCGAGGAAAAATGGTAAGAGTAAATTAAGACATTTTTTATTATTAGTATTCGCGAGCCCCCCCCCTTTTTTTTTAGTCCAAAGTGGCTTTGTCCCTGAAGGACTATTGTTTTCGTTTTGCGATTTTGCGTCGGACTCATAAACGTCGGTTCACTTTTCAAACTGTTGCCACAAAATGTTAGAGTCCTGCATTATATTTGAAGAAATTAAATAATGAAAAATCTGCATAAATGATTGTCTATTTCTCGCATTGTGATAAAACTATGGTACATAGAGCCATCGAATTTTGAATGACGAAATCCCACTGCGAGTATGGGCATCTGAAATCCCAAATTTGGAATTTGTTTTATTATAGATTTTATATTTTGTAAAACTTTAACGAATTTTTGATTTACAAACTCAATGCTTTAAAAGCGAGAAATGGCAACGTTATATAGAAAAAAAAAAAATACTTTTATCTCCAGCTCGCGAGACTGTGTATATCGGAAATTCTAAAGATATGCTTAATTTAACATTATTTTGCGATATTGCTCTTGAACTGAATTTTATGGTTTAAGTGCAAAGAACATGATATTTAATAAATAAAGGTAACACTCAAAACGTTAAAAAAATGCCCCTTTGGACGTAATTTAAAATCTGAAACATTTCAGATTTTTTATTTTATTTATTTATTTATTTTTTTTTTTTCTCTCGCAAACTGAATGTACGTTTTTCCTTCCAAAGAAAAGTTTAAATCTGTCCACTCCTACTTGGGCGACTAGTTCTTGGGATGATTTAAAGAAGCAGGCAGACATTCATTTCTACTGGATATCGAAACAGAAATCCATGCAGAGGCTAACAGCTGGTAAGTACCAAATTTTATAACAATAAGCATTGGGTCAGATCTCTTTCTTTAAAGTTTATACTAAGAAAAATGTTATTATTTGTCTTCTATTTTTGATGAATTTATTACTTGGAAGGGAAAAAAAGGATTAATATTTGATCTAAATGAATTTCATCCTAAAGTTACATTCGGAAACATCTATGATTCGAAAATATCTAATCCCGTTATCGTACAAATGTATTTAGGCAACAAGCCATTTTGTCTTCTTTTTCCCCTTTTTGAAATAAGCCTCCCTCTTTATTCTCCCATTTGAAGAGTGAACTCATCCTTTACTGGAATGTTAAAGAGATCGTACAAAGCAAGTGCTTCACGAACGCGTCCAGAACGTTTAGATGCTTCTTCTATATGTGTGGTTCAATCTTAGTTACATGAGGGCCAATCAAACTTTGGTGTAGAAAGGTGAGGGCCAGAGACATTAAAGAAAGAAAGCGAATTACATATAATCACCATTTTAACATATCATTTTATTTTACAGTCGATAAATCAATGTAATGTTTGCCACCACTTTTCGGATACAAGTTATCAATGTCCACTAACTTCAGTAAGATAACGTCTCAGGCTTGATTCCAGTGAAGAACTTTCAATGCGATTTCTCGTTTTCGATTTAATTTTTTTGACAGCAGAAAAAACCCTTTAAGACACATATGTGCTGCCAAAACAGCGACAATATTTGAAAAGAAAAAATTAAGCAGTTTGGGGAAACGTTACTTAGAAAAAAGCTTTCAGAAACTTTTAGAACACCACACTTTTTAGTAACGGCGAAGGGAGTCAAAATCCTGGAACTCTTTCTTGATATCAGTTATTATTTATATGAAATATACTAAAATTTATGCCATTTTATTTCTCTTTTTTTCAACTGCTCACAAGATGGAAATTGTGCTGTATAATTTGTCTTCAGCACGATTTGCATTACATAAAGCTTTTTGCGGAAGCCCAGAATATGTCGATAAAGCTGGGAGATATTTTGTTTTCTGACTTCAAGCATTTAGATGGGATGTTAAATCTGTCAGGAAAGCAAGATTATTTAAAAACTGGGCTTTCTTCCAGTTTTTTAGTCCAAAGGGGCTTTGTCCCTGAAGAACTATTATTTTCGTTTTGCGATTTTGCGTCGGAACCCTATAAATGGCGTATATTTTTTCAAATCGTTGCCACCAAATACTATCGCCCTGTATTATATTTGAAGAAATTAAATAATGAAGAATCTGCATAAATGTATGTATGTTTCTCGCATTGTGATGAAACAACGGTACCTAGAGCCATCCAATTTTGAATGCCGTAATCCTACTGCGAATATAGCCATCTGAAAGCCCAAATTTGAAATTTCGAATTTGTTTTATTATTGATTTCATATTTTGTAAAACTTTAACGAATTTTTTATTAACAAACTCAAGGATTTCAAAGCGAGCTATTGTAACGTTATACAGAAAAAACATTTTTATCTCCAGCGTGCGAGACTGTGCATCGGAAATTCTAAAGATATGCTCATCTTAAAATTATTTTGCGACATTGCTGTTATGAACTGAATTGAACTGAATTTTATGGTTTAAGGCAAAGAACATGATATTTATTAAATAAAGGTAACACAAAAAACGTTATAAAAACGCCGCTTTGGACGTTAATTTAAAATTTGAAACCTTTCAGTTTTTATTTTATTTTATTTACTTAATTAATTTTTTAATGCAGATGTCCAAAGTTTTGCTTTTAAAAAAGCACGAACTTTATTCCTAAATTAAAAAAATATATATATGTTGCAGTCAATTTAGCACTTATCCATCCAGTGCATTTCACAGTAAAATGAAATGTCACCATAATCCACTTACACATTGTCCAGGAATGCAATAAATACTCTGCGTCTCTGGCTTTGTAGCCTGCATATATTAAATTAACAGAATTTACAATAGTTTTCATTGTCCCACTGAGCCTTCTAATTTTTATACAGAGAGCCTCCTGATGGATAATGCAGTGGAAAAATAAACAATGTATGCCATTTTCTTTACATAGTCCTACTAACCCAGTGTTTAATGGTTTCATCCCATTTACCAGTGTTTAATGGTTTCATCCTCATTATTATTTGTTGGCTAAAGTAAATCAAACTAAAAAAATCTCAACGTTGAGTTCCAAAAACAGATTGTTGTTAACTGGAAAAAAAAAAAAAAAAAAAATTGTTCAACTATCACTCAAAAATTAGAAGACTGATTCCCAAACAACAGTACAGGTGACAAAATCCTTTAAAAACAATTTAACCTGAAATAAAAATAGCACATTCATAGAATAAATGAATTCAATTAAACAGCATGGAACTGAAATACTGTTTCTTCAAAACACAACATATTAAGAAAGCATTTATGTCTTCATATAGGACGAATAAAACTAACACATTAACAGAATAAATTAAACTTACCTGTAATAAAACTAACACATTCATGGAATAAATGAATTCAAATGAACAGCATGGAATAGAAATATTTATTCGACGCATACTATTTAAAAAAGGCATTTATGTCTCATATAGAAAGAATTATAGGAGGGCATACTAGGAAGATTTATTTTAATCCCTAAAACTTGTTTAATAATACTATGATAAACATTATGGATGTCGGAATCTCGGGAAATCAAAAAGTTGCCAAAGTAGCGATAACAAAACAAATCTGGCATTTGTTGCATTAAAATTATTCTTTATTATTAAATATAGCAATATTCTCCGCTACTAAAGAACAAGAGATTTAATTATAAATAAAACGTTAAGCAAAAAATATGGGCTGAAATGAAAACTTAAAATTAGAAAATATAGCCTGAAAAACTGCGAAACTCCGTAGAGAAACATTATACCGGAAGCGGAATTCACAGTTCCGATTGAAAGATTGTTTGTTATTATTTACGTCGAAAACCACTGCTTTAGCACCATCTGTTGCAATGCCAGAGCATTTGCCAAAACCTCCATATTTAGAAATGACATTATCCAATGCGTTGAATATGTCAGTACTTGTATAGTTGATTTCTAATGATTTTAATTCCAACAGTTCTTTATAAATTTAGAATTCTTAGTCTATGTTTCTGACAAAGGTAAGGAGTTGGCTCATGTCAGCTATATTTGTGCTCTCATCTGGAGCTAGACAGTGAAATTCGCATTTTTCCAAAATGTCCTTGAGGTTACCTGAAACTTCATTAATTCATATTATTACTCATTTCATTATGTTATTATCCATTTCATTATGTTATTATCCATTTCATTAATTCAACTTATTTTCAACTTATTTTCTTCAACTTATTATTATTTACTTATTATTATTTACTTATTTCTTCAACTTATTTTCTGATGGGACAAGGACACAGTTTCAAAATTTTTAGGCATCTTATTATCTCCAAATGAAGATGCCACTTTTACAGCACATATTTTTAATGAGCTCATCATCCCTAAAAGTCATTTTACTTTTAGCTAGCTTTAGAGCTTAAACTGCGCCAGTACATCTTAGTTTTGGGGACAAATCCTAATTCTCGTCAGAGAGCACAGGAGCTCTAAATAAGAAAGCTATTATGGCTTCATTTATGTAGCTGAACAACAATTTCTTTTATGTAACTGAACAACAATTTCGCTAGAAATTTGATCTCTAAAATTTTATTTTTTGCAACAAAATTATGTTACAAAACGCTTATTAAATTTTAATTCATCTCTTTACATTTTATTTAATTTTAATTATTTAATTACTTTAATTATTTAACTATTTTAATAATAATAATTAATTATTAATGATCGACAAATATTAATTAAATAATAATAATTAATTAATTAGGCAATAATTAACTATTTAATCTTTAAATTATTAATTATTTTAAAAGTCATTTTATTTATTTATTCCCTTTTGTTCCTCTTTGCTGACGGTCTTCCATAGGGCTCCAGCACTTCTAATTTTAGAAATTAAGCCCTGGCTAGACATACCTCATGCCTTCAAACCAGCAGTGCCTGATGGTTGCTGAAATATATTCTTCTGCATAGCTAGTTTCAGCTTCAAACCACTAAGCACACAATTCCTGGCACTTCCCTAGTATTGGTCGAGTTGTGATTTATGTAAGCTGGTACAATGTCTTTTCACATTATACTTTGTCAAAACACTTAAGAACAGATAACACAGTACGTTTGTTCATTATCTTAAACAAAAAAGTAACTTTCCTGCAGGCTGCAGCCTTGGATTCAAACTGTCGTTTCTCATTTTCAGCAGGATTTTAGGTGCTATTAATTGAAAGTGAAAATCAAAGCTTGTACTCCAAGGATTATAACGATCGGAGAACGAAGCTTATTATTAAAGTGGCCGTTGTAAGAAAAATGAAAATTGTAAAGTGCTGCCGTCTCTGGGAATGAAAGAAACTGCCATCTGATGGGCAGCGTTTTCCGCTAAATCTGCTTTTTTTGTATGCTCTGCATTTTAGCGGGAAGAACATAATGATTAATATTGGTCACTCTGTCCTGAATTGCTGTTGCCAACATTGCTGATGGCATTTTCTTCAATTTTACTGAGCACCGCCAGCTAGTTCGCATCCTTTCGTAACGACTGTTTTACGTTTGTTTTGCACAAATACGATTTTGTTTGTTTATTGTTATTTAAAGCAGTAAGAAGAGTGTACAGTTTTTTCCAAATGCTTAATAAATATTTTTTATCCATAAAGAAAAGCAAGTGCCAACAAAAATGAATAAGAGGGCCGAATGCACCCTACGGGCCACCGACTGGACCACAAGGGTCTATATCACAGATTCCCAACCATAGTCTGACACCATTTAAAAAAAGTTATATAATAAAATTTTAATAATAAACGAAAATGAAATACGGAAAAAAGGAAATATTACAAAAATTAACATTTGCGTAAATCTTTCCAAAAAAAATTCATGACATTTTTGTTTCTTTTTACGGATATGAGTTTTTCAAATCGTGGCACTTCGTTACTATTAGCAGTTTGCATTTCTGCTTGTGCATCCAAGAGATTTCTGAATTTAGTTTTGATTTATAAAATGGCACTAAATCCTTTGATTTATAAAAGGGCACATGAGTCTGTCGCCGCTAATGGGATGAACGCAGTTAGTGGCTTTCACATTCCTGTTTCGTTCACATAGGGATAACGGAAATGAGATGCTTATCTCTTTAACGAAGAATTCTTCCTTATTAATGTCACTGTGGTCATAATTTTATTTGATACTTGCAATTTGCATTTAAAAATTGGACCGAATAAAGAAGGTATGGGTGTGCTGTTAAAATCTTGCGGCGATTTCTTTGAATAATTTAGAAACGAGTAAAAACTATTCTTTTACTCTCGGATTAATACAGAATCTCATTATTCTTTATGTACCTCGATGATCCACATGACTAACTGCTATAGCATAGTGTTTCAGGCGAAAAACGTCGCCCCTAAAAATATGCCGCTCGGGGCGGACCGCCCCCTCTGACTACGCCACCGAAGTTTTAGCTTATTAAAAAAGTCTATGCTTTCGCATTCCGATTAACGAAGAGTTTTAGAACAAGTAATTAAATTAACAAAAAAAAAATAATTTTAGTTAGCTTAGAAAGAATAAGAAGCGATAAGGATAACTGGAATGGGAGTAAATCGGATTTCTGCTGTTTTTGATTACGTACGCATAGTAAAAGTACGCATTGTTGGTTTATAAAGTTATTGCGATATCGATCTCAAAAATTCTTGTGCTGATGACGTTTGTTGAAATTTGTATACGATCCCCTAAATCATCTCATATTTCTCTTATCGCCTAGGGCGCAGACTTTCGTTACGGTCCACACCCTTTTGGAGCAAACGGGTCTGACGTGATCTATTTTAGAACTCACTTAAGCACTCCATGAGTGTGGCCGTGATCGTATAGTGGTTAGTACATTGCGTTGTGGCCGCAATAACCCAGGTTCGAATCCTGGTCACGGCAGTTTTTTTACATTTCCCAATCTGCTATTCAAAAATTACATTTAATACACCAAAGTATTTCTGAAGGCTGACTAAATCATTTACCATTTTTCACTATTTTTTGGCGCAAATTTAAGTATTTCAAAAGAGTTATTACTGTATCATGAGGATTTGCCATTAAAATAATACTTAATAATATAGGTGCTGCGTACAAAAATTATTTACTCTATTTTAAAAATCACCAATGTATTTTTAAATATAACTTTTTAACGAATTTCCACACGCATATTTTTCTAATGGAGTAAAAGGTTAAAATTTTATGAGTACAGAAGAATAAGATTTGAAAAACTTATAGAATTAAAGCCTAAAAAAATTAAAAGGCGTTTGTTGTGTAGTTTTTTCAATGAGTAACATCCTTACTATGTGCTTTTTATTTTAAATGCGATGTTGTTGTTTACTTTTTATTATTTTTTCAAAATTCGATTTACATTTTTTAAGGGACGACGCATTTTAGATTACCAGGATTTTTACATCTAAACGAATGACGCAATTTTCATTCGAATTTATTCAGTCTTTCCCTTTTTTTATATATATATTTAAAAATAAACTTCAATTTATTTATTTATTTATTTATTTGTGTTTTCTTCTAGAAATAGTGATTAGAATTAAAGTTTCAGTATGTAAAACTAATTTGCAAAACGGCATGCAAGGCATCAAAAGTGTGGTGTTTTAAGGTATTCAATTTAAACGATTTATTTGACATCAGTATTAATTTAAGCCTTAAAAGAAATGGCAGCAGATTTAAATGATTATATTTTTTTTAATTGTTTAAATGTTACACTGACACTTTTCATGGTGTTTAAAGTTTAAGGAAAAAGTATTTAACAGTATGAGTTTAAAATTATTTCTTTCTAAATAAAGCAATTTTATTAGCAATTATAAGCTTTTTTTCTAAGTAAAGTAAAATTCCAAATAATCGGACTAACTGGGGCAAAGCTGATGTGGGTTTTATTGGATTGTTTTTCTTTCTGGGGAACAAGAATGTATTTAATGTAATGACAGTTAAGGATTTTTTTCTTGTTTATCAGTTTAGTTTTTTAAAATCAAGTATTACTTACATCAACATGTAATATTTCCTTTCTGTTTCAAAATAATGAAGAGAATTTTTTTAGACACATTTCTTTTAGGCAATTTTTATTGCAAGAACAAAAATAATTCATCTTCAAAAATATTGACAATATCTATTGCCTCTAATCGAATTAAATTAAAAAAGAAAAACTATGCAATGACAGAAATAATTCATCTGCAAAAATATTGACAATATCTATTGCCTCTAATCAAAATAAATTAAAAAAGAAAAACTATGCGATGGCAAAAATAATTCATCTGCAAAAGTATTGATGATATCTATTGCCTCTAATTTGATTATAAATTAAAAAACAAAACAATAAATAATTTTCCCTAAACATTTTCTTACCTACGAATACTGACAAATTTTTTTATTGTTACAAAATAATTCATCTGCAAAAATATTGACAATATATATTACCTCTAATTTCATTAAACTGGAATAAAATTTTTTTTCACAAAACATTTTTTACTTACGAATACTGACAAATATTTTTATTGCAGACAAAAATAATTCATCTGCAAATATTGACAATATTGTCTAATTTGAAATATTTCCTTCCTAGGTCCTCTTCTCGGGCTGATGATCAAAAGAATGCAAGATCGCATTAACGGAGATAGTAGGAAAGTTTACGTATATTCAGGGGTAAGAACTGTAAAAATGCAATTATTATCTGTTTAATTGTAAGTTTTATTTTCAGTATTTATGTACAGTAGGCACTTTTAATATTGTTAATAGTGCCTACTGTACTATAACGTTTGTCCACGGCTATTTTGATAACATAAAACGAATGAGAAAAGATATCCTTCAAAACAGCAATGGAATTTAACTGATTTAATATACATAGATCCCGCAAGAAACATATAAATACACACTTTCACACAATTTGAATTCGTCCTTGCATTATACTTGCCGATAGTTAAATTTCCCTGATGAAGTCCGAGCCGACTTCGCTATAAATTACTCTGTGTAGCTTTTAGCTATTAGTATTTAAAGTTAGCTTTACATTTGAATGTCTACTTTCAGTGCTCGGCATAAATGATGGCGGATTTGTAAGCACCAGGTGTGCCTCCTGTTTATCTATTTTAATTTACGATAAAGGGTCCTTTACACCTTGATTACAGTTTACAGTAGTGAAAGGCTCCAAATGTTACACCTTTCTGGAAATTATTTGACCGATGCTATACCCCTCACCTTCATACTCGGAGAGCATCTTTCATTCACTGGAAGAGAACAGAAAAATGTTTAATTTAAAATTAGGCAAAAAAGCAACCTTAACTTTGGATAGTTTCTTTTTTTTTCCCTCCTGAAGAAAAAGGACCTGCTTCTAATCATGCTCAAAATTCGATGGAGTCATTCAAAATCGAAACCGAACTAACGTTGCTCTTTTGCCTAGTTTTAAATAGTTAACTGAAATTGAAAATAAGCTGTTTGGCAACATAATCTCTTACTTGAAGATATTTTTCTGACGCTTAGAAATTTTTATAATTTATTTTGAGCTTATTTGGCGACTTTATTTCAGGAAGATTTCTTTCCATAATATTTGATAATATTAACTGAATTGTTGATCAGAATAAGCGATCTATTTTCGCGTTTTCGTATACCAACGAGCGGGACTTCGACAGTTTGATAACAGTATCAGAACAATAAGATGGCTCTTCAGATTCTTTTACACTCTGCGGTCTATTAAAGTCCTTATCCGGCCTCTATTATTTTCGAGACCCTGGTCGTAGACATATACTTCCAAGTACAAAAATGTTTTAAGTGACGCATATTTATCTTTTGACATTTTTAAATTCAAAGGAATGAGTTTTAGGAAAATTAAAAACTCTAACTTTTTATACGTTCCTTCGATCCCTGCGTTTATATTTAGGAAACTTCTGCATTCCTTAAATAAAAAACAAAAATTTTGATTTTCAACTGACATAAACTTACCGACATACTTGATTTCAAAATTTGTAATTTTTGTTGTTATATTCAATTTTCATTTGAGGTGTCGGTTAATAAGTAAATCAGAATAATTAAAAAATAATTAAAAAGCAAAAAATTACGTTTCTTTTGTAAAAAAAATATTACATTAATTTATTCAATACTTAAAGGAGAGTGGTATCTTCCTTCGTTAAAAGGTACTACCATTGCTCGGATTTTAAGGAGAATGTGAAAGATTTCCAGTTAAAGACGGCAATATCTTTCTTCACTGAAAGAGTTAACTTAAAAAGGTAGTGGTATAAGGTATTTCTTCCACCTTCTTAGCGTGCCTTCATGGTGCGGTGGTCTGGACGCTGTGGTGTGCGTGCCTTTGTGGTGTGGCACGTATTCCAGAGGTCCGTGGTTCGATTCCCGGCGAAGGCGTTGCTCATTTTTCATCTCTATTGTTCCAAAAACAACTTAATGCCTCAACAGTGGCGCCCGAACTAAAAGGGGGATTATGATTCTCCACACACAGGATTTGACGATTGGATCCCCTAATCCCCAGTCGCCCTTTAAAAGGGGGAATATATAAGGTACTTCTCCCGCTTCTTAGCATGCCTTCGTGGTGTAGTGCTCAGCATGCTCGACGCGTATTCGATTCCCGGCGAAGGCATTGCTCATTTTCCATCACTCCTGCTTTAAAAATAACCTAATGACTCTACAGTGGTACCTTACTTTGCTGCAAAATTTCTACTTAAGAAATAGCGGTACCTTTCTTTAGCAAAAGACTTCTACTTTAAAGATACCTTTGTTTGCTAAAAGATTTCTGCTTGAAAGAAAGCAGTATCTCTTTTCGCTGAAAGATTTCTACTTAGACGAAAGTGATACCTTTCTTTGTTTGAAAATGGCTTTTTCATTACCTTCAGTGTTACAGAAAGTAAGAACCCGCTGCAGAACAACGCAGTCAATCCATATATTGAAAAGTTAGAAGTACTAATGACCTGGTATTTGCAGGGACTAATGACCTGGTAATGAATTATTAATGACCTGGTATTTGCAGCACAGCAGCATATAAAAATTTCTACTTGTGGTGTTTGTTAATCGCGCACTGTATGAACTCGATTCTCATAGCAAGCATATTTAAATTTCGCTACTTTCTATTCCAGGCACCTTTGTGTAAATCCAGAACTGCTTTGATTACATCTTTGCTAAATCATCTACAAATAACGAATTTTAGAAGTAATTCTGATTCTATATGGTCTAGATGTCATAAACATTAAATTTAAGTAAATGTATATCACCTGGGGTAGCTTCCAGTTAACTCTGCAATGTCCATTACCATAAAATGAAAGTATTAATTTTGTTCTGAACTATGAATTATTAAAGCCAGAATAGCTAACCATCAAATACAAAGACAACACAATTAACACTTTAAGTTTATTCTACCACACCACTTTTGAGTGCTTAAATAGATGAATTTTCTAGCCTACCTGGACCTGGTTTCTACGCAACACTTCCGTTCATAAGGATTATAAAGTCAACAATTTAAATTAAAATTATCCAGAGACTACAAGATTACTTAGACCACAGCAGAATTTCGAACACACACACACTTTTTAGTTTATGAGCTTTTAGTTTGTGAATATAAAAAATTACTTTTTTTCAAATTTTGGTATTGATCAACATTTTCTATACTTTTTCTTGTTTAATTTATAAAACACTATAAAAAATAATTTAAATTTGAAAAAGATGTATTTGCATTTTTCGAATGTTGGAAAAGAGAATTATCGTCTAGCAATGGGAAAAGGGGTGCATGGGACAAAAAAAGTTGAGAATCACTGTTCTAAAGTAGAAGAAAAAGATAAGTTCCACGCTTCGTAATAAACTTTCTTGCCACTCAAAATCTACATAAATTCTGGAACAAGCGAAACTCATGACGAAAAGAGGCCGAAAAGAAAGAAATAAGTTAAATAACATTTCATTAGTAAAATTTAAACATAAATGTCCCAAATGAATTTATTTCATGCGAAATTACTAAAGTGAAAAACTGCAAGTCTTAATTTCTGTTTTGTTTCTAATGTCAAATGAAAAATAACCTTTAACTGAGGTGTAATTAGTTAATTGATATCTGATTACAGTAGACAACGCTTAATGTAATCGTGGTCAATAGTATCATTTGGGTATTGTTATAGATTTCTCGAAGTCTCTATTTTTCGTATACGAAAAAATGGAAAATACATTGCTTGTTGTGATCAACAGTTAGGTTAATATGATAGAAGTATTATGCAATAATAATTTAAAATTGAATATAGGCTCCAAATAAAGTCAAAATAGATCACAAATATTGCCAGTTGTCAGAAAAATGTTTTCAAGTAAGGAATTAAGTCACTAAAAAGCTTGTTTTGGTTTTAGCCAACAATTTAAAATTAATTAAGACACAATAACATGCCGAAAAAATACTAATTCAGAAGTCAAACAACAAAAGTCAGCATTATATTTTCAAATTTTCACAGGGCTAGTTTCGATGGTTTTACCGAACCACCATCCTCAGCTGCAAAAGCGCACATGGATTTGCGCTTTTGCATTTTGCGCTTTTGCAGCTGAGGATAGTGGTTCGGTAAAATCATCGAAACTAGTCCTGTGAAAATTTGAAAATATAACGCTGATTTTTGTTGTTTGACTTCTGAATTAGTATTTAAAATTACTCAAAAAAGTAACCTTAGTTTGGCGTTGATTTTGAATAGCTTTATTGATTTTGATGGTAATCAGACACCATAGGTTTTTCTACTTCATTAGCAAAATAACTTTTGCAGATTTATTTGCTCTTTCGGGGCCGGGGGGGGGGACTGAAAACATCAACACACACCAATTTTTTTTTTTTTTTTTTTTTTAATTTTATATTTTATATTTTTGCATTGGTATGTACTCTTCCAATGAGGGATGACCGAGTATTAAGATTACTGATACAGCATCGGTCTGATAATTTCATAAATGAACTTTCATGTTGAAAGCTATAGGAAATTTTATACACGAAATTTTGCATTTTCCTAACTAACATTCTGTGTTTATATTTTCCTAACTACATTAAACGAGTCAAAGTTTTATAGTTTTAAAGTTAGTATGATATGTTTCTAGTTAGCGTTCTATGTTTAAAGTTATTATTATATATTTCTAATTAGCATTATACTGTTAAGTAGCTAGTATTATAATGTATAATAGGATATATAGTTAATTCAGAAGTAAAACAACAAAAATCAGCGTTATTTACAAAATTTTCACAGGACTAGTTTCGATGGTTTTACCGAACCACTATCCTCAGCTGCAAAACGGCAAATAAACAAGGTAGGAAATAATGATTAGATAAGATAAGAAAGCCTGGACAAGAATAAACAAGTGACGCCATCTGTTGGTGAAACCAGAACTAAAACATAATTTTTTTAAAGGCCGAAGGCAAAGTTGGATTGGAATTAGGATCGTTAACTAGAACAGAAAGATTTTTATGAATGTGAAATGCCTCTAGAAAATCCAGTTCTCCAATGGAAGATGTTTTTTGAATAATTTTTGGCAGCAAGAAAAATTGGAAGTGTGTGATTTTCGGACCAACACAATGTTGAGCAACAGAAGACTTCTGTGTTTCCTTTTTTCTAACATATGCCTCATGTTCCTTAACGCGAAATTTTAAGGCTCTCTTAGTTTGTCCAATGTAAATTAAACCACACTGGCAAGGAATCCTATAAATACCCCAGGAATTCATATCTGGAATGGGGTCCTTGAGTATGGAACTCGGAATTTTATTGATGGGAGAATAAACAACCCGAAAGTTAAATTTCTGCAAAATATGTGCATTTTTATAGCTAATTGATGGAAAGAAGGGAATGACAACAGAATTTTTATAATCTCCTAAAACAAGAGTGTGCCTTTTAGTGTGTTGAGATGAGAATTTTTTAACTGCTTTGCTTGATTAATAATGTTGGGTGAAAAGCCCCTGTCAATAGCTATTGCTTTTAAATAATTTAGTTCTTCATCAAGGGCTAGTTTGGAGGAGCAAACCTGAAGAGCACGGAAAACATAGCAATAAAATGAAGCTAGCTTTTGTTTAGTCGGATAACATGATTTAAAGTGTGGTGGAAGGCAAACCGATGAAGGTTTACGGTAAACCGTAGTACTGAAGTTGGATGTATTACGTGTGACCAGAATGTCGAGAAACGGAAGAGAATTGCAAGTCTCAAGTTCAAAAGTGAACTCAATAGCAGGATCAATAGAATTCATTATTGAAAGAACTTTATTTAAATCATCTTTATTACCTTCAAACAGGGTAAAAGTATCGTCTACGTAGCGGAACCATGCCGGGAAGTTTAGGATATATAGTTATTAATTATAATGTACAACAGTAGAAAGTTATTATTAGTATAACTGTAATTGTACTTTTACAGTACCTGTTTTATAGTATAACTTACTACTATTCTAGTAGTAAGTCATGCATTATATAGTTCGTAATTATAATGCATAATAGTATACACAGTTAGTCTTATCATATACATATTATATATTTAGTTGTGACTGTACTATTTTGTTTCTAGTCCTATTAAAGTTAGTTTTATATGTGATTTCCCCCCTATTTTCAGAGAAACAGTAATATTGCCGGTCTCTTGAGCAGTTTTGGCACCTACAAAGGAGTGGAACCACCTTTTGGTTCAACAGTTGTTGTGGAACTTCACGAATACAATGGTGGCTCTTACGTCCGAGTTCTTTATTTTTACTCTTCCACACCCAATCTAGAAACGGATGAACCAGAAGTGATAGTTATCAGGGGATGTTCCGAATACTGTCCTTTCGAAAAATTTCGCAGTCTTACAAAAAGCTTGGTACCTGAAAACTGGGAAGAAGAGTGTGGCTTCTCTTCCGCAATAACTTTGTGCAACATGGTATGCTATTTATATCTTCAGTTTCAAAAATATTTTTGAACAATTTTTAACTTATAATGACATGCTTTATTGATTTTTTCAATACGAAAGTACGTAAAGTTCTACTATGTCTAGAAGTTTGTCACCAAAGTCTTGTATAACCTACTAGACCAAGAGCGAGTTATCGCATCGTCTTAAATAAATCACAGACTCTAAAAGGAGGTTTAAATAATCTTTTCTACTTTTTCATCTTTTCTACTTTTCTAGTTTTAAATGAACAGAACGACAGATAAACTTCCGGTACTTTCAGGTATTCAAATTAACGAAACAAAAATTTAAATTCAAATGCAAATAATATAGTCAGAGGCTGCACATAAATAGGCACATAAATAAATAGGAAAATAGATTCAAATATTGATCTTCGCGTATTTTTAAACGTCGGCTAGCAAAATGTTAAAGTCAGAATACAATTTAGTCAGAGAGAGTAAGTAGCAGCAAGATGCGGCTGCCAGAAGCTCTAAATCTAAACATTCACAACCCAATCAGCTTAAATACCCGAACAACTATTTTATACCTGGTCAGGACTACGGAGAGGAGATGATATAGTAAAGGATTAAACCACAATAATTGATTAATTAACATAAAATATCTTACAAGGATTTCCACATTCGCGGGAAAAAAGAAAAAGATTTAGATCTTTGCACATACCCTGTGGGTACCGTTGGAAAATAACGAATACTGTTTTTCACAAAATATACTTTTATTTACAGATCGCATTTGCGTTCAACTTCGCAATTATTCGACATCTTAGCTACTACTAAAACATACATTCATTCAAATGGAAAGCGCATGTGCACTGATAAGATAGAATCCCACAAGGAGCTTGATTGCTCTCATCTGTTTATAAGTAATGAAATACGGTACCTATTTCTGACACAGGTGCAGCATTTCCTTGCCTATCTCCCTCGCTAGCTTTCAATGCTATGTTCTGAGATTTTTAAAAGTATTCGCATAATTCGGATTCGAAGGGAAGACCCATCCTCTGTTGTACATATTTTTTCCCTTTGAGGGTAGTTTATTAGAAAATTTTATTCCCTTTATTATTTTTATTCAGTGCATTCAATTTGTATTTGCATTTTTATATTAGTATGTCATCCATTTTATGTTCCCTGCATTATTCGAAACGTAGTTTGTGCAGATTCTTAAGCTATCCGGACGTAGGTGTTCTCACACTTAAGAAACTTTCCAAGAATACGATTTTACCTTACTTCTGCTACTTATATTCCAGCTCACTGCAGCCTTATCTACTGCTGAAATGTTCGATCTTTCGAAATCTGGGTTTACTGCTCGATCTTCTTTTCTTTCGTTCCTCTGTCCGTTTTGGGAACTGCGGTCGAGGTGCCCCTTATGCTTTACATCGGCTCAGTATCCGTCAGATAGTGTATTGTTAATATTCCTATGTATTCTCATTGGAATGTAGGTTTCTTTCAAAGAAATGACATTGTGATAGTTACCAGTAGTTTATCCATGACTACTTTTCATTTGTTATATTCTTTTCGTCACCGCGTTCTTCAGAAATAAAATAACTCGATCTGTATTTTAGAACGATAAAATTAGTTAAAAAGGGGGGAAATGGCAGGAAATACGATAATAACGAACACTACATAAAAGTGTATATTCGTATTGGTGCATACATACTGTTCAGCGTTATTAATAAATTATGCCAGCAAGATATCACCAGTGTTCAATAAATTAATAATAAAGTATTTTGTACAGTATTACAGTAAACTGTCTTATATAATGTAACACTACATAAATGAATGTGAAATAAATTATACCTTAGTGTAGGGTTTCCCAGAACCATCCCCCCCTTGCTTTGTACAGTCGCCGTTGTAAACGGAAGTGAAAGCTAAAGTCGTGTAAGTTATCGCTACGTCTTAAACAGCTAACAAAATACTGAAGAATGCTAAAATGCCTTTTTATTTCCTTGTACGAAGTAAAAAGGAAGTATTGCAATCGCGAAAAGTTTCAGGCAGCATATTTCAACGAAAATATCCATTTTGACCGCTATCGAATGCAATTTAACGATGTTTTTGCGTGATATCTGTACGTAAGGACAGAATAAAAGACTCGTTTCCTCCAAAAAAAAAAATTATAAAACTGCTTTAAAATTAATTCTGAAGAGAATTTTTCGTGGCGTCTGTACGAACGTATGTACGTACGTGCGCGTTGAAATTTTGTCATGTAGATATGCACCTCGTATTTTGGTTGCAATCGGCCGCACCAAACGTATATAAATACATTTATATATATATATCCACTCTGTTACCCGGCTCAGTGATCTCAGTTTCTTTACTCTTATATGTTTGTAAATTGTACATTTTTTGCTTTAAAAAATGATTGAATTATGTTGTTTTTACCTTTCGGTTAAGGTTTTAATTCCTTTAGTAAATCTGTATGCAATATTTTGAGCATTATCAACAATTTTAAAGTTGGTTAAGTGCTACTAAGCCTTTTTTTTTTCATGGCGGCCATTGATTGTTTACATTTGAAACAGCAGACTAGTGGATTTGTTGCCAATCTAGAGAAACTTAGCTTCGCAACAACAAAGATAATGCCTTCATTTATTATTGCCAATTAAATCATGCTTAACCCTTTCTGGAATTTTTTCGAGGAAATAAGAGTTTAAGATTTATTTCGTAATTTTTAATATAGATATTTTGAGTTTTTATGTATTTTTGCCTTCTCGCGAAGTGAGACCTGAATTAATTGAATGAGAAATACTCAATCGTCTGTAAAAAACTGTTTCTTTCTCTCTTTTTTTTTTTTTTTTTTTTTTTTTTTTTGCTTAATTTCTTTATACATCATTCTAGCCTTATTATAGTATTTGAATAGAACATGTGGCAACGATTAGATAATTCTATTCTTTAAATGATATAAATATTGTGCATTATGAGTTATAATGTGAAAGAAATATAATACTGTTAAGTGAATCTAGCGCCAAAGTGTCGCTATGGTAAACAAATACTAGAGTGAATTTTAAAGAAGGCCTTTATTCTATTGTGGTTTATGCGCTGTCGGTGAAGTAGACTTAATTCAATCCAATGAGTTTAAATGAAATGCAAGAAAAATGCGTATAATTTAATATTCCATACTAGGAAGTCATGTGGTGTACACATCAGATTTTTTATTTAACTGAACAGAACAGGTACAATTTGCGCAACAGACGGAACTTGCATTAGCTGTAGTTATTTAAATTAACATAAGAAAGAATTAAATTCAGACGTTGATAACGTAGTCTAGGACTACACGTTAAATAGACTAACGTAAGCTTGCTCAGATATATAGATATGTACATATATAGCACGTATTTTAAATATCAACTAGCGAGATGCTTTTAAGCAGAACTGGCGGGAATACTAACAGCAAGAAGCAGTTAACAGAAGCTCTCAACTTAAGATTCCCTCCGTAACGCAGTAAAAACGTTTATGGCTATTGATGTAAGTAAAAATGTCGTCTATGCTAAAATAAACAAATTTTAATGTCAAAATGTTTTCCCTTTATTGTGAAATTAACAAAAATACATACAAAATGTAAAATGATAAAAGCGTTTTAATGGGAAGTGCGATGCTATTATTCACCAACTATAACTTTCAGTTTTACAGAAAAAGATGTCAACTTTATTTTTAAATATGGTTCGATATCTAATTAGTTTCTATATTTATTTTTTAGAAAAACCAAGTACTAAGCACGTGTTTCTAAGTTTTAGGTACCTAAACTTGCATTCCTTTTTCCCATAGCTGAATATTATTTCTACAAGCAAATAAAATTAGAAAGAAGTGTTGTGTGATGATTGTTTTGCCTTTATTTTTCTTTTCTAGCATTTCTTTTATCGTAAACTAGAAATATTTCAGTACCTGCCATTATACCAAGTACTTTTTTACCTTTTTTAGGTTTTCCTGGTCATCTTATGCATCTTATTGAGTTTCATAGAAAATGCCTGACGATTCTACGAGAAATTTATTTGAGAGCTGAAATTTTCTATCACTTTCGATTAAATGAATTTCTAAGAAAATCAAGTTTTCAAGTTCAAAATAACCTAATAAAATGCTTTTATGTTACTTCTACGAAAAATTTTATCTAAATCGATCGTTACATTAAGACTGTATGAAATCTTAGATTTAGTTATTCTTTCAGTTTTCAAAGTATTTAGAAAATAATCGCCTGGGCACGGTTACAGCCGAAAGCATTGGGGCAAAAACATTGCAGACGGAAACGTCGCGGAGAAAACAACGCAAGGCAAAAATGTCGTGGTACAAAACATCGTGGGAGAAAAGAAAGCAAAGAGAAAATGTCGCAGTTCTAAAACATCGTGGTACAAAATATCGTGGTCGAAAAAAAAAAATGTTCGCAGTTTAAAAACATCATCGTCGAAAATATAGTGGTAAAAAATAAAGTACCTATAAATCATCTCGTGACGATAACATCGCACACGTGCGTTTTTCAGGTTTTAAAAGTCGTAAATGCATTTTCGCATAAGACTTGGTAGCGCAAGAAGAAACGAGGGTGAAAATGTCAACGATACTTTAATAAACGAAAACAAAACAAGGTATAATTTTGACTAAAACAACAACAAATTAACAAACGTGAAAAAAATAATTTGATAATTAACTAAGCAATTTGTATAGAGGTTGATGCAGTTATTTTTCTACTGCATTTATCATGAAAATTTATCAGTAAAACTTTATAAAAAATGAATAAAATTCGTAATTAACTATGTAAATTTAAAATTAAGTGCTGTAAGTTGCATTAGTTTTCTTTTCATTTTCAATTTTTAAATGCTTAAGTTTTCTCCTTAATTTTCAGCAAAAATTATTAGTTAGTTTAAAAATATGAAATAGAGAAGTAAAAATATCTGTCTTCCCTTCTTGCGCTCCCAAATCATTATGCGAAAATGCACTTGCTTTTAAAACCTGAAAAACGCATGTGTGCGATGTTATCGTCATGCGATGATTTGTAGGTACTTTATTTTTTACCACGATATTTTCGACGACGATGCTTTTAAACTGCTTTATTTTCGACTGCAATATTTTGTACTGTGATGTTTTCTCTTTGCTTTCCTTTCTCCCCCGATGTTTTGTATTACGACGTTTTCGCCTTGCGTTGTTCTCTCCGCGACGTTTTCGTCCGCGATATTTTTGCCCGATGTTTTCGGCGGACACCATTTATTTTTTGACAAGTACGAATAAAAGTTAATGAAATCTGTACCTTCAAATCTTTGAGTAAAATTTATATCATACTGTAAATTAATTAGCTCACAGATTTTCTGATGTGTTATTCATGTTCTTTTTCAGTGCAAATGAAAATATAAACTCGGATTTCAAATAAAAATCCTGAAAACTTTGCAACATCATTATTGAAATGTCTCCGTAGGCCGCATAAAATTGCTTGCCAGTTTGACACACTTGGCTTAGACAAATAATTTTCGAGTGCTTTCGTAAGATTCAATTCAAAAGTCTAATCTGTAAAATAGCAATAGCGAAATATAGAAGGAACTCTTTCAAAGCTTTCATTTCAATAACTTCTAAGTCGCCATAACTAGGCTTTTACAAAACATATCTTTTACCTAACTACCATTAAATAACTCTGAAATGAGCCAGTGAAATACTGGATAGTAAGATAATAAAAATTTTAATCCATACATTTATAAAAGATACATGCAAACAACGTGCCAGTTGAGGGCAGTCCATAAAAGTTACTATTTATTTGTCATTTATTTTTTTCATGAGAAAAGCTGCAGTATTATCCAATCCCTCTTACCATTTTTCAGCATTTAGTCTCAAAGATAAATTTAACATTCTGATGAGCTTTAGCCACTCACTTTTCAAGAACTTAGAAATTTTAATAGTTGTATCCAATAATTATATGAAAATTGAGTTTTACAAAGTGACGCGCGAATGCCATACCTTTTGTTTGTTTATTAGACATTTATTTATCATCACTATACTACAAAATGAATGCATAGTTAACTGATTGAGCACAAAAAGCGTGTTTTATGAAAAATCTATTTAATGTATCCATCATTTTATTTCACGTCTTGCAAGCATCTTGTCACAACTCTCCGGCACACGTCTTCCGAAATTGCACAATACACTTGCACGATAAGAGCCTCAAGTTACGCTACATTTGCAGGCTTCCTTGAGAATAACTTATCTTACAAAAAAAAAAAAAAAAAAAAAAAAAAAATCCGATTGGAATAATATACTGAGGTATGTGCGAGATGGGACATTACAGACTCATAAAGCGATGTCCACCAAAAATATCGCGGAGAAAAAACATATAACATCGTGGGACAAAAGAAAGCAAGGCGTAAATAGCGCAACTCTAAAAAAACATGGTTGAAAAAAAAAGTTTTTGCACCGCTTTTTGTACATATAACAAAAAGTGGAGTACCTACAAATCATCCCATGATGGTAACATCGCAGACATGCATCTTCTGACCATTACAAAAAAATGTGCAATTTTCGCATTGTGATTTGTAAGTACAAGGGGGGGGGAAGAAATATTTTGAGTCCAAAGGGCAATTTGCCTAGAAGGACTATTAATTTCATTTTGCGTTGATTAATTACAAGCGTTGTTTCATTTTTCATATTGTTGCCACCATATATTATCGTCCTGTATTATATTTAAAGAAATTAAGGGGTGTTTGAACCCCAAAAACTTCAAAAAATTGTGCTTTCGGATTTTTGCATTTTCAAATTCTTTACACTTATATCTTTCTAAAAATACCATTCTTTAATCTCTATGAAAATTAAAACTATAAAAAGTCTAGTTTTAATTTGTCATCGACTGCTTCGATCAATGAGGATTTTTAGCTAAAAACGCGTTTTTCTCCAAACGTGATTTTTTTATACTCGGTCTACCTTTTCTCAGGAACTACTGCCCATAGGTATCTGAAATTTTTATGGCTTATTTATTAGATTTCCTAATATTTACTAAAATGAGTTTTTGTGATAAACATAGAAAAAAAATTTTAAACAAATTTTGTGTGAGAAAAGTGCTTAATCGTATTATGCCCAACAAAATATTCTGTAAATTACTCTAAAATTCAAAATGTTTCAAAAGCTCATTTCAGTATAATCAGATAGGTACACTTTAATTACGCAGAAAATTTCAAGCTTGTATCTACAGCAAAATTTGAGAAAAGGTACATCGAAAATGACCAATTTAACATCGTCGGTATAGGTGTTGCTGATACTCCTTCAATAATAAAGAATCTGCACATGTATGTATGTTTCTCGCATTGTGATAAAACATAGAGCCATCAAATTTTGTGTACATAGAGCCATCAAATTTTGTGTACATAGAGCCATCAAATTTTGAATAACGTAATCCTGCTGTGACTATGGGCATCTGGAAGTCCAAATTCAGAATTTCGAATTTGTTTTATTACCGATTTCATATTTTGTAAAACTTTAACGAATTTTTGATTAACAAACTCAACGATTTCAAAGCGAGCAATGGCAACGTTGTACAGGAAAAACATTTTTATCTCCAGTGCGCGAGACTTTGTATCGGAAATTCTAAAGATATGCTCATTTTAAGATTATTTTGCGATATTGCGCTTGAACTGAATTTTACGGCTTAAGCGCGAAGAATGTGTAATAAATAAAGGTAGCACACATGTTTAAAAAAAACGCCCCTTTGGACAAAATTTAAAATCTAAATCCTTTCAGATATTGTTTTTATTTCTTTATTTTATATATTTTTATTAACTGGTAAAGATTTACTGAAGAAGAAAGAAGAAAACTTTTAAGCATTCAGTACCTGGAAATTTGCTAAAATATGTGCAGACAATTAACCTCTTCGTTGTCTGTAACGTGTCTAGTGCGTTCAAGTGAAACTTCTGCAAGGCGGCCGTAACGCGCTTCAAGCATTCTTCTACATTTTAAAAGTTTAAACGCTTTCTAAATGTTTACTTGTTTGAGATTTTATTTTCGTTTGTTCTAATACCTCCTAGAGAGCAGTACTAATCAGGCATTCTATTTCTAATTGAATACGCCCCCCGGGTTTTATGAATATTCGCGTCATTTTACATAAGATACAAGACTGTGACTACTCAGCAGAAAAAGAGAAAAAAATGAGGTTGTGAATTGGAAAGACAAGAAGGATATACGTTTGATGAGTACAGTCCATAATAACTCTATTATTGATCTTGAAACACGGAAAAGAACTATAAAAAAATAATTGTAAAAGATTACAACAACAAAATGGGAGGAGTGGACCGCCCGGATCAGATGTTATCTAATTAATCCTGCTGTTAGAAATAAGCATATATTATTACTTTTCCGTTATGCTTTATTTCCTTATAATTTTACTTAATATTCATTTACATTCATCCGCTACAAAAGTTATGTATGTACAAAGAAAACAACATTACACGCTGCGAAAAACAATGGGCCGCTGGGGAGAAATTTTCACGGACAGGAGAGGACGTAGAAAGGGTTAACAAACTTTTACACTTATGTATCTTCCTCTTTCTTACCTATATTATGCTACACTTTTTTTTCTCACGAAAACCTACTAGCACATCTTTATAAAAGTAATTAATTAATAATGACTTTTAACAGTTAGCAACATAAGTTTAAAGTTCTTTTAACTGGTATATGTAGCATTAATTTTCACTAATTTGCAGATTTTTGAATGCTTAAATCTCAGAAAATACATGCCTGCGATGTTATCGTCATATGATGGTTTGCAGGTGCTTCATTTTTACCAAGATATTTTGTACGATGATGTTTTAAAACTGCAATCGTTTTGCCACCGCTTTGTTTTCTATCCCGATACTTTCTCCTGTTTTCTTTTCTTTCACGGCGTTTTCTCTTTGCGTTAGTTCTTTCGCGATGTTTTCACCACTAAGCTGCAAAATATCTCATTCAAGAAATCACTAAAATCATTTGCAGTGTGTAGGCGAGCTTCGTGTTGCATGAATCATTGTGTAAAGGGAGACCTACTGCCATTTTCAGGTGTGCGGACACTTCAGTCTTGTACTAAAGTGGACAAGAAAACGTCTTTATGCCGCTATCAACTCTTCGCTTCTTTAAATAAATAAATAAATAAAAATAATTAGAATTTTCACCTTCTATTTAACATTCAACCTGCCGTTATCCATCAACTTGCATATAACTTATTTCGCTGCAAATTTAGAGTCCGATGAGACTTCTTCTGATGTCTACCGGATTTTGCATCAATAAAAACACCCGAATATTCCCATTTTTAACATTCAACATTTACTTTTTTTTTAATCTGCCCTTTAGAAATTTGCATAAAATTATAACAGAAAATTAAGAGAATTCACCCTTTTTAATTTAAATTTAACTAATTTTAAATTAATAGGAGAAAAGTGTAATTCAGTTCAGTCAAAATCTTAATTTCTCGTGGTATCCTCGTGGATGAACAGCACGTAAAGATGATCAATTGCACTTTAAATGACGTTCAATCTCATATTTTGTGTTTAAATATTAGAATTTCAATTTCTGTGCTTTTATTACTGTTTAAGTAGGAAATTATCCGCTTTTTTTAAGTTTTAATACATAATATCTCGCAATGAAAGTTTTCTGTGATATTTGTTACGAGCTATTCGACGAGTACAGCAATGTGGCAGCAATAACTTGTGGTCATGTCTTCCACCAAGATTGCATTTCTGATTGGTTCGTGTATGCTCAGTCTTGTCCAAAGTGTAGGAGCTTCGTAGAACAAAATAATACCAGAAAATTGTTTTTCAGTATATCGCCTAATGAAGAAATGAGTAAAGAACAAATAGAAAACGAAATTGGGAACTTGAATGCTACCGTGAAAATGATGACGATGGATATTGCAAACATGAAAAATTTTGATAAAGTTACGAAATTGACTTTACAAGATATTAAACTGGGAATAAAGCAACTTGAATCTAGTATTGATCATCTTCGTTTACAACAGAGGAAAGAACTAGAACACGTCCAGAAGTGCATAAAATTACTTTTAAATTATTTTCATATAATAATACGCTACCTCGTACATGATACGAAAGACTATGCTTTGAATGAAAAACGCCTAAACTCTGAAACAGCTAATCCAAAAGAAACGCATGAAGAATACAAAAAGATAACAGAACCAGGAATAACGTTAAAAAATTCTAAAGATTTCCTCATGAATAAAAAGTTTAAGGTGTTTAATGAAACGCATGACGTAAAATGTAAAATTTCCGAATACAGGGACAACGAACACATATGTAACTCTTCGATAACCAAAAAAGAAACTGATGCAGAAAGAAAAGAACTAGGATACCATTTGAATAATACAAGTGTTCAACATTTTGATTCGTTGAAAACAAGTAAAGGGCGATTATTACATGTAGCAACTATTGGCTGTAACTCGAACTCCTTTGACTTATCCGATTTGCAAGAACCAGCACAGCCAGAAATGGAGCAACCTTTTATGAGGGATAGATATTTCAGCAGCAGTGGGCAGCCAGATCTGTGTCTGAAATCAGAAACAACGCATAGTCAATTTAATGAAATTTTCCTAACTGAAGAAAGCAATTCACGTCCAGAAATGATACATACTCAGTCTAATCAAGACTTTGTATCAGAAGGAAGTAGCGACGAATTTGATACATTTGAGTGAAAGATATTTTACTTGAAAAAATAATTACTAATTTTTTATTGTTAAAGATTCCCGTTTTCTTTTAAACTTTCTTTGTGATTTATATGTAAAGGTTTGTGATATTTTTATTTTACTGGCTTAAAAATTATAAAATTATATCTAAAGCAAATCAAATATATTTGATCTTTGAATCTATTAATTTAAAATACTCTGTGTAAAATGATATTTCGTTATAAAGTTTAAAGAATAAGAAATTTATATCTGATTAATCAGTTTGGACATTTTCCGTTTCGCTGACGCAAATCTCGCCAAGCAGACTTTGTTGGCGACAACATACAGTATACACATAAAAAACGTTAACAAATGTTAATGCTAAGAATTTTTTATATTTTGAAGGCATAAACATTTTAATATGGTTTAAAATTTTGTAAAAATCCAATAAATAAAGACAATAAATTTGTAAAAAGACATTAATTTAAGAATTTACTATGCTTTAATGGTTCAACATCCTGATTCGCCGGTTCGCATCACGTGACCCCAAGTGATCTCATCTCACGTAAACTACGCTACAAAAATCTAGTTCTCTCAGTAATTATCTACATTAATTTCAAGTTAAATCTTAATTTGGAATACAAGTTTAAATGCAAGAATTATTTCAATTCGTACGAACAGCTTACTCAGAAATTACGTAAAATCGCAGTGCTTTACTTTGCTAGTGCATTCTCTTCAGAATTCATGAATTTAACACTTGATTTTGCCTTTTTTTATATTTTCGCCCTCGGGTGAGCGGCGTGATTGCATTCTAACTGACTTAATTGCCGCGAATTTTCTTAGAGCATAAAATTTAACGGCTAAAGTGCAGAATCGCCTACTTATTTGATTGGCGTTTGTTTGGCGCTTTTTACAAGAGTAAGAATTAGATTTTTGTCAACTTTCTTTCACTTTTTGAGTGAAAATAGGTCGATGTGTACATGGATAAAGGGAGTGCGCAATGCCATTTTTGTGCAATTCTGGGATTTTTTTTTTAAGTGAAAATAGGTCGATGTGTATTTGGATACCGAGTATGGGCAATTCTTAAAACGCGCTAAGCAGGGGGCGATTCTGCACTTTCCCCAGTTTAACTACCTTGTAAAAATTCTATGTAATTGTATCTCAGTATTGAAAGAAACAATAAATCTGATAAGAAATGGCTGCGACTTGTTTTGAAAATGAGGCGTAAAAGGTTACCAGCGAAGATATTCCGTTTGGCATCAGTTGTACCATTATTGGCGACTTTATCGTTCACGCCGGCAAAACGGAAGTCTTCTTAGTATGACAGAGAACAATCAGTAGTTACTATTTTAAACTACTAAGAGTTTTTAAACTACTATAAACAGAACGTTATACAAAGCGCGTGTAAAGAGTGACGCAAGGAAATCTAACTCTGGACTGAAAAACAGAGTTTGTGTTCTCAACGGTCTTATATAGTTTTCTCTCGGAGGTCAAGAAATGTCTAGTACTTCCCAGCTTCTTGAAATTACTGGAAGGCATAGATGATTACATATAAAGGCCTGAAGTTACATATAAGAGCCGGATATGGTCTCAGAGGTCAGTTACAGTTATTCATAGGCGTTTACGCGTGCGCGTAACACCATTACGGCTGCGAATATGCGTGTGCGCATGTGCATAATACGTTTACGCATGCGCGTTTAATGTATAACGGACGGTATAAGCTAACCTAAAATTATCTAATTCAGTTAATGTTGCAGATTGCGTTGTTCCTTAATCTTCGAATTGGATCCGGCTTATTATTTTTTGCAGACTGTTAGAGCAATTTTATAAAAGTAAGCTTGAACTTTCGATTATGTCAAATAGAATTTCCGATATATATTTACTAATATGTAAAGGATCTACAAAGTGAAGTATGTTTTGAAGTCCATTAAACAAAAAGTGGAATTGCTGCAAAAATGGATAAAGGCATATCCTTTGTTTCCCTTAACCATTCCGAAACTGTTTACCAATATCACGCTGCTCTGCGGCAGCGGGGGAGGGGAAACGCCGCGGCGCGCAATGAATTGGAAGTTCATCTGTCAGCACTATCTTTATCTTCAGGGCAGATGTTTTTATTTTATTTAACTTATAATTCTTTTACTAAATGCAGTATTTCATCTCGATGTACTCCGTCTTTGATATGATCTAAATCAAATTCCTCGTCATTATGATTCGCTTCCGGTAGTGAAGAAAGTGACACAGAGGTTATCAAAAACGAAAAAATTTCGATTGACAAATTAGTCAGTATTCTCGACACAGCAATTATAGGACTTGAACAGCGGAACTTTGAGAGGTCCCAAGATGTCAAAGGCGATACGTTCAAACGGCGCACCTACGTTGTAACGTTGCAGCTTGCCTCGGCTGCGTTTTCTCGGTCCTTTCCGACCTGCACAGGCATGGCAAGATCGGCACCACTTTTGCACGTCATCCTTTGCATTATTCCAGTAAAAGCGCTCACGAACTCTCTGTAAGGTCTTCATAATTCCAAAGTGACCTCCTGTAGGGCTGTTATGTAGTTCTTTAAGGACATCAGGAATCCGGGATCTTGGAAGTATCAGTTGCCATCGGAACGTCTTCCCATCATCCGGTTCGAATTTACGGTATAAGACGTTTCGAATGTGAAGTGAATCCCAGAGTGCCCAGTATTGTTTTTGTTGTAGGACTACAGATAGAAATGTCCTGCCAAGTAGGTTTTCTGTTTGATGACTCCATTAAATCAATTATGGGTTTAATGTCGCGGTCTTCCAGCTGGTCTTTCCTGACTTCATCATCACTCCACGAGTCTCGAGCAGCCGATGTTGATGTTGTAATTTGTCTTGCGACCGGAGTGAGCAGCTCGTATTTCGCTTCCACCCTGGAACAATATCGGCAGCTTTCTGGGCAAGGTCTTCTAGACAGGGCGTCGGCGTTTTCGTGTGATGATCCCTTACGATGACGGATAGTGATGTCATATTCTTGGAGTCTCTGTATCCACCTGGCTATTTGACCCTCAGGATTCTTGAAATTTAAAAGCCAGGTCAATGATGCATGATCAGTGCGGAGCAGGCATTTTCTGCCGTATAGATAGTGATGGAACTGTTCTACAGCTTTGACTATGGCGAGTAACTCTTTCCTGGTGACACAATAATTCCTCTCCGGTTTAGACAGGCACTTGCTCCAGTACGCCACTACACGTTCTTGGCCGTCTATTTCTTGGGACAAAACAGCACCGACACTTTCATTGCTCACATCGGTGTCGAGAATAAATGGTCGGTCGCGCTGAGGATTCGTCAGGATTGCAGCAGATGTTAAAACTTCCTTTAAGTTGTTAAATGCATCCTCGCATTCTTTTGTCCACAAGAACTTTTGCTTACTTTCTGTCAGCTTGTGAAGGGGTCTTGCGATGGAAGAAAAGTCCTTCACGAATCTCCTATAGTAGGTGCAAAGCCCTAGGAAGCTTCTCAGCTGATGGACATTTTCGGGACGTTTCCAGGATTTAACGGCTGACACCTTTTCAGGATCCGTGCGAACACCTTCTGCAGAGATGACATGTCCCAGGTAAGTCACTTCCTTTCGGAACAATTTGCATTTAGCGGGACTCAGCTTCAGATTGGCTTCTTTCAGTTTCTGAAGCACCTTCCTAAGATTTTCTAAATGTTCTTCAAAACTCTTTCCGACGATGATGATGTCGTCCAGGTATATCAAGCAGGCTTCGTAGGAAAGGCCTTTCAAAACAGTCTCCATTAGACGTTCGAATGTTGCCGGCGCATTACACAGTCCAAACGGCATCACCTTGAATTGCCAAAGCCCTTGTCCCGTAGTAAATGCCGTCTTTTCTCGGTCTTCAGGCTGTATTTCTACCTGCCAATACCCACTCTTTAAATCAAGTGTTGAGAACCACTTGCTTCCAGAAAGAGTGTCTAGAATGTCGTTAATTCTAGGAAGAGGGTAACTGTCTTTCTTCGTAACCTCATTCAACCGGCGATAGTCGACGCAAAATCTTGTTGAGCCGTCTTTCTTTCTGACTAGGACGATGGGAGATGCCCATGGACTTACTGAAGGCTCGATGACATCGCCTTCTTCCATATCTTTTAACAGTGTTCGCACCTCTTCCTGTTTAGCAAACGGTAGACGTCTTGGATGGTGCTTGATCGGGGGATGATTGCAGGTATTTATTCTATGTTGTATCAAACTAGTTCGACCCACGTCAGAAGACGAGCGGGAGAAAACAACTTGAAGATCTTTAATGACGCGATCGGCAGCATTCCTCTCTTTATCGTTTAATTGCGCATTCTGCAATAACTCCGATGTAATGCTCTCTGAGGACACGGATTCTTGGATATTGCTCTTTCTTTCAACGCTGGTTACTGGAGTACATGCTGCAACCACTTCACCTTTCTTAATTCTCCCCTTCTCAGTTACATTGGCGACTCTCACCGGGATAACCGTTCTGGATAGGTCGACGAGTGTTGAAGCTACTAGTACTCCTTTTGGGCTATTACAGTTATTGGGATATTCTATGATGCCGTAGCGGAAATTTCTGTTTTCGGCTATGGATCCAGGAAGTAAAATTTCTGTTCTTGCCGGTATTGTGATATTGTCTTGTGCTATGATTTTATGAACAAATTTAACTTCTTCATCATTAACTCCAAATAACGCTATGTCCTCAGATGTAGAATGCAATTCGTTATTTTTAAAGTCCAAGGAAAAATTGTATTTCCTTAGAAAGTCCAATCCGAGTATGCAAGAATCAGTGATTTCTGCTACATATGTCGTGTGATGGTAAGCGGCACTTCCAAACGTGATGTTAACATTTACTTTTCCATCGATGTCGATCTTCTCACCGGACACAGTCTGTAGGGTAACGCAGGGCGGCGTCCAGATAAGTTTGCTTCCCAGTTGTTCAGCCAAATCTTTTCAGATGATGGTAACGTTGGCTCCTGTATCTATCGTCATATTGCAGGGAACTCTATTAATATGTCCTATTATGAAAAGTCCATTACTGCCGCCTC